GGTTAACGATGAATTTTTCAACCGCGTCAAGTTCGCTGCGTCGCGTTGCGTCGAATGCGAATGAATTTAATTAAACCCATTAACGAATTTAATTAAGCGGTAAAAATGAACGACACATTCGAACGAATATTCCCTTCGGCCGTGACGCGGTTTTCGAGCGATTGTGAAACGATCAAATGGGTTGTTTGAAAATTCATGATAGAAGGTGAATTTGGTATTCGTCGAGCGACCGAAATAGATCGAGTCCCAAAATGTTAAACGAAATTCCATTTTCAAAGATCGTTAATCTTGAAAAATACTGAACGGACCCGTGTAAAGATTACCAAGTGAAAACTGTATCAAAACACGACAACTTCTTTATCGTACTCGATTCTGCAGTGACGAGTGTGAACCAATTTCGTGGCGACTTACAAGAACCACTTCAGATATTCGCGGATACGTCAATGACAAACAGACGAATAGTAGGCGAGTACACACGTACAAACACGTCTGTACATAGCGTTATTTGCAGAGAAACGAATTTGTGCCGTGATATCGCGTGATAAGCATGCAATTGCTCGGTCGACTTATCGGTGAGCATTCAAAGTCACTGTTCGACGTTCTGGAATTCCGTCGAAATGCACCTTAAACGACGCGAGATACATATTTCGCTGGTCGGCTTTACAATCAAAAACTCTTGCGTCATTTTTCGCGAAATTTTCAGACACAAAAGCCCCGTGTATCGAAGCGGTCTACGATCTCGATGTTTTCACGCGTACGCGACACGTTACGTACGTACTCCGATAAAGACATTCCACGGAAACATGATTTATTCGGAACAATATCGGCGAGAACGGCACAGATTTTTGCAATATTTCAACCGACGTTATTTTTGACGTAAGTCACGTAAGACGTGACTTATCGTGACGATGATAAAGGAAAAATTGAACCCCAAAAATTGTTTCGACAGCTTACCGTAATTTTAGAATGAAAGTCGTCTCGTAAAACAGCACTTTCTTCGGGGCGTGTAAATAATTTGCGAATGACGCGACGTTCGATCTCGTCTTTGAACTGAACTTTACACGGTTACTCATCGCAAATGAGGAAAATGTAATACTTGAATTATAAGAATCAATCTGGTGATAAATATTTGGAGACATACGTCGCGTTCATAATTATAAACGTACATCTGAGCTTATCTTCTAACATTTTAAAAGATTTGACAAATTTTTGTCGAAGCGAAGTCGGTTGCCGACCGCAAACGTTCTACAGCTCGAAATCCTCGAGCTGCGGTTTGAAGCAGTCGTCTTGGAAACAGCAGGTCGATCCTAACAATCGATTTGTCTAGAATGTAGAAGTTTAAAGTATGGTCTGAAGGAGGGAACGGAAGAGAAGGCGGAGGCGGAGGCGGAGGGCTCGCTGTTAAAACTTTCCGCCTGGAGTTTCGTAATGATCGGCGAGCCAGTTTATCCGGAAATAATATTTGTACAGCTTGTACGTAAACAACCCTGGCGGCCCTCCAGAGTGCCAATAACACCGCCTGTGTCAACTTGGTCAAGCACCGGAGCGCTCAAATGAGTCACGATGCGAACCAGAAGAAAGGTGTAACTCTTTGAATTTTAGTAAGAGAAAGAAAGAGGGAGAGACAGAGCCGGGACAATGTTCGACAAGAAAAGGCCTCTTCTTCTCTGCTTTCACCGTCGCGATCAGCTTGCACCTTGTGCTAACGCGAAATTCAAGCCAGTTTGCATTTCGCGTAAATTAATAATCGCCAAAAGGCTTTTAACACCTCGAGGGACGTATTTGTTCGACGTTCTATAAAACACGACATTCGCGATAAATTTCAAATTTCAATTTCGAAGTATCGTTGTAATATTAACATAATTTATTGTAAAATCTTGAGAAATACAATACCACTCGTGCTCTGTTAGCAAAATTTCACTAGTCGAAACATTGAATCAAAATGTAACAAACGAACGATATTTCAAGCTTAGTTAATACATCACCTATTCGTATTTCCTGCACATTTACCATCTTTTTTCAGGGCACTAGTATCGTTTCGCGTAACGAACGAAACGTATAAATTACCTCGAAATGAGTTTCATTAAAACGAAAGCAAAGCAGTAGCAGAGCGACCGTTCGAAAAAGAATGGTTACGTTCGGACACAGATCGTAGCGATACAGAGCTATTTGCACGTCGCGAGATTTATAATGCGCGCCAATTACACGTAACACGCTTCGCTCATTCCGCGGTGTAATTCATCCCGTGTAATTACCAATGCATATTGCGGTCTCTGCGGAAGCTCGCAAGCGTGCAGACCGCGAATTTCGTGCAATCGTACTTCGAACCCCTTCGTTCACCCTCTCGCCGAGTCTCACCCTCTCTCATCCCATCGTCGTTCCGCTCGTCTCGATTTCAATTTCACCCTGATCCTGCTGGAATATACCCGCCACGCCCTTGCTCCGCACCCTTCTCCAGCCCTTCTTTCGCATCCTACTTCTCCCTCCTCCACTTTTCTTCGTTTCCACGCCAGACAACAATTATACCGACTAACCGATTGTTCTCGCGTTTCCGCCTCCGCATCGCGATATAATAATTCGATAAATATAGAAGGAACTTTGTTAACGAGCCGGACAAACAAGAGAAAACGGCAATAACGGGCAAACACGAGCGACGTCGGAACCGATCGAAACTCAGGTAAAACTTCTTCTCTTCTTTTCAAATACCTTTGCACCTGTGTTTATACTGCCAGGCACTTGTCAACAATCAAGCGTCCCTTCGGTAAATTGTACCCTCACCTGCGCAGGGAGAGGGAGCAGGGGAACACGAATTTTACGATGCTACGAACGCTAATAGGATTACCGGATTAAAGCGTGGAAAGTTAAGATACGGTCGGTCAAACTAACGGCAACGGACAATGGGACACGGCTGAACGTCGACCGTGTCTCGTTGGCCAGGTAAATTTTTATACCGCTCCCGTATCGATTACGGAAACCTGTAAACGGCACGTATTACGACGATAAAAACGACGTGAGCCAACTTCCATCGACTTACCAATGGTGCGATTTAAAAGAGAATTCGTTTAGGGTCGGATTAAAGTGACGCGATTACGTGCGAACATTCTATAGCATCGAGGAAAAGAATGCGCTTTTATAACCGGTGTCATTGATCATTCTTTTAACGGAGAAATGATCAAAGAAGAAACTATCGGACAGTAGGACGCAACGATAAAAATGGATCACCTAAGTCGGCCTTTTAAAACGGACAAATCTGTTCCACTTTCGATACCGTATTGGAAACGTTCCAACCGTTTCAAATAATTCCATGCAACGGAAAACGTTCCTCCTTATCCCGGGATTTACTTTTCCCCCCCATCCCCATTTTTGCCATTTCACTCGGTCCGCAATCGTCGATACGTCGCCACGGTGGCACGTACGGACATAATGTAATTGCGGATATTGGCCGCTACCGGTCACGATACACGCATTTATTTTCGTCCTTCCCGACGAGCTTTTCCGCCTCGTCTCGCGCGGCCTGTTTACGCTCGAATGAAAATTTGCACGCCAGCCAAATATTATTCCGTCGACGACTACGACCCACGTCCACGATCTCTTTTCCCCTTTCGTTCGTTCGTTTTCCAACCGTTTCCGCGCCACCGTCCGTCTGCTGCTCGTCTCTGCCCGCGCCCACATGCCGCCGCGTAACGAGCACGCCCGTGTGCACGCGTGCACAACGTTCAAAGCGGCACGAGTAAAAACAGCAGGAAGGAAAAAAAAAAGATTAGCTTCAATTTCATTCAACGGGTTTTTTAACACAAAGTCGTACAGGCATTTAACGCAAAGACGAGTGTGCAAACTTTGTCTGAAACATTTTGTCGTTGCTGCTGAGAAATGAATTCAGACACTCAGCGTTCAAATGTATTATATACCTTTTCTACCTGCAACGATCTTTGTCTGAACGAAACCGTTCCGTGTTTGAATATAAATCCACCTTTGTAGAGGCAAAGGGTGGACGGGATAGAATGTGAAGCGGAGCGCGGGTGGAAAGGGTTCGCGTCGAACGTGGGTAAACTATCGAGAAAAAATAAATACGGAACCGGATTCATTCGGCTAACGATCCGAAAGAGTCCGTCTGGCAACGGGCGAGTTGCCGTCGCTCCCGTTCGAACCCGGTTCGAGGTAAAAAAAACCCTGACAGTACTTTTCAAGCCTGTCTTTTTATTCCGTTTGAGTGACGCCAATGGAGAAAAAAAAAAAAAACAGAGCATGGGGCTACGAATCTATCTGACGGGAGTGTCTATAGTCGGCGGTCTTGCCGGTCGATATATCGATATCCTCGAATTAGCATGGATAGAGGAGGCTCGGCCGGCACTGCAACGAACGATACTTATCGAAAGTGCGCTTTACAATAGAAAGGATTTTTTGAATGCGAAGATACGCGATGCCCGTTCGATATACCGGGCGAAACGAGACGATCAATTGCGAGAGGGGCGAAGAAAAAGAACCGAGAGAAAGTAGGAAAACGATCGTACAACGACGCCGGGTTTTAGTACCAGGTGCAATTTTCGCAACTTTATTCCTCGGGATATTTAAATTGCTACCTCCCGACGGCGAAGGTTCGATTTCGTTTCATCGATTCGCATTGTGCTCCGAACGATCAGTTCGCGTATGTACAAAGCCGCCGTCGACGAAACACCGGTTTACACAGATCGTTAATAGTATCTTGCGGCAATCCGAATGTGTTTTAATCTCGATTCGCACCAATGCTCGTTAACTGGTAACAGTGAAATAAATTGAAATTTTTACAAGTGTAAAATATTCCTCGATTCGATGCGTAATTTCTTGACGCGATCAAGCATGAATGAGAAAAAACGTAAACTCTCTAGGAGATGTCTCAATATTTAAAATTCCTCGTTTTATTTTTATCACCGGGAGTCACGCCAGTCATTCCTGTCAGGCTTGTACGCAATGAGAAATAAAAAATACGATGAACAGGGAGAAAAAGAAAGAAAAGTATTTACCGGGTGCCGTGCCGCAGCTGCCACAGCCACAGCTGCCGCCGCGTTTATACCGGCATTGGGGTACATCTTATCGTCGGAGGCCCTCGAAGAGGTTACGTAGCACCCTTCGATCACCACCAAGTCCTGTCAGGAGTAATGGATACGTCTCCGTTATCCCCAGGTATATCCGACGGTATCCCAGGTCATAGCCTGTATGCACTATTATTCACACTGGTCAGCGATGAAAAAAGAACGGTGAGAACACAAGGTATGCACACTTGCACACTGTCACTATCTTCGCGGTCCACCTTGGCCACTCACTTTTTGCTCCGTTTCACAATTATACACCGTGGAGAAAAACGATAATCACGGATAGAATAGGAATGCGCGACGACGTTGAATCACGTTAACGAATACGAGTGCACGACGTCGAACGAGAAGACCGAGCTCGAAACGATCCACCCTCGGCGACGAACGAGTATCAACTAATCAACCACAGCGCCGAGGGGAAACGCTTCCCCCTCCTTCTACCGCTACTCTTCCCCCACCACGCGTCCCGACACCACGTGGTCACCCCCACCTTACTCGAGTCTCCTTTCTCGCTCGCTCAACCGTTCGCGCCAGTAGGCTCGCGCTCTTTCTCGCCTTCGCACCTCCGACAATCGGGCTCTTACCTCGTTCGTCTCTTTTCCGTCCGCTCTCGGATATGCTCGTACATTTCAACAAGACGGGAATCCGTTCGTCGCGATCCGCTTTGCATTTTTTACTTACGCAAAAACGAGATTTGTGTGGTAAATCTTGCGGTGAGTTTGTACCTACATTACGTAGCCGCGTATTAAATTATTACTCGAGACGCGATGAACATCGCTAACGCACGTCGGAAAACCTGTGTTAACCTTCCCCCTTTATTACATGCAAATTTGATTGCTTCATAACGAACGGCGTTGCGATTCCTTCGATGCTTTTATTACTCGTACCGCGTTATAGGATGAAGAGCAGAAATAATTTTCGACTAATTATCCTTTCTCTCGATCGTGCGAATTCGGGGCACCTGTACGATGTTAAATCACGACAGTCGAGAAAATTGCGAAATTATCGTTGTAACTTTTACGCCTTCCTATACGACGGGGGACAGCGAAAGGAAAAGGAGGGAATTTATTTTTTCCCGTGACGCCCAACTTTTTCTCCCCTTCTTAATCCCTAGTTCCTTTCAGACCCTTCCGGTACAATCACCGAAACCTTCTATACGCGGCCCTGCCCTTTTTGGTTAGTTTACACTCGACCCGTTCGTAGCCACGAATCTTTCAGATTGGAATTTCGCCTCCTCTCTCTGGTCATCCGTCATCCTTGTCACGCTTGTTTAGTTTCTCTCGTTTTCTGTCCCCGCTATCTGGCAACCTTGTCACTCGCCCATCCGTTTCATCCTCGACCCTGGGGTGCTTGTCGTGCACCCTGTTTTTCTCGTCCTTCCCTTTCCCCTTTCCCAGCCTCTTTTCGTCCCGCTGACTCGTACTTAAGAGCTTCTACAATCGACATGTACACACACACACACACACACACCGTGTGCTCTCGCCGGATACAGACTTCGACATCCCCTTCGAATGGGGTGGCAAGCATCGACGATCTTTCCACCTCGACTCCCAGCAAACAATTATTATCACTTTACCCTTCCTCTACTCGGCCCAGTGACGCTTAATCTTGGTGTTACTTAACGAGAAAAAAAAAAAAGGACAAAACTGGAAGGAGGTGCCTTCTTCGGCTTGTAAGAGCAAATGGCGAACGATTTTAACGAGCGATGACATGCGAGCTAAACAGCACGGAGCAAATGGAAGAAGAAATTACAAATTCCTTAATGACATCACACCTGAGCAACGCGTAAGTACAAACACACCTGCTTTAGTCACCCTAATTTAAGCTAATCATTACGCAAAGAGTACAGAGAAATCATTTTTCATTTGCCAATGAAAAAACAACATTGGATAGTATTCAATGAATGTAATTGGAGGAAATTAACACCAGGAATAAGTTTATTACAGGTTCATTACAAAATATTATTCACGCAGATATTTCATTCACATTTTTTTTTGTCTCTTGAATGTAAGTTATTTTTATTGATCAGAGGTTATAATTGTCCGTGGATCGAGAGGAAAATATACAGAAAATAAAACAGGAAGGAGGTGTTCAATTTTCGCAATAGAAAATCACGCTTCCGCCGATTAAGCAAACACATATAATTACTGGCGTAGAATTAATTACCGTTCCGCGGGTAATATTTACGAGCGGCGAGCGTACGTTTTATAGGGATATGCAAAGCGCGAAACCATTTGCTGTAATACAAGATACAGAAATCTGTGTCGCATAATTCGAGCCGCGAAAGCTGAAAAGGAACACGTCATCGTCTGTCGTCGAACCGGAACGCTCGATGCGAAATTCCTTGCTCCGTATCTTCTGACATATCGACGACGACGTATTTAACCGTATTAACCCGCGGAAAAATAAGATTTTCATCTTTTTTATTCTCTTGTTCCACGCTTTATTTTTGTTTCAAGCGTCCGGATAACCCGAGCCACGACATCAGCCTTCTATCGCAAACAAAACGCGATTAACACCGCGTCTTACGATGTCGGGTTTCACGAATGGTTGACGCTTCTCAAACACTTCCCATTTTATCGTATTTACCAAACACTTTAACGAATACTCTTTTTTTTTCCACGACTATTCTGTTAAAAACTGCACGATACATCGGGTGATGTCTATCGAACGGAATCGAGCTTGCCTTTTCGCGGTGAACGTCACAGGAAAATCGGTTGTGCTTGTTCACGCGTGTTCCTATTTAAACAGTCGTAGCCAATTCGCGTTTATCAACGATGATGACGAATATTTGGGATCATCGATGTTTATAGTTTGTTTAACGCGAATGTTTGTTAACGCATGGTTTATTAATGCCAACTGAATTCCCAGGAGCGCGGTATTTATTTACACCGCTCTATTGTCCGGTCGGTTTGTCGAGGCGAAACTGATCGGGGAGCAATTGAATCGATTGCACGGTCTACGGAATAATTTTAGCGCAATCTAAAGATTATACGATTACCATTTACGTGTTGCGCCATCCTGCCCATGTAAATCAGTCGATTAACAAAAGAAATATGGGCCTTTTCTCGCCTTTGTACGATATTGTTTAAATTATTGTGTAAATTATTAGTGACTATCAAGTTTTGGTTGGATTTGCAGCAAATATGAATCGTCGTACTAATTGATAAACCAAGCAAGAAATGAAATGTCTGTGTCTACAGTTGACAAAGATACCTTGTACGATTGTTTATAAAAAATTGAAGCTTTCGTGTAATAAATTTATTACCACATTGAGTAATGTTTGTAGTAAAACTTAGGAGCTTTGGAAACGAAAGAACTGTACTTTGCGAAGAGAGATGTGTAACGTGCAAAGAATTAAGCTTTAGATTTACCGTAACAAAGCTCACATAGCAACTAAATAAATATAAATTTTATATGCAATGTTCATGTTTTAATTTATAAAGAATTTAATGTGTTAAAGTACTGTATGTTTTTATAAATTCCTGATGCCACTTCGAATAATTCAACAATCTCTCACAGATACCATTTATGAAAATTGATGAGAATTTAAAAAGCTTGCATTGAAAATGCATGCCAGTGTTGTTAAAAATAAATGTTTAATACTACCTTCGAATTGTTTGTATTTTTTGTACAAATTACGTACATTTTCTTTTCTGATATTCAGCTCAAGAGAACTTCCACTCGATGAAATCTGGGCAGTTATTATTTGGTGTATAATTACTAACTGCATAATCAGTAACACATTGATACGATTATTAATTGTACATATTAATTACTCTCGTCGTTGGTTCTGCTTTAACAAGTTAGATTTTCCGTACGTATATACAAATGATCGAAAACGGAAGAGTTAAGCATTGCAAAAGCCATGCACGTAGCTGGAATAAAACCTTTAACGAAGATCGGTCAGTTTGAAATACGCGTATAGTTTGGAGTATGCCGCGTGTTTGGTAAAACGATCAAAAAATGATTTTCCGCGAAAACACCTATAACATCGGGATCCGGTGGTAGCCAGTGACCGTCACTATTTCCACGCTTCCTGATAACAGACACACGAACGTACCGATATCAGCTGGCTGGCCGCGCGAGAATTAATTGCCGAACCGGCAATAGATCAAGCGGAAAGTTTTATCACCGAGCGCAACCGCACGGGTCAGACGGGAACTCGGTCGCTACCGTTAAACGGAAAAATTTCGCGGCACGGATCTTTGGACTCGGTGAGATTTGATAAATGGAAAAGTCATTAGAATTCTATCTGAAGTCGTGTTCCTACGGAACAAAGCGGCCGGACCTGGCGCAACAAGACCAACGAGTTTCGATAATAACGAGACAAAAAATGATTATGGCGCGCGTCGATAACGCGTATACGCCTTTTAATGAAAATAGAAAGAACACCTACTCCTTCGATTGTTAGAAAATATTTTTTTATTCTCCATTCACCTTTCTTTTCGTTATTGAACGAAACGAAACGGAGGATAAGGAAGGAAGAACATCAAAGATCGAAAGAAAAGAACTGGTACTTTTCAATATATGTATTATCGCCGTTTTAGCGCGCTTTAATCGTTTCCCTTTATCAGATGACGAGGATAAACGTGGTGGTAGGTTGGTACACGTAGGAATCGAAAGAACCGCGTTCTTCCGCGAGGCAAACTCTTAACAGGACGCTCTGACATGGCAGTAAGTGGAAAATAAAAAAGGAATAAGAGGGATGGAAAAAAAAAGGGCAGACGGTATCGTACGGGTAGGATATTAAAAAAGTGGAGGTGGAGGAACGACGAGAGAAATCGAGAGGAGTGTTTTCGTCATAGCACCGAGGCGAGGAGAAATGACATTACATACCGTGAAGGCGCGATGCAGAAAAAGCTCTCGAGCTTCGAGCAACGGTTCGCGCACGTCGACGACACGAAACCACGACTGCAAAAAACCGCTTGAAAAGCTCCGGTACCTGGCTCCAATGATCACCGGGATTCGTGCTACACGATTATACGCGTACCATTGACGCGTGCACGAACGTTTACGCGCTTAGAAGCGGCCACGCGCTTTGTTCTCCAGCTAACGAGAACTTGAGAAACAATAGCCGTAGAACTAATTTCTTCATTCGACGATGAATGTAATCGTAATGGATAGCTTTTTAAATTCGTAATAAATTGGTCCATCGAGTGGGTCTCGGTGAATACGATCTTGATGGTGTTACGTTTAATTTGCCGAAACGTCGTGGTGGATTTTTTCCACGTCATTGGATATTACGAATATACAGTACGTTAACTTTGTATACGTGTAGACGTGCCCGTGGGGACTGTGCGGCTAGCGAAGGGGGTGATTCCTCCGAAGGTTTGCGAACACGCGACGCCAAAGTTTATGCAGGTATACCTGCACCCTCGCGGAAAAGGATCGTGTAGAACCTATGGAAAATCATGAAGCACGATTTCTGTCTCGCGTCTGCGTCGAATCAAATATACGCGACAATAGTTTCGCGATAGGACGTCTTGTTTACGAGGGGTGGCAGGGTGAAGTTTCGCGGTGCACTCCCGTCACCCTGCACAGTGTATATTCTCCGGTTAATAACAAACAGCCGCGAACTGTTCCTGTTCTTCCCCCCCGATAAAAAGTAAAGCGATCGTCTGGAGGAGAGATAGGACGAGTTCTTTTGGAGTGCGTAAAGTAGCACGGGTAACGCGCGTGCTAAAAGGAGCTTGGCAAGAGGGAAGAGAAAGAGAGAGCAGCATCTCGCGGCAGGGATGAACGTTTTCGATTCGTCTTTTAGCGTGCCGATGATCGCGGAGACGCGGTTCGCCGCCGCAAAACCATCATTTCCCATTGGCGAGAAGAAACCTCGGCCGCTTCCGACGACCTCAGTTACTTTTCATCCGTCAAAATTCAACGGGCGCAGACACGGCAGTATGTAGACACGTAAAAAAGGGGGGGGGGGGGGGGGGGGGCGAGGGATACCGATAGTCGAAGACGAAAAGAAGGAAGGAAGGATGGGTGGTATCGCGTTGAAGAGGAGGACAGACGTTCGGAACACTACGGTACACGGCGCGAAATGCTCTTCACTGATTTCCTTCTCTAAATATGGCCGCCTTCGTTGCCATCCTCTCTTTCTCGAACACCCGAAGCTGGTGCACCCCCTTTCCGATAACCACCCATAACCGCCCCTGCTTGCCCGAGGTTCTACTTGATTGCCAAGGCGTCTTAACCTCGGCCTCGGTTCGTCCGCGCGGACTCGTCGAACGTTTCGACGTGGAAAAAGATCGTGCCAGCCTATAACAGCTTCAAGTTTACCGTTCTAGCCAACCTGAAGGGAGAAAAATCCCAGGCGACGCCCAGTGGGCGAATAAAGAGGCGTAATCGAGAACGAAAAAGGCCAATCCTGCCAGAAGAGCGAGCCAACACCAACCAACTGGCTTTCATATAGAACTAACCCTAACAGCCGCGCGTTTAATCCGCGCGGACTGCTCGCCGACCTTTATTATGCCTTTCTACGTGTCGGTATACATTTGTATAGACACGGCTACAACCGAGCGGGCCTATACTCCCGCTGGTCTCCTCGAGTTTCCCAGTCGAGTCACGAGGGTTTGGGGCTCGAAGAAGGAAGAGGGTACGACCCCGACCGATGGTCGGTGGAAGAAAGAGGAGCAAGGGACGATCACCGAATGAACGAACATTTCCGTGGCACGAACCACGAAAAACGTTCAAACCCGGAGAATAGCGTTCGCTGGTGGAATGGTAGTGGTGATAGTTACCTCGATGTCTCGGTGTCCCTCGTCGGCCCACTCCACACGGACTAGTCCAGCCAATTAATACCAACGCCTTTCGCTCCCAGACTCCGAAAAATCCTCTTGTTCGTCGCCGCGACAACGAGCAACCGTAGCTCCGTTCCACGATATCGTTCCAGCTAGTCGAACCGTTTCGTTGACAAGTGCAACCAAGGTGTTATCCCTCTGTGAAAAAGTTTCGTCCAATTGGACGTTCGTTGCCATACGAATCGGGTACAGTCCCGGACCCGTTGTCTCGTACAGATTTATCGTTAGAAGCTAACATTCGCGTTATCAACGTCTTTATTGCATCGCGAACGCACGTTACACGGTTGTCGTTTCCCTCTGGAATGTCAAGTTCTTCGATGCCAAAGGTACAGGGCGAAAGGGGTAGGGATAAGTCTTGAAAAATAGAGGGAATCCGATTAAAAGTCTGAGAGCGAAGGAATCTCGAGAATTTCTTGCATTATTTGCTTATTTTTATCCTACGGTTTTCTCCGCCGTTCTGTAAACGTTACATCGTGGAAATATAATATTTAACAAAAGTTTACAGCAATTCGGACTGGCGAATATAACGAATACGCCGACGCGACGCGGCCAATTATATCGTTACGTGTGTATTTACGAATGCGGCGACGTGCAGGCGGTCCCCGTTTCGCCCTGACGCGTTCATTCAGGGAATCAGGAAAAATCGAGCGTACGAGGCGCGAACGCGTTTGATTGAAAAAATAAAACGAAAGGAAAACTGAAACAAGCGGGCGATACAAACGGTCACGCAGGCGCGTAGATCGCGCTCGTTATTTTGAAGAGCAGCGAACGAGCGACGGATATATTTGACGTATCAATAAATTATAATGAATTTTGGCGCATGGAATGTTAACAGACGCGCACGTGTTCATAAAATTCCGTCTGCGCTTATGACGAAGCGTTCAGGTAACAACCTGTATGTCAATGCAGATCTCGTTCGGCCGATATTTTAGGGAATTCCAATATATTTCGTTCGGATTAAATTAATAATCGATTTTATAACGTGCCAACCGATTTATTAGCATGCCGTTGCTGTTGTACATAAAATTCCACTTATCCTTCTCTTTTCCTCGCTATTTTTTTTTTTCTTTTTTCAACCCCTACGGAAATTCAACCCCTCCTACTCTTTCTCTTCCTCTTTCTTCTCTTGCACCGTCCCCGAGGCTCTTTCGTCAGAGATTTCGATCGATCGTTTTCAATGCGGTGTCATTTCGACAAGAGCCACGCCGAGCGAACACTCTCGACGCTTAACGATCGTTTTATAAAATGACGTGACCCTCGTAATTTCATTATGCCTTAATCCGACGAACGTTCGCGTTACGCTCGAGCGGGAAAGAGAAAACGCCCTAGACCAGACGGCTGCGCGAGACAGAGCAGGGAAAAGAGAACGAGAGGAATGGTGAAATGGTGAAAAAAAGGGTGGGAAGGTAGTAGAAATCTCTCCTCGATATTCAAGAGTGGCACTCGCAATATTAACGAGCGCCTATTAGCGAGTGGCAACTGACAGGGCAAGGGAAATCCGTTTTTAGTTTTTCTCCTTCTCACCCTTTTCTTCTCCGCTTCTCCTTTTTCTCTGCTAAATACAAAAGTCAAAGCGAAACACCTACCCCCGAGTCGTTAAATCATTTAGAAACTAGAATTAACTGTAACTTTAGATACCCCGAATGCAATCTGGTACTCGTGTTTCTGCATCGTGCTAGATTTTGAAAAAGACCCGCCAGTCGATCGAGCGGTTCACAGATGCTCGATTCGATTTCGTAACGCATCGAGGAAGCGTCAACTTTCTTATCGGCGTTCACCCTGATAGACCGATAACCGATTTATCGCGTCTTAACATCGAACGTCTACACCTCTCGATATCAGGAGCAAACAATCAACATCGGTAAACAATCTAACAAACGCTGTTGTTCGAACGATAAACGGGTGTAATCTTTTGATGGAGTTGAAAATAATATGTAAGTTTGGGGACGTTCAAAGCCTACGTTCTTATTAGAAAGAAATTTATAGTTGTGTCTGTTTTACCAGACACTTTTCTACCACACCTCGTATTTACAATTAAAAAGATACAATTTTTACACCCTTTGATTCTATTTTTTTAGAAATCAGTCGAAATCAGCACAAGAAACTATTAAAATAATCGTTTGACAAGCTTACATTATAAAAAGACCGCCATAAATTAAAATTTTTTAAAATTCGATCCCAGCGCCATCTATACGAAAACGGCGCAAACTACTCAGCGACTTACCGACCAATTTTTTGAAACAGGGGAACACTAGCGCATCTATCGGGGAACAGCGGAAACTAGTTGACAAGTAGTTTCCGCTGTTCTCCGATAGATGCGCTAGTGTTCCCCTGTTTCAAAAAATCGATCGGTAAGTCGTTGAGTAGTTTGCGCCGTTTTTGTATAGATGGCGCTAGGATCGAATTAAAAATATTTTTGAAATTCTTTATTATGGGCGATGTAATTTTGCAATTAATTTATAATTAATGTGTGTAACCATCAAAAGCTTCGATTTCTTTGATCAATGAACCAATTCTATTATAATCGAAGTGTATTTATTTCATCAAGAATATAATTTATTTGGTTCTCTAAAATCAAAGACATGATCACGTAAAATTACTTCAGTTACTTTATTAACATCATATGCGACCTATCAAATAATATTCATTTTCGATATTCCTTAATTTTAATAAGAACGTAATTTGGAATCGTCTTTCCTTATCCACCGTATTAGGCTAATTTGATTCCCTTCCATGTTAAAATTGATGAAAACCTTGCTAAAAATTAGCAAGATTTAAAAAAAATCATTTTTTTAATACAGTTCACCAATATTGTACATAAAATACAGTACCTTGCATCCGTATAAAAGTTCCGCTTGCGAGTTATTCAATGAAGCTACTCAATCGAAATTAATTATCTACATAAATTACAGACACATTGTTTGGGTAAAAGTTTATAACACATTATTTAACAAAGCTTACGTGAAACAAACTATAGCCTTAGATAATCCATGATTACAGTGGGACGTATTGAATCGTGTCTAATCACTTTTTCAAATACCATCGATCATTCCACGCTTCCCTCCTTAAATCGAATAGTGGACTATAATTTAGTACAGTTGATATCGATTAATGATAGTGTCATCGTTATTAAAAAAATGGAATCTATATGAAAAAGATCATTTTAATATCGACGACACATAAATAGCGTACAATACGTATTATTATCTGTATAATACCTACACAGGGATCATTTGATTAAGAACAATACATTTGCGTTTAACATTTGTGTAACGATAATTCTACAGAAAACACATTTTAATAATGAAAAAAAAAAAAGTATTTTAACATAGTAGCGTGTTGGGGATCAATGAATACATAGAGCATAATGGGAGAGAGCAACTGTAACTTATTTACCATAATTTTTAATAACACAAAGGTACACTGTCAATTATTTAACATATTTATAGATTAAAAAAAAAATGAAAGATACCTCTTGACACAGCTACAGGCTACGTCGATTAAAGAAATCAATACTTTACGGAATATCTCGTTACGTGACACCTGAAGGTATCCCAGATTTATCAAAATTATTCAACCGATGCACGAAATTACAATTATTAGTAATATTTGTGGTTACATTTTATGAATATATTTTGTGTATTCCCTTGGTCGCTGTTAATTTTCACGTTTCATTCAACGCTACCTAGTTTCTCCTTTACAGATACTCTAAGCCATTATGAACTGTTTCCTCCCTTATCGTTATTATTTCGGTTGCCTATCTTGATCTGAAAAATATTTTGTCGCGTTCGGGAAGCGTATGGGATCTGGGAAATCTGGTGTTCCGTATCTACGTGGATTCAAGCAGTCCCTGATCGCTTGACCGAATGCACGCCTAACACCTGGATCTACAGCCACGGCGACTGCAGCACCCTCGACTTCTTCGACGCCCGCTCGGGTTACACCTTCTCTTACTAAACGCTCCATGGATGCTGCTATTGCTGAATGATTAGGAGTTGGGCTAACTAATAATCGCGGTTTTTGTTGCTCGATAAGTTTACGCCGTTTAGTGGGTAGTGTACCTAAATAAGCATCGCTGAACGTTGCCACGCCACCATTTGTCATTCCTTGCATTTGTAATTGACGACGTTGTCGTACACCGTCTCGAGCAATGATCGGTACCCAATCCTAAAACATTTTTTATGCTACTATTGCCTACAACATAAATTCACATCGTACACAAAGTAATATAAAAACTTACAGAAGGTAATGCTTCATGACCTGGAAATGTTTCTGGAACTTCTTCGCCATCATCTGGCAAGGATGCTTCGAAAGTTGTTCTTTCTTCAATTGCTTCAGTTTCCATAGGCTGGGATTATGGTTAATTCTTAGATTTCTTCTCTCAAAGAACACGATTGAGGGTATACAAATATATGCAGATAACTTACCTCCACTTCAGATTGTGTCTGCGAAGGTTGATGAGTTGGAGCTGAAGGCACCGTTGACGGCTGAGAAGGTACATCTTTATACACTAAAAGCGGAAGAATTTCTGATTCTGGAGGTTGTGAAACGCGCGAGGAGTAAGTACGTAACTGAGCAACAAATATATTGGGCAACCATCGATGAAACTCAGGACGCGTACCCTCCAACATCTCAGTCTATTCGGGAAAAATAGAAATATTAATTAAAATATAAAAAAAATGTATTTTTTAAAAATGTACATAACATACCATGAAACGGGACACTACGACTTCTAATCCCGATTGTCCGCCACGAATGGAATATCGAAGTACTGCACACAATTGTCTTCCCAAATTATTGACAATATTGAAAATTTCTTGACCAAATCTGGCATCATCAATATCTAAATAAATATTGAAAATATGAACTTAGACAGTAGCTCTACAAAATAGTTATTGAATTTTTGATACTCTGATGTACAAACCATTATTGAATAGAAATTGTAATATATCTTTGATATGACGGCGAAGTAAAGCTTCCACAGTTGCGCAAATATCTATACGCGAACCATTTCTAATATTAACTTCCTCTTCTGACGCGAAAAGATTCTGAAAGAGTGGTCTTAATTGAGATAGTAATCGTTCCGCAGCTTGTTCCTGAAGTGCTTCCGTACTGGTATTTGGGAAAGAATATTGCAAGAACTCTTGTAACGGTCTTCTAAGATGCGAAATTGGCTCCCATTGACCAGTTCGTAATCTTATTATACCTTCTAACGTCAAGTTTTGAACCTGCAAATGTTTTAAAACAAAAGTGACTTTAGATTTATATTATACGAAACATTAGAAAAGAATTCATAAAAATATGTTTAATTACCACTAATACAGCTAAATCTAGAAGTAAATCTCCTTCGCTTTCTGAATCCTGTGATGAAAGAAGATTCATTTGAATGCCTGCATGTTCTAATAAATCCGCGAATGTAACATCGCTTCCGGTGGGATTCCCACTGTTGATTATAAATAACATAAATTATGTTTCCTTTAATGGATAAACATTTTATATGTTTAATAAACAATTTACTTACCTATCTCCTACAATACCCACATGAATATTTCTACCACTAAATAATTGTAGAATATTTCCAAGACTTTCAGCTAGATCATGATCTGTTACAAAGATTTATACATTTTAATTTTATATTTTTTAAGCGGTAAATACAAATACTAACTGTTACTGTTGATACTGATGCTTGCTTGTGGTTGACCGCTTCTGCCTCCTAAAATTTGTTGCGGCAAGAACATGAATGGATCGTTTGTATTTGTTTGTGATGTTGTCGATGCTGTAGTATTCGTAGAGCTAGTGTTACTGGTTGCGCTTGAAGTTGTTGCTATAAATATAATAATGTTACTTTAAGCACGTATAGGGATATAAGATAATCGCTATTATTTATTTAAATGATATACCTGTTTGTGCCTGTGACTGAGTTTCAGACGTAGCTGTTTGACTTGTTTGCGTAGACTGTGATGTAGACGTGACAGTATTAGAACTTGTAGTCGATGTTCGACGAACGTGATGCGAATTACACGGCAGGAATGGATCAAAGTCAAACGCTTGTCCTATACTCATTCCAACACCCAAGGGGTGAGCCTGTTGATGAAATACATGGGGACGCGATGTACTTCTAGTCTGTGTTGCCGTGGTAGGATGAGTACCAACGTTGCTTCTGTAATAAATATATTATAATTAAAATGTTATAAATCGATGGTACGATTAGAAAGATTAAAAAATTTTAATAGACCTACCGCGCTTGGGTGCTTTGTCCGGCGTTCGTATTTCCACTGTCCATCGTCGTAACATTTTGTTGTCCAACTGTTACAGGATTTCTAGTTGTAATTGTTGTATTAGTCATACCACTTTGTACCATATGTCCAGCAACAGCCTGCATTAAATTTCGTATGAAATCAGGCGCGGGAGCTGAACCCCAAGAAAATCCACCAGCAGTACCACCTACTCTTCCTCCTGTTTAAACAATTAAGTAATATAGCTATAACAATCGAAACACTTTAATGGACGATGTTGCTAAGGTGATGACAATAACAGTAATAATATTCTTACTACGGACAACTTACCGACATTATTGTTATTGTTGTTGTTATTATTTTCACCTGTTTGAGTTTGTTCACTTCCTGATGCAGCATCCATATTACTTTCAGGACTAACTTCCATCAATACTTCCACATTATTTGGCAAGTTAAACACCGTGCCTAAGAAGTAAGTTGAAATTAATTATCAAAATAATTAAGCTTTTTTAAACTACTGTACGTACCAAATGGAGACTGTGCCTGCTCTTGCGGTTGTTGTTGCGGTTGTTCTGCCTGTTGTTGAGTAGCAGATTCAGGTTCTGGCTGTTGACTGGAATCTTCGGCATTGCTTTCGGCTGATTCTGGTTGCGAAGCATTATTAGTCGAGTCCCCACTTTCTTCATTACCATTATTATTATTTGCATTACGACCATGTAAACTGATGTGCGCCTATTAGAGAAACGTTAGAAAAAAATTGTGTTAAAAAAGGAACAAAATTTAAACGTTACAAGCACTCATCCTCACCTCTACCTGGATTGGTATACCGGGCTGTAAGATAGCTGAATGTTGAATAATAATTGGTCTGCATCGCAAATTTCTTGGTGGTTGCTGACTCATATCAACAATTATATCACTTAAAGCGTGACAAGCGTGAGACATGTAGTGTAAGCATTCATTGGCACCATCCACATACGCCTGATTTTCTTCAACTCGTCTCCCCTAAGAATTAATAATTTTCTGATGTTAACTACTGTAAAAATAAAATTTCTACGAACATCGCACTATACCTACCCCTGGCGGTAATGAAGGATCATCACGCATAATTTTACAATACCGGTCTAATACCGGTCGCAAACGAGCTTGAGTATCCTGTAACATTTCCAATAATTCTGCCAACTGTGGAGGTCGTGGAAGCCTAGAAACAATACATTCATGATTGTAATATTGAACTACAAAACCACAGGATGTATATAAAAATATTCTTACTGTGGTGACGCTCGTCTATTAGACTGTCCATCAGTATTCGATGTAGATCCTTGTTGTTCAGCTTGTGGTTGTTGCGGCTGTTGTGAATCTGTTTGATTTTCTTCAGCAGCCTCGGTTGTTGGCCTTGCTTCAGCCGTTTCATCGCTACTTCCTGCTTTAACAATTAATAATTATATAAAATGAAGTATTTCTAATACTTTTATTTTTATTTTTGCTTCGTACACATACCCCTAAGTGGTGTCACATTATTAGCTCCAGCTGCAGATAAAGCAGCTACTATTGCTGCAGCTGCAGCAGCTTCTGCTAATATGGCACCATTATTTGTTCTACCCTCGATATTACTGAAAACACTGTGATTATTGACTTACACTAAACATTATGAATATACTCGGTTTACTCACAACTGTTCTGGTTCCAGTTCTGATTCTTGCATTAATTCACCCAAAGCTGGTCGATTATTTTCAGATGCAGCAAGATTAACAGGACGGGACGGATTCTCAAGCCTGTCCATAAGCCTATTTGTGCGTTCAACCATGTGTCTCGCGACAATTAATCGACCATTAGATAAAGTATTACTGAACTGAGGTAGCGCTAGTCCTATTGAATGAAACGATAAGTGTAATGTAATATATTCTAACTGTTATAAATAATATTGCACAAGAATATTAATTTGAGTACCATGTCCTTCAACAATTTCAGCTGGTACTGACATAGCACCCAAATACATGGCATTGCCATGCATTTGAGCACGGGTGAGTCTGTAGTGTGTTCTTTGTGCATTTTGCCAGCCGTGTGATCCATGATTTTGGCCCTGACTTTGGCCTCCATCATTTCCTCGTTGACCAGGTTGAGGTGGCGCACGTTGTACCAAATGTATAACTTTTCCATTAACATCTAAATCACAAAGATTCAAATTATTGAAAATTTACAAGTTTTCATAGAAAATTGTTTTGTAATCCAAAATTCTTTACCATAATCATTTAATTTCTTCTCATCTTGAAGAACTCTACCACAATAAATAAGTCTTTGCGAATCTGCTGGTACTGCCACAGACTCTGCTATATATTCTTTAAAGCCCCTTACTGTAATTTGCTATAACAAAGTATTTATCAATTAAATTAATCAGATCATCTTTAATATTATCAGCTATACTTGTGATATTATTTCATATTATTACATCATACATTAATATATCGTATATTTGAGCAATATCAGTGCATTAACTGAATTACAACAATTATGATAAAAGGAACATACTGGAATTTTACAATGTCATGTTTTATATAATCGTACAAAAATATGTTATTTTGAGTATTTATATTGTCAACTATCTGTTAGGAAAGTATTAAGCCCCATACATGTAGAAAAACATGATGAAACGCATCAGTAATTATAGTAATAACATAAAAAAGTTAATTCCTGAGATGGAAAGAGTAGTTGATTAAATATTATGAATAATCATAAAAATGATAATTCTGGAAATTACTTCTAGAATGCAAAGTATGAATGATGTGGTTAAAAATAGTAATACATATATAAATTGGTGCATGAATAATCATAAAGCATGCCACATAGGATATTGCAGTGAATAGCATCATTAGTCATAAACATATAGCATTCGTTGCCTGAAAAGTATAAAAAAAAATCCTTACATCGTCTTCCAAAGAAAAAGCATGATTTTGTGAATCCAAGGTCTTCACTGTAAGGTCAATCATCGTTGATCGGCCTTAATTGATGCGGCAAAACTAAAATTTATGGAAAGGAACAACAGTATTAGAACGGACAATGAGAAATATAGAACCCCGTCGTCTACACTCGCGCAGGGACAAAGATACAAGACTGTAAACGACACTCGATCAAGTAGCTAATAGCTAAGATTCGATATCTAAAATTTCTAAAAAAAAAAATGATCTTAACGCTAATCAATCAGATGATATAAATAAATTATGTAATTATAGTCTATCACTCCGTTTTTATGGTGTAATCGTTTTTTGACGAACCCACCGATGAAATTTTACTGCGACGGCCGACACGACACACGTTATTTTACCCAGAATTCGCTTTGTTAGTAAAATCACAAGCGTTGCCAATATACCAGTTCCATGATTCCCTAGGTAAAACACGATTCAAAATTGATAAAGAAGCGCCCTCATATGTACATACGATATCTACGCGCTTGAAAATTCCTTCAATGATGGATAGATGGCAGTAGCAAAGGTTATAACGGACAAAATACGAATTGTGATTCTGATTTAAGTGGAACTGGTAAATCGTAATTATTATCGTGTCATACAGAATCTGGATGTAAGATCATGCATATACGAAGACTAGTAAATGGTAAATCATATTTTACAAAAATTTTAAACTATACATGACTATAACGTAAGTACATCTTATACTTAGAATTTCACTCCACAAGGCATCCATTTTTTTTAATACATTATTCGTACATTTCAATAGGCAACATTATACTATGAATGCAATGAATACTTGGAATCTAAATTTCAAATAACGCATGGAAAAACAGGGTTAGAAGTAAAAAAGAAACGCCATATCGGTTAAATCTCCCAAGTATACAATACAAATTCATCTTAACCTTAGAAGAACGGAGTCTCGTGCAGGACGATTGTTTATTAAACCAAGGTCATTTTTTCAACACTAATCTATAGGACATCTAGGAAAATAAATAAGTTTTTAGAAAAGTAATCAATTTTCAATGGTTTCCATATACCAGGTTCGCCGTGGTCCCCCTCCCGTCTTCCTAAGGTTAAAGGTGCTACTTTGAAGCGTCGAAGTCGAGGGGTGTCAGAAACGTGAAAACAAATTTACCTTGTCGCAGACGTACCATCGATGATTCGAACAGCAGCAAGGAACATAATCAAAAATCCAGGCATCGACTTGCCATGGACATCGCGTGATCCGTACGAAGATGAAAAAGAGAAGCAGAGAAGACTCATGGCAGGCCGATCGCATTATTCAGATTAGGGCATCGACTGAGCCACGCGGGTATGCGAGTACACGAGTTTCTTTGTATGAGTATGTACGTGTACATGGTTATATATCGGTAGAAGATAATACCGGCCGATCGTGCACCGCAGAAGAATGTTAATGGTGCATCAGTTTTGTATGCAGGAAGTGACGGCGCGTCCCGTCTCATACCGTAGCGGGTCCCGGCGCCCTGGCGTCCGAGCAGAAAAAGGCCCAATAAGACTGATAGAAGTGAAAAACCAAGAGATTCACCCGTGGCCGTGTCGGAGGAAGGAAAGAGAGATGCTCCTTTAAATCCCATCATAAACACACATAGCCAGGGGCTCTCAACATTCTTGAAAAATGTAAGATTTACGCTAGCCGTGATTTACTTCGTATGCGATACATACAGTGAGAGGCAAAAGTAAGTAGACACTGTACAAAATAGAATACCTCGGTTAAAATTCGACTAAATAACTTGAGGTTTTTTGAAAAGCTATAAAAATTAATTTTCATCGTTTTAAAAAATTACAATTTGTTGAGTCTATAATGAAAATTTAAAATATCTCTTTCGTAGATTCAGATAAGTTATGTGTATACTGAAAATTTCATTGAAATTGGTCAACGCATTTAAAAGTTATAAGTAATTAAAATTTCCAAAAGTCGCGACTTTTCATCCAAGTTCTTTTTTTTCACGATTTCAACAAATTATATTTTTTTTAAATGATGAAAATTGTAGTGAATTAATTCTTATAGCTTCTCAAAAAGCCTCAAGTTATTTAGTCCAATTTTAACCGAGGTATTCTATTTTGAACAGTGTCTACTTACTTTTGCCTCTCACTGTACAATTACTCTGCTGCTTTCTACATTTGTATTTTCAGTCACACACTCTCCTCGTGAATACGATGCGGCTCTTTTATAGGCTTGATCTTGATAAGCAATGATATTACTAGTGCATCTTGTTTACATCTTATTAGATCATAGTAAGGACGTTGGTAAGATCGACATTGATATCATTTTAATTATTATCACCTTCAATAGCACTCATTTGCATTACAGTTCGAAATGAATTTAATTTGCTTTGAATGCATATGGAATGAATACTCAAGGTCGCCAGACACCTGTAACATTGTTATTTCATAAGAAATCGAAGCGTCACTTATATGCGATGATTGGTAACGAACGTCTTAACATTAATCCTATGCCGGGATGAAGACGGATAACATTTGAAGGATGAAGATCGCTGTATTAATGTACCGAGAGAAAAAGTAAGGGGTTACATCTTGGTCCTATGGAACAAGAAATAGAGAGGCGCCAGCCAGAGTTGTAGCTTCGTAATGATGTAGCTGTCTCGATTTAACATGCTTTGCAGTCTTGCCGGCTAGTAGACACTTAACTTATCTTAGTTTTTAGCGTAGGCTCAGTTCGCTCGGTTTCCTTTATTACGGACAATAATGACAGGATGAAAAGGGAAGCGAAGAAGCAGGATATCAAACGTACCGAGATGGTCTGTGAAAATAATGAAAAAGGCCGAAGAAAGTTTTCGCTATTATCGGTATCTATATTACTCTACGATATCCGGATTATCAGCTTAATTAATAATCGCCTCAACTGATGGATTGGAAACGATCGGAATACAGGTATTCGAGACAAAATTTCTCGCCCGTAGTGATTTCGGGATAAATCCTCCGAAGAATTTGAAAATCCTGTTTAGCTTTGACCATCACGCGCTACCTTAATACTTTTATATCCTCTAAACTGCTACTGGCTTCTGCCTCCTTTCCCCATCCTCTTTCTTCCTTCCCGTCGTTCCTCTTTTCCGACAAGAAAACGAGGAGTTCGCGTGCGTGTCTCGAAGCTATGCAACAGCCCGAGATCCTGGGAAGCTGGGAGGAGGGATAAACCAATACCGAGGCCGGTAGCGGACGAGTGCGTGACACGTCGAGCGCGAATGTGTGCGTTGGCGCCAGGCCGCATTCTCGCATTCGTTAACTAACACATCGAGTTAATCCCTCCGCAGCTCGTGCCTTGTTCTCCCTCACCCCAGTACCCCGTCGATATTAAGAGCGGTCACGGATACCAAATTTGCCATCCGTGGGGAGGCGAGACACCGATTTGTCCTCGGCCCGTTTGCATGCCATCGGTACGCGGTAAGATGACCGGTTTCTACTGCTGTAGATTGACCGGCAATCGTATTTCGGATCAAACTGTTCACCAGAAGAGAATACACCCGTATCCAAGCCATCGTGTCGCACACCGACAACGAAACGTATCGTCTTGATTAGCTATCGCGACCACCGTCCCGTACTTTCGTTTCAGGGACTTTGAACGAAAACGTTTAAAAAAAATATAATATCTTCCCCTCTCTGCGTTCCACGTAACTCATTAAAGTATATATATATATATTTTTTTTTTTTTCTTTTCTTTACAGTCAAAGCAAGATCCAATTAACACGTTCAATTAATGGGAACGAGCAGAATCATTCTTGTCGGCGTTGGCGGGGAGTAACGCATAGAAATCAGTCAGAGAAAATACGACGTATACCCATAAAATATTTGCTTTCGCTTCAATGATCCACGAAGCGAACGTCCGATCATCGAGGTCAGTAATTAATCTGTATCAGTTTACAATGAACGAAAGAGAGCGTTGAAAGAGCACTTATGATTCCAACGACCCCGTAATCAATATTAATTGCATATTAATGAGTAAATTGCGTTGAGTCTACCCGAAGAAGTCCTTGTTTCAGGAAACTTCGAAAAGGAGAAATAAAATGAGGGGAAAAAGGAAACATTGAACTTGGTAGCCGTGACGAACGTAATAACTTGCGAAGAATAACGGGGACGCTGTCGCATGAATTGACAACGCGTTAACTCTACCTGAGATAATTGCATCGTGCCAGGAGCGTGAATCGTGTCAAACATCGTGTAAGAGCTGTGTACCGAGGCATGCGTATCGACGCGACACCCACCTAAATCATCAGCCTCTTTCTTCGTGGTCGTACACGGTACCCACAACCGTATGGACCAGTAAGCACGGTAAATAAAACTACGATGGCAACTAGAACGACGACACGAGGATGGAAAACATCAAATCAACATTCCAACAGCGTTTTTGATGGTTCGTCCACTACAAAGTCCATCTCGACGGCGAAAACAATTAGAATAATCGCAATAATCACAACAATGAAAATGATGACAGATACCAGAGGAGACTGATCATTGGTTCGATAGAATCAACATTCCAGTAGCATTCTCAACCGTTCGCCCACCTCGAAATTCATTCTCTACGTCCCCTCTCTTCAGATACCTACAGCGGATAGTCTCGTTCCAAAGTGTGAACCAAAGAAAAGGGTGACCGATGATCCGGTGCTAAGAGGGTCGAGTGGAAAAAAAGAAAGATGTCTGATAATAATAGAGAAGTGGTGTAACATCAGCAGTCCATCAAAATAATGCGTCGCAATGAAACGGTACCTCGTTTGTACATCGTTTCAACAACTACGAATACACGTGACGGCACGTGATACGGTATTGGTGATTTAACAAACGGGGTGCATCTGGGATAATCGACTGTATCGAAATTCATGGAACGATAAACGCCGTGGGTTACACGAAACTTACCCGATATTACGCATTTTCTCCCGCCTTTGATTGTTAAATAATCATCAAGATACAGTACGATGCGACTTTGCTTTCAAGGTATCAGTCGTTTACGAGATCCGAGTGTCGGTCACATACGTGTCTATTAGCTGCTGCAACTGAGGAAGGGGAAATGGAAGAGACAGAGAGAGGGAGTGAGATAAACGAGCAGAAGTGTCGGAGAGAGGGAAAGGAAAAGAGTGAAAAAGAAAGAGATGGACCTACCAGCGAATTATCTGGTATTTTCTTTCAGCCTGCGGACCCCGGAGCGACTAAGCAAAGGTCAAAAGTTGAGCAATGCTCTTCTTATCGGTGCAAACACCGCCTTCGCGTATGCAGTGCGCCGGCACCGAACGATTGATGGACTTATTCCTCTGTTGCGTGAAAACGTTCACGCTAGTCGCGTATGGCGCCTTTGTCGAGAAGAATATCTTCCACTGCGACCTAACGATCCGCTGTCAGGGGTGGACGAATTCGTACGTACAAGGAAAAAACGATCGAGTTTAAGTTAAGCTTTGTGGATCGTTTTAAACGAGCCACGTTATCACGTGCACCCCTCTCGGAGATGCGACGATCGACAGGAGCCGAACGACCAAACGAAGGGAGGAAACGCGGATTCGTTTCACGCGGCAAGCTGAAACGGGCTACTGGTCCCAGCGAAACGTACGGACCAAACGAGATAATTAAATCGACGTTGACCGACAAACAAGAAACGAACCAGAGGGAAGCGAGAAACGGGCAAAAGAAAAGATACTCCGGTACGGACCGGAGGCACACATAATGTACGAGTCCTAAGAAAAGTTGAAGTCCGTGCCGGAGGCGCGGCGCCGCGCCACCGCACGACTATAAGTAAGTCTCGCGCGGCGCGCCGCGGCTTAATGCCGTTGCCGCGTTCGTGGCGCCAAGAGGAGGGCCCATTGGCGACGATAAGCCTCCTTCGTGTCCGGCACGAACGAGAAAAAGAAACAGAGAAAAACGGAGATAGATACACAGCAGTCAGCTTTCACCCGCGTTTCAGCCAGTGAATATACTTACGTATATATATATATATACATATACCCCGGCGGGGTGTGGATCGCGACAGTATAGATAATACGTAGCTGTCAGTCGTACTCGGACCAGTGTCAGTCTAGAGTTTGCGTCGACGAACACAGTGTGACCGAGTATCGTTTGCAACACTCCTACTAGCAGCTACCAGTAACGGACGGTTTCAACCCTTACCTCTTATCTCTTAACGTTTGACATTCATTGCAATCGCGTGGCGATGCTTATGATTCTTTGAAGAAAAAAAAAAAAAAAAAAAAAAGAAGAGAGTTGTTGGACTATCCGGGTGAAAGGTTTCCACTCCCTTGGGACGTATCTTGTACATCTATCAGTGAAAAAGATTTGAATCATCGAGTGATTATTGGCTATCGTGTTTTGTGAATTAAGAGAGGAAGGGCTGAGTGGTAAGTGTGAGTGGTGGGATAGAAGGGGTGGTTGGTATCGAGGGGGTGCGCATGGTCCGTGCGGACCGTGGAAAGATCACCTCCGTTGAAGAGCGCGGATCTTTCTATTGGGCCGTTTGGATGGTGATTAGCAGGATCGCGTTCTAACGTTTCGTAGAACGATGTCGGGGCTGCTTTACACGCTACTCGGCTTGGCGGCCAGCACCAGCCTTCATTGCGCTGTTCGCCGTGAGATAAGCCCGTGCACCTGCCGGCAGGAGGAGTTCTCCACTTCCGTGATCAACCCGGCACAGACGGCTGTCGCGGTAGCCACCGCCGTCGTGAATACCGGGAACAATGCCGGCCACCACGGACACGGGGAACGAATCGAGGTCGTGTGCGAACGGATGGATTCGTTCGAGCAAGTGGCAGGTGCGTTAAGGGGTAAATTCACCGCTGAACAACAGATCACCTTGCGGGTCTCCCATTCGAATCTGCGTGACATATCACGGCACGACTTTAAAGAGCTACGGATGTCCATCACCAGGCTCGAACTGAATCACGATCATCTAGGGTGAGTGTAAGTTTACATGCATCGAATCAAATCGGGCCTACGAGTCTATTAATTATGATCACACATGTTTCTCTTTTCTTTTCTTCTTTCAAATGGAAATTGAAAGCAATTAGAAACGCGGGTTTCGCATCGCCATACGGCGTAGGAATCTAAACGTTTATGACTCGATTTGATTGCTTTTAAACAAAGCGCTCAGTGAATGTGGTAGAATGAATACTTTCGCTTACGATCGACCTCGCTGGTTCAAGGAATCTTCCTCGATCATTTCGTGGAAGACGTAAAACCGAGGAAATTCTTCGAGTTGTCGCGGTGTTGATGAAGAAAATCGTGTGACGATGATAATGACGCGTGGTTAAGTGATATCAGTGCCACGCTTACTCTAACCACGCGTATACGTTTGATCGACTAAGTATCGCGTTTCTAGAAGTTTTTTAAGCATTCTTCACCTTCGCCTTACTTTTAACACAAATTTCTTTTTTTTATATTTAATATAATTCTGAAATTTGTTCAATTTACGATCGTTAGATCAAAGTACATCTCGTCTTGATGAAATTTAAACACGAAAAACAACGATGGCAATAGTTTATGAATATTAATTAATCGATCAATGAAACTTGAATGTTATACGATTTATAATGTTCCCTTAGCTTCGTAATACGTGTCTGACTACACATTAGTTCGTCTGAATTCCTTAATCACTGACGAAACATCAGCGAAACCAGTGACTACAGATAGTCACTGGCGAAATATCGTAAATCGTAAAATAGAAACGAGATGCAAACTAAAGAGAAGAAAAAAAAAATAGAAGAAAAAGGAGGAGACCAGTGATAGGAGATAAAGGAGAAAAAATGTAAAGCAATGGAAAGCAGGTATTTCTATGCAAATGTTCGCCATTCAAGGCTCATAGAAGAGGATGCGTGTAAATGCATCATATGCATTGATACGAATGACAATATCTTTACGAAAGGTCATCGTCTGATGCTGCGAGCATTGAATAAAGATGTTTACATGTAACAAAGAAACAGCTCCGATTAGTTTCGTTATTTTGCAAACCGTCAACTATGCGTAACGCCTGACGGTAAAAAATTGTTGCTAATCGAAACTGAGAGAAAACGTTTCCCAAGGTAGACGGATGCATTTCGATATCCTTACACCTCGATGTAACGTTTGCGTCCTTCGATTTACATATTAATTCTAATGCACGCGTATAGTGCTATCGAAAATAATTACTGTAATCTTTGTCCTCATTTATCTTCGAAACATTCTATTTGCTTTCATATATTTTAACACTACCACCGATAAAATATTAAATAATACGACGATAGTGTACGAGAAGTGAAATTTGTGAATTCAGATATCGTCACATTGTATCCAATTAATGTAACAAATATCATTAGGAATTATATATTTGTATAAAATGAGGATAATCGAAATGCATGTGCCACGATAGATCTCTTACGAAATCATTCGACGATGATTTATCTATACAAGAAAAAAAAAACAAGAAAAAACAGGAAAACATCGATCATAATGGATCGACGGTATCGATAAAATCTTACCATTCAAAGTTAATTCATCGATCACTGATTTTCCTTATAGAAACTCACGAGTTTTCTCGTTTCCAACTAAACAGAAATCTCCTGATCCTACGAACAACACAAAGGACGAATACTGGTCTTCCTTGATTACCCTGATACATCGTGTACTTAACGAGAGAAAACGAAAGTCCTTGGGGAACGAACAATCATCGAGAATGCGTCTTCTCGCGAAAAAGAGAAAGAAAGAGAGAGAAAGATAGAAAGACGAAGGCGAGAATGAAATCTTAATCGTGCCTGACCTCTTCGAACGAGTTATCAAGAAGCCCTGCGCTTATCATTTCGGAATAATTAAATAACGAAATGCTGTGAGCCAACGTTATGTGAATAATCGAAAGATAATGACCGTGCGTCGGCCGTGTTTTAGACGTTTCATTGGTCCATTTCTCTCAACGGTATCGCGATAAAGATTTGCACCATTACAGACGGCTGACCATATCGGTGAATTTCGATCGAACGTCACGTTTTAATTAACGCTCATCTTCGACGACTTTGCATCGATCGTTTTCGTAAAAGAAAGAAAAATGAAAATCCTGTGCCAGGCTTGTTACGAATTATCTAATTTCTAATATCGCGACTCCAGTTTCGCGAATAAACGAAAAATGCAACAAATATTTCGAGGAATACATATACACATCAGTAATGACCAACGTAATGACGTAATTAAGTCGAGCTAATTATCAAACATCGATAAGCCGATTATTCAATAATGAAATAAAATTACGAGATGTACTTTGATATTCGTTTAATCCTTTCTGCCCTTTCTCGAAGCGTCAGGAAAAAAAAAAAATGATGTTTTGTCCTCGATGGTCCGTGACTAGGACAATGAGCGATAACTTGGTTTCACTTTTGATAATTGGGGATTGTGTATCGCTCGTTAGCCATGTGTTTACAAGGGCCACATGTGTTCGCTTACAGAGGAAGATAATTCTATCGACTGATGACATTCTAAATTTTTCGAGGACAGAAAACAAGTGAATTTTCATCGAAAAAATTCGATCGTAATCTTTCAACGAAATCGCAAAAAAAGAATGCAATATCTTGCTTTTTTTTTTTTTTATTCTATTAATTAACTCGATATTTCTCGCACAAAAATTTCATTCATTCGACGCGTTTCTTATTTAATTTAAACAGTTGTCACTTCACGACGGATAACCGTCCCGTTGTCGTCGTTCGAGACGGACGTTGAGCGTAACAAGGTTTAATTACGTTTACTCGTACATCGAACGAGAGAAATAAAGAGCGAATTGATGTTTTATAGGTTCGTAGACGGTGAAGTTTTCGCGGGGTTGGGAAGAACGCAATATCTTAGTCTCGCGGATAACGAGGTACCATCCATACCGAGGCATATTCTCTCGCATCTGTCCCTGTTGAGAACCCTAGATCTCAGCAGAAATCGGATAAGCCGTATAGACTCGGATGACTTTAAGGTATGCATAATTTCCTTCAGCCAAACCTAATGAATTACATATACCTTGTGTTCTCGTTTATTCGATTGATTCGAAGCTACCTCGTCTAACGCTAAGAATAAACGTAATCACGATCCTCTGACGCGTACACCTTTTCGAAATAGCGGGGAAATACGCGCGCGGAAAAACGGGGCTTCGTAAACAGGAAGAATATGAACGCGCCATTAATGACGATCAATTACGAACGTTGATGTAACCTTTCTTGACCGTTTTAGTGCTGACTGCTTTCAAGATATGCATTTATCGGACTGATTAAATCTAATCTCATTTGCAGCGAGCAACTTTTCGAATGCACGAATCGTCCTACGGTCCGCGCTTACGATTAAAGTAACTTCTGTATTTTGTAAAAATTCACCGAATTAACGGTGAAGTTTCTTTTTTTTTTTTTTCAATTTTCGCGATAATTAATCGGAGCGCAGTCTTAAGTGACTCACTCCGTAATGCAATAACAGAGTCGCGGTTCATTCACGTTCTTCGGAAATGAAATTCCGTGTCTTTCCTTCGGTCCGAACACGTTTCGCGTTAAGGTCGATTTATATTATCCGTTCAGACACGGGCCGTTTCCGATCAGTTAGGTTCCGACAAATATTGTTCTGTGTTATTGAATACGAGTGTTTATATATACCGTGATGGACCAATACTACATCGTTTTTTTCGGAACCTAACTGATCGGAAACGGCCCGTGTCTGAACGGATAATATAAATCGATCTTTACACGTGATCCGACAATGTATCCGTAACCGGCGTATGAACGAACAATTCATCTGGAAGAGAAGAGGACACAGGCGGAGTCTTCTGTTGGTGGGGTTCCCCTGGCGCTTGTCGCGCACGTGACGGGCCACGTGCAGGGAATTGTTCGCCGATCGTTCTCCAAACGATTCGTACTACTTACGAGGATTCTTTTTCACCCCTGCCTCGTCCTGTTTACCACACGTTTCGGCCGATAAAAAACAATAGAAGTACGGGAGAAACCTTATCGCAATTTTCGATCCGATCCCGCCGGATGATCTTATTCGACGCGCTGCTGGACGTCAATCAGATTAGATTCAACCGTTCCTTCGACGACGTTCGCGTTTATATTTAAAAGCTTCGTATGACGTGAAAATTTTCTTTCTTTTTCCTCTCTATCTTTCTTCGCTGTACGTAATATTGAAAGTTTGATAAAAATGAACGGGCGTCAACTTTGGAATGACTAAGGTGAAATGAAATTCATCGCGTATCTCGCGTGTATATTCCATTTTCCTTACTCGTGGTACGATACTTCAGCTTTGCATACTTGCGAAAGAAAAAGAAAAATACAACCAGACGGCTCTGATGTAATAATATCGTGTCAATGTTGCGAATTATCGCGAAAAAAAAGTGTTTATCTCGGAGTAGTCAGCAGACGCTGATAGGAATTGATCGGTTTCTAAACGAGAGTCCCCGCGAAGTGTTTCTAGTTCTCTCGTAAACGCGGATTTTCTATATTCCGTATAATAAAGTTCCTTCGATAATCAGTACACACCGAGTTATCGTACAACCGATGTTTTTTCATTAATCGTCGAGCGTGTCCTCGTGTTTAATCGCGTTTCGCCGACGCTGTTAAATACGATCTCTTTAAACCGCTGCCTCGTTTCTTTTTCTCTCGTATCCCGTGCGCGAATCAATCGTAGAACCGAAACACCAAAAGGCAAACATACTCCTGTAGTGTAAAGAAATTCTTATTTCAAGATTTTATATGAAATCGATGGAACGCGTTTTCTCGAAATGCACTTTTTACGTATGATTTTTCAGTACAACCCGACGTTGCAGCATCTGTCGATGGCCGGAAATGCGATTTCCGAAATGGTACCGGGCTCGTTACCGCCGTTGGTGAAGCATCTTCACGTCGGCCGCAATCACTTGCAAAGCCTGAATCGAACATTACGGTACGAGACTTTCTTCATTACTGGCAAAACGAAAATTAACGATCATTCGCGAAGCTCCTGGAACGTGTATCGGACATCCTGTTTACCGTTACGACAGTGGCTGTTATTTAATTGGCTCTATTCATCGTTGATGCAACGAGTAGTTCCTCGGACTCGGCCGAAGATGATTAAGTAAACGTGCACGCAGATTATATAGACAGAGGAGAGAACAATTAAGCTCGCCGATCCAGTCACGCGCTTCAAATTTATACGTTTCATTTCGATTCTTTTCTCGATCTTCAATCGGTATTGAAAATGAAATTTTCCAATAATTCGCTCGACGGTGCATCGCAAGTGATTCGTATAAAACGGATACGATCGAACGAGTGACTGAAATCTTGTTCCAGGGATCTGAATCAGTTGGAGTGGTTGCTAATTAACGCCAACGAGCTGACATCCTTGGACGGTGAACTACCGTCCTCTGGGCACAACTTGAAGATGCTCTATGCCGTGGATAATAAATTGACTCACCTGCCGGCGGAATTTCGTTATCTACACCGTTTGGAAACTTTGTTCCTGCAGCACAACAAGATAAGAAGCCTGGATGGCACGCTGCAAAAGGCGCGACGATTGAAATTTCTCGAACTTTCTTATAACGACCTGCAGGAGGTAATTTGATTCAATTCGACTCGTTTAACTTTCCTATTACTAAATAAGTAATAATTATGTAAATTTATCGGTGTATCGATTTCATTCGTACGGTGATCGATATCGATAAGATTCAATTTGCTCGAAAAATCTGACGTCGATATACCCACACAAACGCGGCTGATGAAAGAGCCGCGTAAAGTGCAAGTGCACGATCGTGATGCACGATAACGCGCGGAGGCGTTCGTTCAGTGTTCCATGCATTAAGTCAATTACTGCATCCTAATCTAATTACTATGTCGCGCGTTTCCTTGCGTCGAGTTGAATTTTTATTGAAACCGACGGCTGTTCGATGCTCTTCGGTCGTGATTAGTTTTATTAAATATTCTCGAACGGTCGGTTTCAAAGGTTTCCCGCGTACAATAATCGACGATAACGCAACAATTCGGAGTAAAGAGATTGTTTTCCTTCAGCTGACGGAAGCAGATTTCGTAGAAGCGGAGATGTTGGAGGACCTCGAACTCGGACACAATTCTTTGCAATCGTTGGGCGGTTCGAACGGTGGAAACGGCGACGGAAGCGGAGGGAACAGCGTCCTTTATCCTCTAAGATCTCTGAAATGCTTGAACCTGACGCACAACGAGCTTCGAGAGTTCTCTTTCGCGTCGCTTCGCGGTTTGCGCGAACTGAGATTGCTCGATCTTTCGAATAACAGAATCGGTCAGCTTCACAGAGGAAGGACACCGTCCGAGGTACGGATGTTACATCATAATCGTTATCCCGAAAGGTACGTATAAATCGTAAACGGTTAATTTTCTAAATTTCCTTACGTTTCTAGAATCTAGTGGAAGAGGAAGGTGAGGAAACGGCAGGTGGTAACATTCAGGATATGCGGCTTCAGCACAACGAGCTACGAAGTTTGGACGGTTCGCTGTTTCTCGGAATGAAAGAATTGCAGAGGCTGAATCTCAGTCACAACGCGCTCGGTCCAACGATTGGACCCCGCGATTTGCGAGGTCTCGATGGTCTCAAAGTCCTCGATCTCTCTCACAATGAGCTCACCACTCTCGAAGACACGTCGGAGGTATGCGAATCAAATTAATTGCATCCGATTCTGTTTCAATGAAGTAATTGTCTTCCTAGTCGGTACGTCCTATACGAGGCGTCTCCAAGAATTTTCTGTACACGATAACAACGTAGCGTAATTGTAATCGTAGACGTGGCTTCCATCCCTGGAAGAGTTAAACGCATCCCACAACCGTCTGGTGACACTGTCCGAAAGGGACTTCCGTGGTTTCCCGGTTCTCTGCTGGGCGGACGTCAGCGCAAATCGGATACGTACCCTCATGCCGGAACTCGTTGCGAACACGCGTTGTACTGTTCACGGAGTGCCGGACGTGCTTCGTATATACCTCCAAGGTAAGCGATTACATATTTAACGTGTCCACGATGAAAAAGAAAAGAAAACAATTTCAGAAAATTTCGCAATCTCCAGCGATAAGGTAAAGATTGCGAAATAAACGAAATTTTAATTAGTACCAACAGCTTATCGATTCCAACGAAAGGCGCTTAACGCAGGATAAAAGAACCGGAAACGACATTTTCGCCTGCAAACACAGGTGTGTTTGATCAGCACGTCATCGTCTCATTTTTCATGGAAAAAACAAGATGTCATGGTACGCGAGTTAATTGGAGGCTTTCGGTAATGTAAATAGTGTACTTAACCGTGGCCCCAATCTTTACAATTATCACCAGCAAAATTACGATCAGAAAAACACAGGAGATAAAAGAAAGGATCGCAATAAGAAATCTGGTACGCGCAAATATGTAAAGTCCGTACGGTACGGTTGAAATCCGTGACGGATTTCATTTTCCACCCTCGCAAAGGATAACATCTTTGTCTGACACAGACGCGTTGAATGGGCGCCAGCTTGTAATTAATAAACACGTCGTTAAGTGTCGCGAGGACAGCGGTGCTGAGGATGGAATGAGACAGAATGAGAGAACGGGTCACGAGAGTGGTCGGTGGCGGCAGAAAATAAATTACTGGTTGATAATAACGTGGCTGGCTCCGTTCGGCTTCCGAGCCGTACATTATTTTGTTATAAGAGTTACATTTCACGCGATAACCCCCGTCGTGGCGCCATCTCTTTATTATTTATTGTATACCGAGGACGGATCGTTAGCTGTTGTTACTGTTAAATATACGGTTTTTCGTGGTTCCGTTATCGTGTACGATCCCGTTATCTCGGTCAGCTTCGTTACATTTCTTTTCACTCTCTTTTCCCTGTTCGTCGTTCACACTTTCATTGAACGAGCCCTCGTATTCGCGAAACCCCGTCCAACGATTCGCGACCATCCACGTTTCTTCGCTTGTTATTGAATTCGCTACGACACGATTAAGTATATGTTTACGGCCTCTTATCGCCGATACGGACAGTCATCGATGCAAACAAACATTTTATGCATCGCACTGATTAAGCCGTTCAATAATCTCTCTCGTTCGAGAAACATTCATTTTTCTTTTTTTTTTTTTTTTCATCAGGAAACCTCTATCTATATAAATATAATATGATATGTATCTTTCTGGACGAGTACGAAAAAGTTATCCCTTTTGCGATTATCCGATGTTCTTTCTTTTCTTCTTTACAGATAATCCAGTGTTGTGCGATCCCGGACTCGCGGATCTGACGGTAGCTCTCGAAGTAAATCACGCAAAGGTCTACGGAGTGGTGAACAATTGTCCTACAACCCCCGCGGCGCCTACCGAACAGACGTCGCCTCTTCCGCCGTTACCGCCGACGCTGTTGTTGGCCGCCGCGGCGGCCGCATCCGGCGGGAACGTTTCCTTCGCCGCGACCCTCGAGTAGTCGGCCGGCAGTCGAGGAGGATCGTGAGGCGCGATCGATTCATGGGAAAAGAAAAAAATGTTCGAAAATCGAAGGAACGGGAAGACGAACCACGGGGAAATATGAGAATGATTCGATTCGTGGTCCAACCAGTCTCCGGTGTTCTCTACACCTGAGAAACGATCACGGTTCGAGCATCGGTTCCGTTGGTCGATCAAAGTAGACCGGAAGTGTGTGCAGCACTTCGGGGCCGGTGTAGGATCTTGGTGCCAAACCTCGCTTCAACTTCGACACGGGCGTTTTAGTTCGTTTCAATCTAAACCGCTTGCGTGAATTCTTGGAAACATTCGCGAAAGAAATCTGAACGAAAGAAAGAAAAAAGAAAAAAAAAAATAAACATGAATGTTGTATAATAATAGGATAACGTGGATCTACACGTACACCATCGCGCATACATACATACGCAATACCGCTCGCTCATTAACCATCCATCGAACATCGACGAGAATTTCACGCGCAACTAATCCGTCAATCGGACAGCAGCTGACCATTTGCGATTAGACGTCGGTCTTTAATCGATAATTATGTAGTAATAGATTAAATAAGTAATGCGAGATTGATATTTATTTATCGAGCTTCGAGATCACATATCGTGAGAGTATGGTTCTTTCCATCGCGAGGAACGATACGATGCGGAAGGAGTAATAAAGGACTGAAAAGAAAAATACAATTCGCGTCTAAAAGAAAAAGGGGCGTTACTCGCGCGAAAATAAATTTATTAAAAAGTTTCTGTTTTACGATAGGCGACATCGTTACGCTGTAAATAGTCATTAATCCCGCTAATTCTTTAACGCCATATGCCCTCTTCACGTTTACGTCCCTTTCGTTTTTTTTTTTTTTTTTTTTTTTTTTTTAAGTTTGTCCTCTCGCATGTATCATTCGGAACTTCCGTCTAATCTTTTCTGTTAGCGTCCTTTGAAATAGTTTTTATAGCAACATAACAGAGACGAAAGGATAGTCGGGGTATTCGAAATCGATTAACATTCGCCTTTAATCTAACTCGAAGTCTACGTTAATCATTCGTGCTTCAAAGTATTATTTGTAACGCTTAGGCGGTGTATTGTTTATTGTTCGTTGATTTATCGTGTTCGAGTATCGAATGATATCACCCCCAAATCTAGCGTGCAATAATGATCATGTATAGTTAAGATGATACGTAAAAGCCTTTGTTTAAATATGTTAAATGATATTCGGAATTTGGTTTCAGGTCGAGGATGAAAAGGTTGAAATAGAATGTTTAAGTCGTTCGTTAGGTATCGTTAATACGTTGAACGCCACAGTGAAATCGAGCAATTTTTGTGGGGCGTATTAAAGCTCTAATTACTAAGAATAGTAATAATTAATTTTCAAATTTCAAGCTTTCTATTTACCATTTCACATTATTTGTACCATAGCGATGTTAATGTTTAAATTAATTCGTGAAACTTAGCGATATTGATGTTAAAATAATGTTTTTCTATTGTTTTCTTTTAATTATTCAGGCGTGTGTACCCCCATGGCGTTCAACGCGTTAATTGTATCGAAAGCGACGAATAAGGACAATACATGTTAGTAAAACCATCGAATGCCATTGTCGACATTTCGATCTTTAATTAAATTCCTGAATGATCGAGTAAACGAACGATCGGCCGGGTCAATAGTGTAAGTGAAATCTGTTAACTTACATTGTGTACGCGATACGAGCTGATTGGCAGTGGGCGATCAATTGACCCTCTCGTTAACTTGTGCCAATAGGGATGAATTGTTATCAACGTGCTTCTACGCATACATAATCAATTGGCCCTTTTTCATGTACGAGTAAGGTTCGCAAATATTTTCGTACGTAGCCGCGTTAATATTCTAAATTAATGTACCGCGAACAGAGAACTCGCTAAGACGTGTAAAATCCAGTGAGAAAGTTTTATCGTCATGTTAGAATGATAATCAGCAACAATTTTGATATAATTCGCCGAATCGACACGTAATTGTATTTTTAAATAAATAATCAACGAAAAGCTACATTTTCAAAATTTTTCTTTCAACGCATACATAATAAAACGTTAGCAATAATAAATTAAAACTCTGTTCGTACTATTAACTTATACATTAACTTATCTTTGTATGAACAGTTGTTGATACCGACTGCTAGCTTCGTTAGCTAGGACTAACCATCGACGTAATTTACCGCTATAAGTTTTTAAATAAATGAATTATAAACGTTTTGCAAAGAATAAAAAGAAATTGATCAAATGTTAGATAATATTTATAGAAAAATTAACAGTTCGAAATAAATTCACCGTTTCTCTTATCTTACATAGAATTTATTCTCGCACGCTGTAGGTGCCATATATAGATAGAGATCGCATGGAGGCGTGTTTATAATTCTATTATCTAAATAATTTATCTACTGTGATCAGCAGTTTAGTGTTTTTAATAAAATTATAAGCAAATAATACATTAAAACGTGCAGCATGATACACACATAACATCAGAAAGTGACTATACTAATGATGAATATATTTTAATAAGTATATGCCAATGTTAAGTTTGCAATGTTTAGTGTTAAAAGTCATGTACGTGTAACGAGATGATTTAGATATTAACTTTTATTAATAAATGCTTTAATCTTAAAATAAGCAATTTAATATCATACAAAAATATATATTTTCTCAGTTATCGAGTTTTAATCAAAATACTCTAACAAATATTTGAACATTGTCATATCACTGTTCTGTATTTAAATAATGTTTCACAAAAATATGTCTAAGTTTACAAACAAATGTAATAACATTGGAAATCTCTGATTGTTTAGAGAAATCAATTATACCTTTGAATTCATTTAATTCTTCCATTTTAAGAATCGGTTGAATTTGCTCCACTGAAACCATTAAATATATTTGTCAATCGCAAACAATTCATATACAACTACTAAGGATAAATGTTTCATACCTTTCCATTGATTATCCGAATGATTTAAGTATACATAATATTTATCTCTTGTACTATCATCATTTACAAAGAAAGAAACTTTTATTCTTTCATAACCATCATTTTCAATGAATTGTATACTTATATCCAAATATTCCTTGTATATTTTACAAGCACGTTTAATAGCATCCCAAGCTAATAATTTTTCTTCTTTCCTCTTTGTTGATTCTGAAACAAATACATTTGGAATTTTTTGATGAAAACACTGTGTTTATTCAGTGATATATGATACACTCTAATTTCTGCTAAATACCTTGTTGTAAATCAACCATTTCAACAGATAAATTATCTCTTTTTAGTTTCGCATCATCAACATCTGCCTTTAATTTTTCTTGCTGGGTAATTGCATTTGAAATCTTCTTATCCACTATCATTTGTTGTAATTTTGTTGTATCTATTTCAGATTTCAAGTTTTCAATTTCTTGTTGCAATTCTGATATTTTGCTAATGCTTTTAGTTCTCCTCTCTGTATATTCTGTTAGAAAAAGTATAATAGAGAAACATTATCTACATTGAGCGTATCAACAGTAATTTATTTCTTTTGAGTAGATGTCAATTTTATGTAAACATATGATATTTAACATGTAATGAGTATTTGAAAAGTCTGTCTTCAATAGATAAGTTTGCGTAGCTTCTTTAAATGCTGATATACTAGATACTTTCTTTTTTCTTATTCAAATATAACGTAAGTGAATATTTTCTTATTTACACAAAATGTTTTATACACATACCAATATCATGAGCAGTTACATCCTTAACGTTAGTGGCAATTTTATTACAAAAATTGCTATAGTATGATGTTAACTTTTGTAATATGCTAAAGTCTCTATTCTGAAGAACATGTTCAATGTTACAACTAAATTCTTCCATTGTTATTGTAGCATTTTTATATCAAATTGAAAAACTATGGTATGATTAAACCTCAACGGTTTTCACATACACTGTATACTGCTGTATACTATGCTAGATTTAAAGCAATGACTACCAGATTCAACAAGACTGGATATGCCTTTATTTTCGAAGGGTCTTGATTGTGGCTAGAGAACAAGTACTCTATCCTCGTATAAAAATGTGAAACACTTTGCACTGCAACTGTCTAATGCTAGTTTTTCTATTATTTATTTAATAAACTAATTATTTGACAAACTTGTACTTTAAAAAGACCGCCATAAATTAAAATTTTAAAAATTCGATCCTAGCGCCATCTATACAAAAACGGCGCAAACTACTCAACGACTTACCGATCGATTTTTTGAAACAAGGGAACACTAGCGCATCTATCGGAGAATAGCAGAAACTAGTTGGCAAGTAGTTTCCGCGATTCTCCGATAGATGCGCTAGTGTTCCCTTGTTTTAAAAAATCGATCGGTAAGTCGTTGAGTAGTTTGCGCCGTTTTTGTATAGATGGCGCTAGGATCGAATTTTTAAAATTTTAATTTATGGCGGTCTTTTTAAAGTACAAGTTTGTCAAATAATTATTTAATTAATTTTTCGGCTTTATGCTGATTTTGACTGATCTCTGAAAAATAGAATCCTTCGAAATCCATATTAACAAGTAACGTATTCATTGAAGTTAGCTAATAATAACAATTTTAAATCGAAATAATATTGAATGCAAATTAAAAAACAAAATCATTCTATTATAATATGCACGTTGTAAATCATTCCTATTGCGTAATTTCCTTAAATATTCCTGGAATGAAACGAATTATTTGAATTAGATAACAAGGCGTAACAATTAATGGGCCATAATAATAAGCAAACATCTCACATAGTTAAACGATCTTAGTTTGTATTGATAACAGATCTTATTCTTTATGGTAGAACTACATATATAAGCAACAATCAAATTCAAATCACAGCATACGTTTCTATAAACTTGTTCGATAACAAGCGAATAAAAATGTTTAAACTATTACAAATCTTTGCCATCCTCGGCATTGCCGCTGTTCTGGTATAAAATATTCCTTTCCTTTGAAATTATTTTTCATCGTTACAAAGTGAAAAATCTTATAATTCCTATATTTTTCTAATCTAATCTTTCTAAGTGTAGGCCTTACCACTAACTTCGAATGAAGATGAATCAAATACCACGACTGCTAAAGATAGTGAATCATCCTCCACGACTCCTGATGATCAGGTACGTACTAGATGATGTAAGATGTTGAAAGACGTACAATTTTTCAAAATTGTAACAACTGAAATTGAAAATGTCCACCTAGAACACTGTTACACCCGAAGTTCCAAACCACAGTGGATCGCCGGATAACGGTAATCAGGACAATGATGAAAATAATAACAACACGAGTTCGGCCGATATTAAGAACAAGACCTCTAACGTTATTGACGATTTGGAACAACTCGTACAGTCGGTGGCACACGCGATAGAGAACGAATTGAAGAACACCGCAAATTCTACTTTGAATCTCCTGGAAAATGCGAAGGGTAAAGTGAACGCAACCAAGGACAAAATTAAGAACGCTGTTCAGAACGCTACGCGAACGTTAGAAGGCATCCTGTGGAACATTAAAAATCAAACTGATAACAATTTGGAACGATTGAGAAACGCTACGCAAAACAACGTGAACAAGATTAAGGACGAACTGTCGAACGTTGTGCAAGAGGCGAGGGACGGTATCGCGACGCTTAAAAACGACACTTCCGAAATTGGGCACGATATTAGCGAGAGATTAGAAAACTTGTTAAACAAAAGTGTCGATGCTCTGAAGAATGTCAGCCAGTCTGTAAACAACGCGATCGATCAAGCTAAACAAGACGCTGCTGAAGTTTTCGAACAGGCGAAGAATGCCACATCGGAGAAGTTGCAGGAATTGAAGGATAAAGGATCAGAGCTGCTGCAGAACGTGACAGATGATCTGAAATCGTTGAGACAGGAAGGCGAGGACATTTTAAGTAAGATCGAGGATTCGTTAAATGATCTGAAGAACGAAACATCGTTGTTTGTTCATAGTATCGCGAACGAAGTCCAAGAAAAGATAAACGAAATTAAGCAAAACGTTTACAAAGCTGTGAACGAAACTGCACAGCTAGTTAACAGCACGTTGGCTAATCTTTCGGAGGAAGCTCAGCAGATCGGCGAAGAAATTAAGAATCAAAACGATCATATCAAAGACAATATCACTGATATTATGCAACATTTAAAAGAGAAGCTGCCTGATATCGCTAATAAAACTATGGATACCTTACAGCAAGTCGTTGAAGGGTTTGTTAACGAATTCGAACAAATCAAGGGGAACGTTTCCAATATTGTGTACAAGGTAGTAAAGGATGTTCTAAGCGAAATCTTAAGGATAAAGCAGGAAATATCAAACGGCATCGGAAATATGAAAAACAAAATTGAAAATATCGAAAATGAAGGTAAAGATGTGTTGCATAATGCGACAGACAAGATCCAAGATGACATAAAGAAAGTTACTGACATAATATCTACGCTGGTGGGTGACGTTAAGGATCAAACGCAGAGACGATTGCAGGAACTTAAAGACAAAGTTGATGAAATGAGGAACGAGTCCGAGGCTATGAAAGATAACATTAAACATCAAGTAGAACAGGTTCATAAAAATATCAGCGACGCTTTGAAGAAATTGGAGAACGATATGAACAACACGTTACGGAATGCTACGAATAAAGCTTTGGAGATTATAAATAACGTAAAGAATTCCACGCAGGGAATGATAAAAGAAGTTATGCAGAATACTGCTCGAGCTGTAAACGAAGCGAAAGATCAGTTCGAGGATGCTAAGAATAAGACAGCCGTTGCTTTGAACCAAACGTTGTCTTCGTTGAGACAGGATGCAGGGAAAATTTTGAATCAAACTAAAGAAACTATCAGTAATGTGGTAAACGAACTGAAAAATCAATCTTCCAATGCTCTTGATAGTCTTAAGAATATAACGAAGAAGGCTTTGAACGATGCCAAAGAGAAATCTCGTAAGTTCGCGGAGGACTTGAAAGATTCGATAGGAAAGATTGCGGAAGACTCCTCTAATTTGATCAAGGACGCGTTGCGTTCTGTTCAGAATATCGTCAGGGATGTTTTTGGTGATATTAATAATGGTATCGAGAATACGGTAAATGGTATCAAGGACATCGCTTCCGGTATATTCGATGAAGTAGCAGGCCGTCCAAAATGGAGTAAATGACGCTAAGGATGGTATAAAAGATACAATGGATAAGTTTAGGCCGTCGAATATAACGCACAATGTTGCGGACACAGTTTAACATGCAGGAAATACTGCTGATAATGTTATTGGTAATGTTCTAGATGACGCGAAATCATTTTTCTAAATTACAGTATAATATACGCAATCGCAATTAAGTACAATTAAATGTCGACGAAGTTTTGCTTTAACGCACAAATTTATTATCTACGTCTAGTGTTTTAAATGAGATATCATTTTAAAACTAATAATATAGAAGATAAAGTAACAGTAAGCAAAAAGAAAAAGCAGAACAAAGAACAAAACGTGAACTAATAAAACTTATTGCATGTATGATTAAATTAAAAAGATATGTACACACACGTGTGTGTGTATGCCTATGTATAACTGTGTATGTAAATACGTGAATAAATAAAATTTAATTTAATAGTATAAATTAAAATTATTGGAATATTATATTTGATTGTGACGATTGTATGTCATTCCAGCAAGCTATCTCTGTCATTTCCAAATTTCCATCTTCTGTTAATGTTAAAATTTGCTTATCCGAATTGTCTTTGAACTTCATTGTCAAATCTGCATCAGAGTTTGATGCCATTATCGTGGAATGCGTTGAGGTCTCGTTAATTTCAACGGGTTGTAATACGCGTACATATATTGGTTGGCCAGAAGAATCATCTATAATATAACACATTTCTTGAATACAATTTTGCGTTCATTAAACATTGTTTTTATTTTAATTCTTACCGGAACTTAAAATATTTTGTATTGGTAAATTTTCTGCACTTGACAACCTTATTATAGGTATATTTTCATTACAATTTGAAATTTGTGATCCTGTGTAAGTTTCAATGGCCATAATTGGTACGTTTTGCTGCATATTTTTTTCTAAGATTGGAATATCCAATATAGTTTCAGTGATATGTTTTAAAGATGATTCTGGAAAATATTTCTAATATAACTTATTGTGTTAACAGAAAAATCAATTTTAAAAGTGGCAGAAAAAAATAATTTGGAGCACCTGCTTGTGGCTCATTTTGAACTGTATTTTTGACATTTAAATGTTCTTTCAAGCTACAGTTATGTGATTTGTGTTCTTTTTCAGAAAACTGGACGCCACATTTATCGCAAAATACTTTCTGTTTAATATGGTTTCTAACATGATGTACCATAAATGAATTATGAAGGGTTGTGTATTGACACTTATCGCATTGTAACCAAACGTTACTTTTCTTATGTTTAGTTTTTTCAGCAACATTTGAAGATAAAATAACATCTCGTCTTTTACCCTGACAATTAGTTATAAGTTGATTGTTGCACTTTGTGATCTGTGGGGGTTGAGAACGTTTTTGTTTCTCATTATTGCCAAGAAGCTCTCCTTCTTCTAAAGAATACTTTTGTTCCAAGAATCTTAGAACATTATCACGTACGTTATATATCTCAACTTCAAGTCTATCAAGTGTATTAATAAGATTAGCACAACTTCTGCAGATTACATCGTCTTCTGATATTACTACCATGTACCTATTATAAAAAAAAAAATTATTACTATCCTATCCTAAAATAACAGTATTAGAGTAGATGTTCTCTTTTCATAAATATCATGAAATAATAGTACCTTTCGCCAACTAATTCTCCAAGTTTTTCTATCACTTTAGTTCTTGATGTCTGGGTCCTACATGTAGCTAACGCATAATGACGCCCTTGAATTTTTGCATCACATACAAAGCATTGTAAATCTTCCAAACTTTTGCTACCATTAGAATTAATTTCAGTATTAGAAACAGTTACATTTGTACAACTGTTAGCAATATCTTCAGGGCAAATATCATGACATTGTTCCATTGACATTATTGAAGTTATATTCGCCATTATATTATTAACAATAATAATAATTTTCTAACAGGAACCAAGGTTAGGATATAGAATGATGTTCATTGATTGTAAATCAACATAAAATGAAATTTTAGTCTAGCTTGTGTTACAAATACTATACACTACTTTTTTTTACATAGTTTATTAAATATTGTTAGGAAAAAAATCAATTTTGGCAAACAAATGTTTTTTTACAGGTTTACTAAATCAAAAATTCATTCAACTTGCATGTTATGCCATCTTGTGAATATTAATGAAGATACAAATATTCATTTGTTTTCAGCCGAACTGCAAACAGAGAAAAAAGAAAACATTAAGATGTATATAATATTTATTATAATCATCTCTATACGTGTCAAGTCTATCAACTTTGACACGCTCATTTACATTATGAATTAGAAATTGATATTTGTTGCTTTCCGAATTTTCATCAAATAAATTTTTGATGCACAAATAACCGCTACTTTTACACAATTATAATCAATATGTTTATACAAATAATTTCTTTTACGAGTCACATTAGTATTAACACCTCTGAGTGTGCATAAATAGTGATTTTTTTTGAATTACAAAGGAATTGAACATCATGAAATTTTATAATGTCAAGTGTACATTTCAAACATGTCCAATATCGAGTAAATAAAAAATTTTAAATCAAGTTATGTTTAATGTAATTCGATTTAACTTTATATGAAATTAATCTTATTTGAATTACATTTCTTTATAAATATGACTTCCCTTTTTTTTTTAATTATACTTACAACAAACGTATCAAGAACGAAAAAGTATTATACACATTTTTTCTTACTTATTAACTTGAGTCAAAATAACTACCTAACCTCATAAAAATAATTCTGTATGAAACGCTGATCACAAAAGTGTTCTATGGTCGTCGCACTTGTAATGTTTTACACATAACTGTGAAAAAACAATAAAACCATATCGGGATATGATTGAAACGTACTAATAATTCTTGGACTTTACATATCTATCTTTTCAATTTTTACTTTCAGCTCTTGTTTTTTTATACTTTCTTTCTCGTCTATCTCATTTTTTTCATTATCTCTATCTTTATCTTTTCCAGAATGCGGTTGTTTCTTATCTGAATTACGGAAACGATCATAACGAGAATCTTCGTCGTCGCTAGATTTACCTCCTGCTTCTGTTTCTCTGAGGATATCACCCAAATCTTTATCGACATCGTCCCACAATTTATCACTGCTATCGGCTGGGTAATCATCATCATCGTCCTCTTCCGCTTGTCCATTTTTATTATCCTTTATATTTTTCTCAGGCTCAACATTTCCTTTTTGCTCAATTGGTTTGCCAGATTCAGTAGCATCGGTACCATCGGTCGTGGTTGTTGGTAGCGTATTATTTGCAGATAACGGTTCAGAATTTGTTGGAGATTTTGCATTTTCTGTGCTATTTACAGCATTAGGCGTAGTAGTATTAGTAGATGACGATGATTGTAGATGTATTCTTTCAGCTTGTCTTCGTAATGCCTTGTCATCGTTATCACGTACATACCTGTATAATATATTTAATCAACGTTTACGTCTATGTAAGATTAAAAAGAAACAAATATATAGAATCAGTTTCTTGAGGTTCTTACCGTTTAAGATGACTTCTAGTCGAACAGTGAAGCGCTATCGCCCTTTCACTATTTTCACTGCGTGGCAAGTACATTTTACATAATTCACAGAACTGAACTTCGACGCGTTTTATATATTCTGCTCCTACTTTGATCATTTGTTTGCTTTTAGGTTTCTTTTCCGTGTCATTTGGACCTTCACTTTCTGGTTTCTCTTTCTTTTTCTCGGGAGACTCTTCATCTTCTGCTGTAAGTTACGTTCACGATGCAATTTTGATAAATATCTACATTTATTTGAAAATAATTATCTCGTCACTTAATTATGTACCGTCAACATCGCCTACGGAATCCAAAGTCATAAAATTCTCGAGATTAACTTCCTTATCATCTTCTTCAGGTCCGCTTGAATCTGCTTCTGCTTCACCATTGCCAGCATTCATTCTTTCTTTTAATATACTTTTCCTCTACAAAAAGTGAAAAGTAACGAATCAAAATCAATTCAACGAAAATATCAACGAATTGAAAACAATTTAACGGTATGATAGATACGCACTTTAATATGCTCCAACGAGCACATGTGCGTTTCAAAGAGCATCGGTGATCGGAACTGCATGCGACAAGTACGGCAGAACGGTGTAAGGAAACGTTTCATTTGACGATGGGAATCTGATAGCTGATGTACTGCTTTAAGGGAACGGTAATTAAGTTTACAAATAGGACAGAACATGGTGCGAGAGGGTAGAGTACCACGCGCAGCATCGCGGGCTTCCACGCGTCGTTGGTCTTGCCGTTGCAAAACGCGCATACGGGTTAAAGTTGCTTTGTGCCGCGATGCGATTCGTCTCATTGCTGCGCTGTGACGACCCGAATACAAATGTAGCGAATACTCTTTGAAAGTAACGCTTCGATGAGCGCAATGCGGACAAGTTAGTTTAATGAATTTCCTTCCATCTCTTCTACTCGGTAATTCCTCCGAACCAGTTCTACCATGATCTGTTTTATCATTTTCATCATCTCTTTCTTCGTCGTCCCCATCGTCTTCATCGTCCTAAAATATACACATTACAACAATTGATAACATTAATGTATCAGCAGTTTTATTACAATGGTCTTACCTCATGTTTTCGATCATCCTCCTCTTCCTTTATCTCATCTTCTTTCTCTTCTTCATCGTCAGTATTTTGTCTTTCTCTATCTTGTTTTTCTTTCTTTCTTTTTTCATCTTTTTTCTTTTTCTCTTCCTCTTCATCTTCTTCTTCATCATCACGTTCATGTGGCTGAATTAATGTTGGTAAACGTTATAAGTATGATAATTAATAATACATTAATTATTGCCGCATAATGAAAAACGGAACGTCCTAACAAACTTATGGAGTTACCTTTTCATCATCATCCCAATTACTTTTATTATCATCATCTTCTTCATCGTCATCAGAAAATTCAGCGTTAATAGCTTTGGTCATCTCTCTATCCTTGTCCTTCATGCTGGTTCCGGAGCCGGACTCCTTTTTACTTCCGGATAGCCTAGTAGTACCGCTACTAACGACACAGCAATTTTGTTTTGATTTACATTATTTCCCTTAGTCTTGTTCTGGTTCCTTTGTCTTTCATTATACCATCAATCAAAATTTTGTTTTCTTAGTTGATTATACAACAAATATCGCGATAGTATATGTTTCTTATATCCCCCATAATGAATGCATTTCGTATTGCAATAAAGGTCTTAACTATTCAGCCTTTTTGCACTGCATCGTGCTCTTATGTCTCCGCATTTTCGCGTCTTAAAATATGTGTAAGAAACAACGTTCTTATATTTTGCTTTAGTCACCGCTATGTGTAAGAACGATAAACAATGATCTCGTAAAGTACAAGTATTATAGTAGTTCTCATATCAAAAGTAATTACATTGTATTTTGATGATATATTTTTTTTTTTTTTATATATATATATATTACATATATAGATGTATTGTATTTATGCATATCAGAATCAATTCCCTCTTTATTAGAACCCTGCTAAAAGTTTGCCTCTCGGTTATAGAATATTGGTTTCGTGCGATCATTTGTGTCATTTTTTTGTTTTCTTTTACCATATATGTCTATCATCGTCTTGACTCTCAGGTCATTATAGTCAGATATAGTCAGTTCGTTTACTGACAAATAAGCAAGCAGGCTACTAGGACGGTATTGCGGTTGGTAAGTGATTTATTAATTAATTACCTCCTGCGCAATTTGGTTGTGGTCATGCGCACACGCTGGATGTAGTCTCGCGATCGCGATCCTAGCAGCTTGCGTCGATAGTCGAGCGAGTGCAGAGTACGCTTGCGAGCCATGATGACGTCCGATCGAGAGCTCATGCGATGGAATCCACCCCCTCTACCGCTGCCGCGAGTTGAAATGCGACCTCTGTAGTTTGAGCTTTGATGCGATATTCGCCCTCGGCTCGAGGTATATCTTTGAGTCGGAGGTGCCATTTCACTTATTCGAGGGGGTGGTGGAGGTGCATAGCTCCGTGATGCTGAATGACGGTCCTCTGAACGATGATATGACGAGGCACGTTCGCTCTGTCTCTTGTCCTCATAAACAGCCGAAGATGACGACCCCTTATTATCGTCATATGCAGCTGACGCAGACGAACCGCCGTACGATGAAGAATACCTCTGTGAGCCGCTACCGCTACCTCCACCCTGCCAAATCAAATTCAATTGTGCTCCTTCCCATTGTATGTTTCTCTTTTCCTGCCCTTCTCTCTTTTACTCTATACACATTCCTCCCCTTTCTTCCCTCCTATCCACATATTCTCCATACATTTTTTTTTTTTTTTTTTTTCTAATTCCATTCTGTCGATTCTTTTTCATTCCCTCATTTACATCTCATTTATAGTGCCAATCATTTAGTACAAAATCATCCAACCTTGTACTGTTACGGTCACTACACCCATTCCCGTTGGATCACCAAGATATAGATTTACCTCGCCTAAGCTTGAAAAGCACCTAAGTTTTATCTTTCATATCTCAAATATAAGTAACAGTTTGCGTACCGCTTTTTTTTTTTATATTAAAAATGATCTTTACTTTTCGAAAAACATAGCATTTTTTTTTTTTTTTTTTTTCGTTTCAGTCGTAGATACAATCTCTGAATAGTAGCTATGATCAGCATTCATTTTCTTGAAGATATCAAATAAATTGAATTCTGTATGATTCTGGATTAATTGTTGATAGACCTTTCCAATTTTAATAATATAAAGATAGATACGTTGTTATGTAGTCTTACTTGTAAATCATTCTCATACAATGTTCTATGTTTCACACGTGCTTACACAGATGAAGAAATCAAACAAAGCTAACAAAATTGTAGTTCTAATGTTATCTCCTTGCATATTTTTCTTTAAGGGTAAAGTATGTAAGAAAAATACTGTTATGTATTTGCATTGCTTTTCTTTCTAAAACTTTCCATCATATATTTTAGTTTTTGGAGGTATAAGGTATAGTTATACGTTTAGAAAAGTTTGATGTTTCTCGGTCATTTTCGATTGAACATAACACAGAGTGCGTGTCCTTTATATTGGAAAGGTCTATGATTATTCATTATCTCACTGAACAGTTTCAACTGATGTAATTTGGAAAACTGCATAAATCAGTGTTCATTAGAAATTTTTGCGGAGTGGCAATGCAGGGATGCTTTCAACTTTCAATAACTGATCTGCACTGAGCAGAAAACTGGTTCAGTTGCATATTATTGCTTTACATAGAGAACAATACTGATGTAATGTCAGTATTTTAAAATTCATACTTTTATATATATCTATGTTCATTTGTTCTGATATTGTTCTGATATTTTTCAACTTGTTCTCGACATTTAACGCAACTGTGTGCAGGTAATAATACAAGTACCATCTAGGTGTATTTCATCTTTTAATTATGTGATGTTTTCGCAGTGTTCCACCAGTAGTGTCCCAACGCAAAAAGAATGGGTGTTCAAGTAGCCGTTGGCTCGTCGCTTGAAAGGAAAGTATGACGACTTATGAATGCCTTGCCTACTATTGCTTTCTTTTTTTTTTTATGTATATGTCTAGACGAGTGTCCTGAAAATACTTCGTACATGTAACGCAAATCTTAAATTTCATGCTTAAATCTTCTCAGTGAAAATCTTTCAGGACCATCGTTTTCTCATGCTACATAATTAAAAAATGTAAAAATTTTCTGTAAAGCAGGGCTTTCAATAGAAAAATGATACTTGACCACAGCACGGCAGGATACCGAAACAAAAGACTAATATTTGTATGTGTATCATGAAATACATACCTGGTAGGAATCACTTCTCATCCTTTTGCGGGTAGAATCACTTGACGACCGATGATCGTCTCTTCCCGAATAAGACTCCTATATGATGCAATACATATTTAAAATGATCATGATAATTTTAATCTATAATTATTCATATTTTCATGTACACACCCTTGGTCTTTTATAACTATTTGAATGTTCACCTCTTCCTCCTCTACTTGAATATCTTTCAGAACCTCCTATTAAAAACATAATTTCTTATTCTGAAATACTGCTATACAAAAATTTTGAATAAAAATTATGAAATTTTAACTAACCAGAATTGTATTTTGAACGAGAATCATAACCGGTAGTGGAATATTTAAATCTTCCACCTCTAGACGAGGAATAACCTCCTCTACTAGACATGTTTCCTCCTGTTGATCCACTGTTCCATTCGTTTCCACCACCGCCTCCTCTGCCTCTGTAGGAGCTTCCACCGCGTGAATTAAATCCACGGCCACGAGAGCTCATACTGGAGCTACAAGAAAAAAAAAATTATTCCTTAGAAACAAATGGCTTATAATGAGAAACTAAATTAAGAAGTAGACACATCTGTATTATTGAAATAAACCAATTAAAGACCTAAAGTGAAAACAAAATTGAAGTTCATATGCATATATAATTTGTTACCAACCTGCATTTATTGTAGCTATAACTCATAATTATGACTTATAGATGAGTTATAGACTTCAGATATGGTGTCAAAGGTCTATAGAGAAAACAAGAATGTTTATGTGTTGGATTAAAACATTTAAGTACATTTATATAAATTACAGTTTTCAATTAACAGTTAATTACATTTATTCAAATACCATAAATATGTACTTGTTTATTATAAAATTCAAAGTAAAAAATCTAAAAAAAAAACTTCAACAAAGGGAAAAAAATTTATTCATACAATATACGTTTCTAAATTTATAATCCACAGTAAACTTAAGAGATTAATTTTATCTTGATAAACATGGGCTTAAAACTTCGTGACAGTATTGTAATTTTTTCTATAGATACATATCTGTAAAAGTATTATAACGAATATTATTCCCAAATTATTTTTTGTCTAACTAAATCAGTTTAAATGAAATATATACATCATAGCATGTACGATTATTCTTAATTACGTTCTTAAGCAAAGTGTTTCGGAAAACACTAACGTTTAATGAATATAAGAATTGTATAGTATTGAAAATATTTCTATACTAAAGCATGTAATTTTTGAAAAAATCAAATGTATTTTCATTACAAAAATCAATAACTTCCTCTTCTATACTCGAAATTAATGGCCACATTTTGTAAAAATTTCGAAATTTCATAAATTCAAGAAAATACGTGCACGCGAACAAACGGCAACTTACCTTACACGAACAAAAAGCTCGTGAACCTTTTTATAGTATAATAACCGGTAAAATTTCTATAATAAAATTGAAATAATCAGCACGAAATTCCTCGGTCATGCCGTGGACGCGCGGTTCTGATAAAATGTCGTCTTCTCTCTGGGCTGTGGCGTCACTCTTCTTCTAACTCCTAACGATCGTTGGGAATACAGGAACAGAACCGGAAGTTAACACTATCTTGACTCATTTTTATGCTTTAATAACATTACATAATTTATTTATTAAAAATAAATAGTAAATAACAAATTAATAATTTTCAATAAACCTATTTTCACTAACACATCATGGGTGTTGTAAAGGAAATAGTTCTTAATTCGCTATTTAAGTCTGTCTATACCATGCTGCATAATTTGAAAACTGAAATAATATCTGAGAAATTAAATTCTTTCATATAATTTTAAGAACATTTAGATCCAATTGTAGTATGAAATTTTTAATTCTAGTTTGTTAAAAAATATATATAATTGTTCACTTATATGTAGATACAAGAATTTAAATTATTCTTTATTTTTATGTAATAAGGATGAAAAGGATTGCAAAGGATAAAAAACGCAACCAAAATTCAATTTTGTATGCATGAGTTTATGTTATACATTAAACAGATCAGAATTTTTTGTAATTTATTACACGTGTACGTTAATGTTACATAATGATTATGATAACAATCGTTTAGAGAACAGTTCACACAATTGCTATGTTAAAGTATCTTTTAAATCAGTAACTAAATTTTATAAATTGATGGTAAATGATAATGTTCATTTTAACATTTATTTTTATTTAATAATATTATCATTAAGTTAAAGAATTTCGATTTTAATAATAGAGATGTACAAATTCGTAAACCTAATTCATCTTATTTCGTTATTTTAGTTCTATTTACATAACAGCTTAACGTATTCCTTTATTTAAAAGCTTTTGTCACTAAATAAAATTTAATGGCAACTGAAACAGTTATTTATGATACAAATATCTACACAGAATACATACAGATGTACGAAACATAAACTTTAAATATCAAACTTTAATTAATTGCTGCTATTTGAAATAGGGAAATATAATTTTATTTTAGTTCTAATTTTTTCTTGTTTATAATACAGCATAACTATTTACATAAACAAAAAATATGTAACTTTAAATATTGTTTAGAAAGATTGATAATGAACATCAAAAATACTTTGATAATTAATATTTCCTCATTAATATTATTAATACATTAATAATTTTACGCATACTTTAGAAATACTTTATAACACGTAATTAATAAACTATGTAATGAAATTTTTATATGAAAGTGTGAGTAGGACTCTTTGAGCATTTAATCTGAAATTTACAATTTGGCAAATAAACGTACACATATTTCAGTATATTGTTATTATAATCTTACTCACACTATTACTTAGAAGACTTTATTATAGTTATAAAATATCCTACTTTTGACGATGTTACGTTTGAATTATAATCATATAAATGATTTTCAATCGTCTAAATTATAGTCTCCATCTAAAGGTGAATGAGCATTTAAATCACTAGTATTATTACTATAGTGACAACAATTTTCAACTACAATATGTGCTAGCTCTTTTATACGCTCATATGGTCTTGGATCTGACATTAAGGTTTCCAATTTTTCAAGACCATTTTCTCGTATAACCAATATGCAATATTTATGAGCTGTTAATAAATAGTTTTAGTATAATTTAAAAATTTGAAATCGTAAGAACTGTAAAAGCATTTTTAATAAAATTGAACGTATACTTACGATAAACAGTTGTAAGATTAGCAAGTGCCCAAACTGCCCAATGTTGACACTGTGGTGTATGATATATGTCTAATAAACGTAATAATGGTAGAAATGAACGATAATTAATATTGCGTTCTGATGATATATCCCATCGTTCGATAGCTTCAACCATAAGTTCAAGCACCTCATTTCGACTAGGTTTTTCGATTGTCCATGCTTCCGGGCCATCCGAAGCTATATGAGCTAATATACCAACGGCATTATATGGTACCTAACAACAGAATAAATTATATAAAAATACAGTTCTCAACAAAGCTTACAATATATACTTGTTTAAATACCTCAATGCCTTCACTGACAGTAAGAAGTAAATTTGCAAAAACGTTCATATACGGCTGTTGCATAAAATGTACTCTGAGATATTGTACTTCGGCAACATTACCAAGTAACCCCATCATATTTTTTAATAATTCTTCTTTATGAGGATATTGCTGTAAAAGTAAATGGCATTCGTGAGTCCTAAGAACTTGTTGACTTCTGAAACTTATTTCTGGATATATACATAAGTTTATGAACATAAAATTCATTGATAAAACAAACGAAAACAGAAATACGCACCTTTACACATTTGAGAAATAGGGACATTCCATCTTCGAAAAAAAATCGTTGACAATTTACAGGAGTTTCATCAGTTACATTCCACATAGTGGACCATGCTACTTCCAATACATCATCAAATGTACCAGATTCTACTCTATATCTTATTAATTCAAGCATTGTTTTGATGCAACCTAAATTGCCTAATAAACGTTTCTCTCTTCCTGTCACCCGACATGCCAAGGTATTTAAAAGAAATATTCCAATACGTTGTACATAACTTTCTTGTTCTGCATGCTTAGCCGAATGCAAAAGAAGTTCGACCAAAGCTTTATAATTCGACATCTAAATAATATTTATTTACGTATGTAAATATAAGTGTATTAATATATTTCTATGTTTTAAAAAACATAATACGGATAAAAATGCTATTAATATAATTAAAAAATGCAATACACACCACATCCTGCGGTAAGCGAAATTGACATAACGCTAAACAACCATTACGCATCATAGTTTCGTCATTTTTATGAATACTCATTCCAACAAGAAGCGTACGAACAATTCTTTCTTTTAAACGTTGCTCGAGTTCCCCTTTCTCTTTCATTTTTACAATGTAAAATAGTGTTGCACTATAAAAAACAATTTTTGCAATGAACAATTCATTTTGCATTATCGAGTCATTGTACTATCTATGATTAACAGATTACCTTCCAGATATTTGGATGTGTTTCTGAAGAGGATGTTTTTCCATTGCTTCTAATATTGCACAAAGCGCTTGATCCATTCTATGACAATTTTCATATCTGTACACATGATAAAGATCATTCAATACTTTTTGTAGTAACTCTTGTTTATTATTCATACAAACATGAGCTGCAACCAATATTTGATCTTCATTTGCATTTCCTGCTATCTGAAAGTTTAAAACATAATATCATTAGAAAAATGAAAGTTAGAAATTTTATTAGTATTATATAATCTTTGATTGCTTACCAATTTTGCTGGAATATTTCGTCGTCTACAAGCTCCATCACTTGTTCCATATAATCCTAAAAATTGTAAAGGTCTATTTATTCTGGAAGCAAGACCTGGTATATCACAAAGATCATTATTAGCCATGTCATCAAATTCAGAGTAGAAAGAATGCTCAACTGCTTGTATTCCACGATCCACTATTTGTATTCCTGCTAAATTTGTACCACTGATATCTAAAGAAGTTAGTTGTGGCAAGCCATTCACAATGTCTGTTAAGACTGTATTTGGATTTTCAAATATTCCCTGCTGGGGATTAGATTGAGAAATATCCAAATGCCTATAAGAAATTGGAAACTTTATTTTAAACCAAATTTTATTATACTATAAATTAGAAATAAATAAAATGATTACATACCTTAAATTTTTTAAATGACAAATGTTTACTAAAGCTTGTGGTTGAATATTAACATTATATAAAACTAGAGATACTAGATTAGGTATCAAATGATAAAAATCAAAATTGTCCACATTAAAACTATTAGACAAATCCAAATTTTTCAGATTTGTTAAACCAGCCAGAAGTATATTATATTCTGAGGCATAAATTGTAACATATTCTAAAGCCAAAGTACGTAAGTTTGGTGCTTTAAACACATATCCACGTTTTTGATAAGCTGGTCATTAAAAAAAGAAATATATGCATTAATATTAGATATTATTATTTGAGTTTTTAAGAAAATTGTCTTATTTTAAAAATGAATCATCAGAAAGTAGGTTTCATTCATACCTGTAATTTCTTCTGGAATGATTACAGAAGTTCCATGACATATTAAGCTTTGTAAGTTTTCTGCATTTGCATTGATATATTTAATAGAACGCTCTGTTAAACGAGGACAATCAGTAAGTTCTAATTCAACAGGCTTATGATTAGTAATAATCTGCACTGCATAATCAGTTATTTTGGATCTCACAATTTTGATACGTTTAAGTTTAGTCGTTGATACATTTTGAAATATTGTAATGAAACAATCATGTTCTTTATGTGGATCATTCCGTAAAACATATTCAATAAGTTTATCGCATATTTCACTTGGGAAAATTAGTCCTTTTGAGAGATTTCGATAGCCACGCTTATCCTTAACTGAAATGATGTCCAAATTTTTGCAGATCACTTGGAAACAAAGTTCTGCAAGTGATTCTGGACCTATGTATTGATCTAAATGAAATAAGTCATCCAAATCCGCCATTATGTACGGCAATTTAGATAAATTGCGTAAAAAGGCTCATAAGAAAGTATTAACAACAATTACGCAATTAGAACTGTCAAATATGTTAAAACGCATCAGCTGGGCATCACGGCCCCAATTCGTTACTGGAGAGAATCCTCTTATTACTATTTTCTTATTTCCTCTCAGTTGAAAAACAGATCCATAACATGTTTAATCGGCACAATGCCGTATCACTCACAAATGAATACAAAACGAATGTATTCACTTTGGATGTTGAACAAAATTCGCTCGGTGGTTAATACTACGAGGACTATTAGACATTAGACGTGTTCACGCTTGTAATTTTGACATTTCACTTGACTACCGTAGTGACGCATTCTTGAACACTTGACTATAGAGCGCACAAAATATCACCAGCATTTCTCTATAATTTGGTTGACTATCATGATTCGCGCGAAGTTCTAAATCATGATTTTTTTTAAATTTTTGTTCTAATGATAATAATTAACATAAACGATTCATTTATAATCAATCAAGATGATCCTAGGAACATTAAAGGAAAATTATTTTATTTCAAAATCTTTTAAAAAATACACATGAATATATAATAAAAACTAAATTTAAATACGTTTATAAAAGTTCATAATACTTTACACTTATATTTCTAAATAAAACTATAGTTTAAGTACATGTTATAAACGTTAATATTTATGATCCACAAGCCATACAGGCATCTCCATTTTCACGAGAGCATGAAAGTACAGCTTCTATATTTTCAGTACTTTGATTTTGTATCCAGCTGGTTTTCGAAGTATCAAACTTGTTTTCCTCCTCATTGTTTTCATTTTCTGAATTAAGAGACTCGTTAGCTGTAGTAGTACTAACATTTCGTAGTTTCGATTTATCAACTGTAAACTGAAGGGCATTTGCGGCTGGTTTTGTTCTTAGGTAGTACATACCAGTCTTTAAACCCTACAGATAAAACATATTATTTAAAAATATTTATATACTAATATTGTAACAAGAATTGTATCAATAAAACTTGAGTCTACCATCTGCCATCCATAAAAATGCATTGAAGTTAATTTTTCTGTCGAGGGTTTAGCCATATGAACATTTAAGGACTGTGATTGATCGATAAAAGCACCACGATCGGCTGCCATTTTTAAAACTGTTTTTTGCGGTATTTCCCAAACTGTTTTATAAAGCATTTTTAATTCAGTTGGTATACGTTCAACATTCTGCAATGAAAATTATGATAGTATGATAATTTCATTTTTCTTATACACGTTAAATTAACTGTACAAATGAGGAATCTAAAAAATACCAACTTGAACAGAACCATTGTTTGCTATAATTTCATTTTTCATATCTTCATCCCAAAGATCTCTTTCAGTTAAATCCCGTAGTAAATGAGGATTCACTATTTGAAATTCTCCTGATAAAACTCGTCTCGTATAAATGTTACTAGTATACGGTTCTATAGATTCGTTATTTCCTAAAATTTGCGCAGTAGATGCTGTCGGCATTGGTGCTATTAATAAAGAATTTCTGACTCCGTGTTTTGCAATTTTTTCTTTTAATGCTGCCCAATCCCATAAATCAGTTGGTGTAACATCCCACATGTCGTATTGTAAAATCTAAAAACATAGTTGTTATATTATAATAAACGTAACAGTAAATTAAAATTTAATTGTTTCTCAAATTTACTTACTCCTTTACTGATTGGACTACCTTCGTAGGTTTCATATTTACCCTTTTCTTCAGCAAGTTCACAACTAGCTTCTAATGCTCCATAGTACAATGTTTCAAATATCTGAATGTTGAGCTTTTGTGCTTCTTCACTTTCGAATGGATACCGCAACAAAAGGAATGCATCTGCAAGTCCTTGTATTCCAATACCTAAGAAATGTATGACAAATATTTATAAATAATAAAATCAAATTAGTTTTCATATTACACTGCCAACTGATAACTAAAAGTTTACCTATAGGCCTATGTTTTAAATTTGATGTTTTTGCTTCTGGAATTGGATAGTAATTGATATCAATAACTTTATCCAAATTACGAGTGACAATTTTGGTCACTTTCTTCAGTTTTTGAAAATCGAACCTTTTATTAGTAGAATTTACAAACATATTAACAGCAATTGAAGCCAAGTTGCATACAGCAACTTCATCTGCACTGGAATACTGTACAATTTCTGTACATAAGTTACTGTTCTTAATTGTACCTATGTTTTGTTGATTTGATTTTCGATTGCAATGATCTTTGTAAAGCATATATGGGGTTCCTGTTTCAACTTGAGCTACAAGAATAGCTGTCCATAAGTCTCTAGCTTGAACTTGACGCTTATACCGTTTTTCATTTTCATACCTAACAAAATATTCTTATATAAAAACAAAAGCTATTCAATTTTTTAAATACAGTCAACTAAACGCGACATATTTTACCGTGTATAAAGAGCTTCGAACTCATCACCCCAAATATCAGCTAGCCCAGGAGATTCGTGTGGGCACATTAAAGTCCAAACATCATTTGCTAGAACTCGTTTCATGAACAGATCAGGAATCCATAAAGCATAAAATAATTCTCTTGCCCTATTTTCTTCTTTACCTATTAACCATTATATCACGTTAACAAAATATTAAGAACACAAAAGACCTGTAACATACCAGTATTCTTTTTCAGATCCAAAAATTCAAAAATGTCTGCATGCCATGGCTCTAAATATATAGCAAATGCTCCTGGTCTTTTATTCCCGCCCTGATCAACATATCTAGCTGTGTTATTGTATACTCTGAGCATTGGTACTAAACCATTAGATACACCAAGTGTACCAGCTATTGGTGTACCCCTTGCTCGAATGCAATGTACGTTTAATCCAATACCACCAGCTGATTTACTAATCAGTGCGCATCTTTTCAATGTATCATAAATTCCTTCAATGCTATCTTCACTCATGGTAAGAAGAAAACAGCTGTAACAAAAATATCCGTTTTAAATCCTGAACTATTTTGTACTAGTAATTAAAAACATACCTAGACATCTGTTGTACCATTGTACATGCAGAAAACAATGTTGGTGATGCATGTGTAAAATATCTTTCTGACAAAAAATTGTAAGTTTCTATAGCTCTATCAATATCTTCCCTATGAATAGCAACTGCAACTCTCATTAGCATTTGTTGTGGCCTTTCAACAACTTTTCCATGTATCTTCAATAAATAACTTCTTTCAAGCGTTTTAAAGCCAAAATAATTATAACTGAAGTCTCTATCATAGATTATTGCTGAATTTAACTTGTTCGCATTATTTTGTATGATATTATAATACTTTTCACTGATAACAGGTTTGGGCTTATTTGTATATTGTTCCTTCACATGATATAAGTCATGTATCACATCTACAAATGAAATGAAAATAATTAAAAGTAAAACAAAGCACTGTATTGCTTAGAAATATAAACATATGAGTGTAAACATAATCTTTACCACTAAAACTTTTCTTTGTCTCTTTATGAAGATTAGAGACTGCAATTCGTGCAGCTAATACAGCATAATCTGGATGTTTAGTTGTCATAGTAGCTGCAGTCTCAGCTGCAAGATTATCTAACTCAACTGTAGAAACGCCTGAATATAAACCATTGATAACCCGGATAGTAATTGCAGACTACGGAAAAATGAGAATATGTGCTTTTAATACTTAAACATTCAACTTTGCACAAATATAAAAATTCAAAGTTATAGCTTTAATCCAACTATTATAAAGCATTGAATAAATTATTGAATTAAACTTACAGGATCAACATAGTCCATATCTAGATTGTAGCATAATTTTTGGATTCTGGATGTTATTTTATCAAAATGAACATCTTCTTTGCGTCCATCTAATAATAATAAAAATTAATTCAATATCATAACAATTAGATTTGCGATGCAACGCACCTGCATTCTTTTGAAATAATTGATGCAGCGATAAGTAAATTACAATGTATAACAACTTACCCCGCTTCACTACAAACATCTTTCCTTTTCCAACCATATCTACTTGTTCATATATTTTTGGATTAATAGTTTTTCAAGTTCAGAGAAAAACAAAGTGTTTATCTTATCTTTAGTTCAACCGACTATTGATGGGAAACGGAAGTAGAAAATAATTCAATATGGTGGTCAATATCTACCATTTGAATATAAAAGTTTCAAGAAGATAGTTTTTCTTTCTTATAGTAATGTTATACAGTGTTAAAATAAATTCTGATGAATTATTACACTATTTCTTCTAATAACTACTTATCAATAAAGGAGCAGCGCGGAATAGCTTTAAATATAGTTTAAACATACGTTGATACTTAATTCGGTTAATTTTGTTCAAAATATGAAAAACTCTGGGTTCAATTATAATATTATCAATCTACAATAAGCTGTTTAATATGAAATTGAAATCTTAATGCATTCCAGTTATTATAAACGAATCGATGATGCATAGTAAGAGTCAAGATCAAGTGTGGTTCACTGTATTTTAAATGTGCTCGCCAAAGAAGGGAGCAATTCGCGGCCATCGGTGTGGTCAATCAGTTATTAGCAGGCTCGGGGCCCTCACCATTCGCATAGTGCACCTAAATATAGAGTGACACTGTGGCACTAATTTATTGAATGAAAGGATAGGTGTGTTGGTGCTTGGGGAACAGAACGCCATTGTAGGGTAGATCTGCAGGGGCACAGTAGAAATCCCAACACTCGCTGTTTGCGGGCGGGATTTGTGAACGTAACGAAGCGGGCCGACACACGATACGATCGGTAAATCGTTTTTTTTTTTTTCACCCACGACGGTTCACGGCTGTTATCAATATATCGGTCCAGTGGAAATATCTCGTTTAGATCTCGCTGCGAAATTGTGCACGTACGTACATTGTTTGAATTGTATGGTGAAAGAAAAGTATTCTTTTCCGTGAGCGAGATTACAGCCGCTAATTAAGTGTCAGATACCGCTTGATCAGTGATTACAGTTCTCTTACGGCTATATTAATATTTCAAAAACTTTTAAATCTTCTTTTTTTTTTAATAACATATAATAAGTTTCAATGACAATAAGCTCCTTATAATGAAACCAATACGTATGTTTCTGGAATAAAAAAATAAATAAATTAATACGTTTGAAACTTAATTATTCTTTTCTTTTAATTGAAAACAAATGAATCATTTTACAAGCTCGTACGTTGATTATAAGTTTATGTTGAAGATTAATATTTTTCTTTATGAAAATGCAAAAAATTACCTTGATGTTTATTATTGTATTTTAACACTAACAGAATAGTTGAAGCTTGCGCAAACATTTTAAACATTCATTTATCTTTATTGGTCCAAGTCAGCCACTATACAATTGGGCTTATTACACAATTGATATGTGGAAGTTGTAAACTGTTTTACACCCGGAATACTGTCTTTAAAAGGACATTGCACCCATGAATTCGCCAGTGATTGTCGCTGCAACAGTTTTGTTTATAAACTGTACTTTGATTATAAGATTTTCCATTTTTTATTTGTCATGTTACTATGGCGATTTACCAGTAGTGCATTAAGCGCTTAAGATTGGACGACAGAATTGCAGACGAATAATTTTCTACTTCCCACTTGGCGAATTGGAAATTTAAATCGACAGAATTTTATTGTGACGAGACGCCCGCCGATCGTGGTTCGTTGTTTCACGCGATGATCTCCGATGACATCGTTTCTTTCACTGATGGCTAATCTAAAAATGGGACAAGGTTGCCCGATGGGAACAAACGTTTGACAAACGTGATTCCCGGAAGTGGCTCGTTGTCTGTCATCCATCATCATCAAGACCCTTCTGCAAAAGTGTCTCACGTAACGACGATGACCGCTGGACATTCGAACTTCTCCAGAAATGATCCTGTCGTCTTTTACTCTTTATTCAGTACAAACTCGTCCGTACCCTACGCGTGAAGAGTAAATAAATAAGAACGTATTAATCATTGTTTTAGGACGAAGAAACCCGAATCAGGTGTTGGGATTCGTTTCAAAAATGATCCAACTCCAATGAATCGGTTCCTTGGTATCCTTATAATAACACAGATTTATATATTTCAGATACGAACGAAACCTGAGAGGATGAGGTGAATTCAATCGACTTTATATTCCGGATAAAAATAATGCCTTCGAGCGGGTCAGCAAGAGTACCTAAGGTAGACAGGTCCACAAGTCCTCTGCCGCATAAGCCCGCGAATCCTGTCCAAGAATTGAAAGCTCTTTTCGCTGGACCATCCTCGAGAGTCTCAAATGGCAGTAAAGAACAAGATTTCCGTTTCGAGGCAATCCAATGCTTACAATCGTCCGTTACCAAAGAATCGAAAACACTGCCGGAACGAGGTACCTGGAGTAGCAAGGTAAATACGATAATGGAGAATTTAAGAACAAATAGATCTACATTTAATATGGAACTATCATTGCAATATTTAAGGTTGAATTCATCCTATCCGTAATTGGATTGGCAATAGGACTAGGAAACTTATGGCGATTCCCTTACCTTTGTTACAAAAATGGTGGCGGTGCTTTTATGGTCCCTTATTTTATCGCCCTGGCACTTGCCGGTGTGCCCATGTTCCTAATGGAATTATCTCTAGGGCAAATGATGACAATAGGTGGACTGGGTGTTTTTAAGATAGCACCAATTTTCAAAGGTCTCTATTGGTAATTGCTTTAATGAAATGAGCAAATACTATTTTAATCTTTCATTCTTTTGTCAACAGGTATTGGATATGCTACTTGCGTACTATCTTGCTGGACGAACGTATATTACATTATTATCCTGGCATGGGCGCTTTTCTACTTCTTAGTTTCTTTACGAATCGGTATGAAAATATGTAACATTAATAACATTGCATCACAGATACAATTTTTTTTTTAATACTTATTAAAATATATGAATAGATGTACCTTGGAGAACATGTGGTAATCCCTGGAATTCGCGTTACTGTCTCACCTCTACGGAACGTTTGGAAGCGTTGTGTTGGCCCGAAAATGGGGATACTATATGTTCTACTTCGATTGGTAATTTAAGTCACAGCTTACTGAAGGATCCAGTGAAAGAATTCTGGGAGTAAGTATCATAATTAACAGAAAAGGACACCGCGCCTTTTGTTTAAAGTTAACTCTTGATTCCTGTTTGGTATTTTTAAGACGGCGTACTCTTCAAATTTCTGACGGTGTAGAAAACGTAGGTTCGATAAGGTGGGAACTGGCAGGTACATTGGCCATCGTGTGGATCATGTGTTATTTCTGTATTTGGAAGGGCGTGAAATGGACTGGAAAAGTAAAAATTATATAATTGAAGCGCGTACCAGTGAATTATATTTATCATTAATCGTTAATTTTACACAGGTCGTTTACTTTACATCATTATTTCCATACGCGCTATTAGCGGTTCTATTGGTAAGAGGACTTACACTTCCGGGGGCGATGGAAGGTTTAAGGTACTATGCAACTCCGAACCTTTCGAAACTGGGCGATCCCGAGGTATAGAAATATTTATTTCCTTCATTAATGTCTCGTCAATTTAATTAGAATTTTAACGTGTGCTCATAGGTATGGATAGATGCAGTGACGCAAATATTTTTTTCTTATGCATTGGGTTTAGGTGCATTGGTTGCCCTTGGAAGTTACAACAAATTTAACAACAATGTGTACAAGTAAGTAATTTAAGTTTATGTATTTAATATTCTTTTCAAATTATTAATCATTTAATACTTATCTATATCAGGGATGCGCTCATCGTTTGTACAGTAAATTCGTGTACCAGTATGCTTAGCGGTGTTGTTATATTTTCTGTAGTTGGTTTTATGGCCCATGAACAACAGAAACCCGTCGCGGATGTAGCTGCCTCTGGTAATTACGATACTTGATATTAAATTTTTAAATATTTTCTATTATTTTAATTATTTTTATTTAATTAGGTCCAGGATTAGCTTTCCTCGTTTATCCTTCTGCAGTTCTAGAATTACCAGGTTCATCAATTTGGGCTTGTTTATTCTTTTTTATGCTTATCCTTATTGGTCTAGATAGCCAGGTAATTTAATGTATCTTAATGAAGTGAACATGAAAATGATTTTATAGTTTTATAGTTGAAAATGTTTTATAGTTTTGTACAGTTGAAGGCTTTATAACTGCCGCGGTGGATGAATGGCCGCAACTTCTGAGAAAACGAAAAGAGATATTCATAGCAATTGTATGTTTCATCTCGTATCTCGTTGGTCTTAGCTGCGTTACGGAAGTAAGTATTTAGTAAAATGAAATTGCATTAAGCTGAAACGTATGTAATAAGAAATAAAAAATATTCTTATAACATTTTTAGGGAGGAATGTACGTATTTCAACTCCTAGATTCGTACGCTGTGAGCGGATTTTGTCTCCTCTTTTTAATGTTTTTCGAATGCATTTCCGTTTCGTGGGCATTTGGCGTAAATCGTTTTTATGATGGCATTCGCGACATGATTGGGTATTATCCGTGTTACTGGTGGAAGATATGCTGGACGGTTACTACTCCTGCTGTTTGTGTGGTAAGATGTTTATACAGATTTGCTATCATAAAGATGTATGATAATTATTTGGAATGTTGTATAATAAGAATTAAATTTCAAATTAGGGTGTCTTCACTTTTAACATAATTAAATTTGTACCTGTGAAATACCTTACATATGAGTATCCATGGTGGAGTCATTTGTTAGGATGGCTTTGCGGTCTTTCCTCAATGTTATGTATTCCTGGGTACATGATTTACATCTGGTGTACAACATCTGGAACTACCTCTGAAGTATGTAACTTAAAAATTACCTATCCTATAGATTATGATTATTAATTTTGTAAAGCTTATATGATATTTTGTTTCCAGAAATTCCGAAAATTAGTAAGAATTGATGATGATGTTGCCACTTTACGAATGAAGTTAAATCCAACAAAAGCTGCTGCTATTAATACAGAATTTGAATTATGAACATGTCATTGTATGTACTCTGGTTTAAAAACAATTAATGACGCACGTGTGTTTTTTCGAAGTATGACTGAGGGGAAGCATGATTTCATATGTTGAACAATATCATATCCCATACTCATATAATCATTTATCATAAACGGTAAAAAATTAATTCACTAATAAAATCCAAAAAACGAATCTCTGAAAAACAAAATTTCATAAGAATAGATATTTAATTAAAATGTAATTAAAATAAAATAAATACTTTTATTTATCATACATTATACAATATCAGACTTGCCTACATTTTTATGAATGCAGTAATAAAATTTATAACTAAAAAAATGAAAAACAGAATTATATTTCTTACTTGTATCAAATTATATACATAATAACTTCATTTAAAAGTATCAATTAAAATACTTAAATTTATTTTTCTCTATTTTGTATTTCTTTAATACGTCCAATGAGTTGTTCCTTCCATTGTTCTTCAGATATAGTCTTTGCCCATTCTGGAATTGCTGTAGTTGGTAAGGTAAAAGATGCCATCATAGATTTTACTTGACTGATTTTATCTGCATCCATATCGATATTTGATCGATTACAAGGAGATGACCAAACTTCTATTGTTTCTGACATATAGTCCTGTATGATATAAAACATGATTATAAGATAAATACTACTCCTTTCTAATTGAACACTCACCTGTTGTGATTCTAATAACATAGGTGGTAATGTTTGACTAGGTTCACCTGCATTAGAGATCCATTCATCATCCTGATTAAAAAAATATTCTTTATAGTAGAAATACTTATGAGCCATAAATAGTAGACTATAAAATAATTATCATACTTCATCTTCATATAATATTGGATCACTATCTGTAGGAATTTGGGATAAAGGCACATAACCTGCCATTCCAACATCATCTTCACTATCTGAATCATTCGTTCTCTCAGTTTCAAGCAATAAATTTGGTGCATTTAATGTTGCGTCGGCAGGTTCTTGTGTTGGATCAGGAGACATAGTGCATAACTTTCTTTTTTCAATTTTGACAGCAAGTTTAACCTGCAATCTAAAGAAACATGTCAATACTGCATGTATACTGATGTATACCGCAGTTCACCAGAGTCCATAACTGCGACGCGCAGGTTGGAAGATGGTGGGGGAACGCAGCGAGCTCTCTGCCAATCGCTTTCCACTTCGTTTGGGAGTATCGCCAATCAGGGCGAAGATGCGCACTGGAGAAGCGCGAAGAACGAAAACTGGTCCTTTCGCAGTTATGGACTCTGGTGAACTGCGGTATAAACAACTTCTAACCTCACTTTTATATCCATCCTTATTTTCAATGTTAAACCTTACAAAATCTTTCTCACGCAAAATAAAGGAACTTTAAAATATATAATTAAATCTCTTACCAAAATATTTTGATTTAAACAAAGTATAAATGCCAAAAATTTATTGATGGAGATTTGACAGCAATCAGCTGATTTTCTGTATACGTTATCCCGCTTCCGAACTATCAATTTGAATTGCTAATTTCTTGCATAGTGACGCCAATAATTTTTATATAAAATTCTTAGGTGACTAATATGAGAATGATTCAAAAATGTGAAAACCGGAATAATTATTAAAATTAAGTATTATTTATTCTACCGATTTTAATCAGAAAGATTATTATTATGTAGGTATCTTTGATCGAAAAAATAGACATTGCTTAAACAATTAAGCAAACCTTATTAAAAAGAAAAGAAAGAGCACACGATGCGATCAAAGGAAGACAATTTGCTTTTATTTAAAACTGTTCCCTAATGTACCCTAAACATTCACATTCATCCAGCAACCCTAATGACCAGCAACTTTCTGACTTTGAAGGTCAGAGGGTCGTTCTACAGGGGCCTCCATTTCTATTTAACTTAAATCTAAACAATATCTTTATTCTTCTCAGAAAACAAAAATTGCATAAGTAATAAAACAACAAGATATCTTTTCTCCAACGAACAACCATATATATCGCTGCTAAAAAGTTTAGAATATAAAATAATACAACCTAGTCGTTCGAGTGTTAATAGAGTCGTCAAATCATCGGCTGAAACTCCATCGTGATGGGAAAAAGAATATGTTGGCGGTTATTTCGAAAGGTTACTTCACACGAGGTCAGACTTGTCCTGAAATCCGAGGAAAAAGAAGTGGAAGAAAAAAATAGGTAAAGATGGCCGATCAAACGTGATTCAGCGGTCGGCGATGCACGCCCCGAAACAGACCGGTCTCCTTCTTGGTTCCGGGAATTCGTACTCCGCCAATGGGACTTCCAGCATCGGCTCCATTCACGGCCAGTATTCTGCTGGAACGTGACGACATTACTCGGGAAATACCTTGGCAATTTTATGTACTCATTCGCCGGGGAAAAATACTGGAAATCCTTTCGCAATTGTTTGGTGAATTATTAGGATTTTTGCGAAATTTGTAAAAAATAAGCGGAGAAAAGATCTGTTAAAAGGTTGCTGTGCAAAGTGTTTATTCCGTAGTTTTGTATCTTACAAGAGATTGCGATGTAACTTAGTGAACGCCTTGATACACCGATGTTGCGTCAGGATTACGCGTGATTATCGTCCATTACGAATGTTGCGTTTATCTAAAGGGTTATCCTAATTGAGTGTCACATCTTCAAATTGAAATAAAACGCAAAGTATTTGAGATTTGTGTAGTTTTTTTAACACAAAGTCTACTTTACGACATTAATCATGAAAGACAATATCATTCAAGTATCCTCCTGGGCTTTTTCCACGAGATCAATGCGTTTGATCCAATTTTCCATTAAATTTTCACACAATTGAAATTCAGCTCGACAGTAGTCTTTGGACTAAGTTTTAGACTTCACTTTTCAAAAATTCCCTTAGAGAAAGGTCTTGGTAGCCAATTGATGTTTCCTCCTCGTGAAATTACGCGTCCATTAAATTTGGTCAAACGCATCGGACACGTGGAAAAAAGCAGAGAAGGACACTTGAGTAAGTAAAGCTTAGTTTGTGTTAAAATAAAAAAACCCTACAAATCTCAAATCCTTTGCGTTTTATTTCAATTTGAAGATGTGACACTCAATTTGGATAACCCTTTACTTCCGGGAGAGTAATGTTAACCGGGGAAAAACCCTTCCCTTCCGCTTTCTCTTTGGCAACTAACTCTGCTCCAACGATTTACCAGAGAAATCGATGAATCCCGATGACGCATGCCGCTCGTTTCATGGAAATACATGAATCGTATCATGTACGAGTCACGCCGATCTCAGATGTCATTGCCTGCTGCTCTGCTTGAGAATGAACATCGTTTGGCAATTAAAACTTGTCGGTAATATTTCCAAAAGGATCGCAGCAAACAGGAACAACAGGAACAGGTTTCTTGCATCGAAGAAACAATGATTTTAATCATTACAAAATTAACCTTTGAAGATAATACTTCTTCTTCTAATACTTCTAACTCTAGAGGAGTAGAATTCGAAAGAAAATAAAAGATTTTTCAAAATCACCTAAGATCCACGTGAAATAAGGAATTTATGTAATAAAAAACGAATGGTCGTCTGATGTACCACACATGTGCATGAATCATCTTTCCTTGAATACCAGGAACACCGAATCATGTTTGTCCACCCGGCAGAAAATGAGACGATGATTTCTTCGACGTAAAGATCGGTTGAAAAATCAAGCTACGTGTTTCGTGGCGAAGAAATCGAGTGAGGGATACCCGCTGAACGAGGATCACGCTCGAGAAAGACTTTCGAACGTGTTCGCGTTAGCATCGAGTATAAATCGCACGAATTATCTGTCTCTCGAGCGATCTGATTTTCCTCTTTATCTGTCTGCGACGAATGAACAGATTCTGAGAGCCATGCACGAATTGGCGATACATTGGAAAGCGAAGTGGAAATTCATAAAAAATCTGGAAGAGATATCGATCGAAGAGGACGAAATGGAGACTGAGCCGGTGATGGTCCCGTCTGGTAAATCTCACTCTAAAAATTGTTCATTTATTAAGAAAATATCTCGAGTTTGAGTTTGATGTTTAGATCCGTCGGAGTGGAATTCGAACCATATAGCATCATGGATCTCATGGTGTAGTCGTGCGTTTTCTATGAAATCACCCCCGGACCCCGGGAAATTTCCGTCGACGGGAAAGGAGTTGCTGAAATTGTCGTCTGACTTTTGGCAAGGAATTCCTGGCGGTAAAATTTTCGCGAAACACCTCGGGTACCTTCAGTTTCAAGTAACCGGTATACAAACGCCAGATTTATTGCAAGAGGAAAAAATCGATGGTGAGTATATTACACCGGTTGAAAATTTAACAATAGCCAATAATTACTATCACAATAGAGTATTTTGAAGTGTACGGAAATTGATGTTAGTAATACTGATTCGATTCTCGCAATAAATCCAAGCGACAACTGGATTCGTGAAGCTTAGGAAAGGTTAATAGGGGTCTAGGTGTGGATTGAAAATGACCGGAAGAGACTAACCGTTCCCCAGGGCCGATTCTCGTCCACTCGCATGCACTCCGGCCTTATCTAAGGCTTTAACGAGGGCACGATCTATTAGAGATAAGAAGGGTCCGGCAGAAAAATAAATATCCTAGACGATAATAGTCTCGTATCCCTCTACGTTCCTACCACCCCACGATTCGATTTCCACGCGAGAAGGATGTCGATCGTTTGTCCGAAACCTGCGAGTACGATCCATGATCAAACTTCTTTCCTCTTTAAAATCTTAATATCATTGAATCAAAACGAAAGCGTACGGTTTCAAATATACAAACTTTCGAAATATAAGAAATACAGAAAAAAAGGGGTGGAAGAAGATTCGAGGGAGGAGGTGAGCAAAAGTTATTCCGTTTGTTTGGCGGGCGTAAGAACAGAGAGTGGAAAAGAGCGATTCACCTTTCGACGATGCGAAAAGGAAGAAGAGCAGAGTCTTGGCACTGTAAGCCCCGGAGATATATTGTCCGTTTGAATAACGTTGTAGGTGCTCTTGGGGGGCCACTCCGCGCCGGCAGCGGCCGTTTATTAAACGAATCAGTGTTATCGCGGTGAGAGAGCCCTCATGAATAAACCATCGAGTGTTTAGGGCGGCGAAAAGGTGGTGGCACCAGGGGTTACGGCCCCGCAGTAACCACTTCCACCCTTCTCCTTTCGTCGGCATAGCGGGGCGGAGGGCGAACTAAAACGGGCTTGGGGTGGTAAGCTCGCCACGGGGTGCGGCTATATTGTTTTCTTGATGAGCGCGAAACATCCCCCGAATCTCCGGCGTATACGGTATAATTTCACGCGTCAACCTGCACCGCGAAACTCTCAGTCGCCGAAAGCTGCGATCCTGGTAAACCATTCGTTTCTTTTCTGCGTTCGATCAATTCTAGCATCCGCATTATTAAGAATAAATAGATGGGTTGATTCGTAAAGATATCAAATGATTTAAATAGTTTTTTGATAAGAGGTCACTTGTCTACGTAATTTGTTTTTGGTTGCATTTCAATAATCAGTTGTTCATAAAATTTTATCTGCAATATGAAATTCAAACGAGTGATTTCGGCGTGCAAGGTGGCATTGGCCCTCGTGACAATGAGAGTGGGTGAAACTATAGTCGCAGACTGTTCGAAGGTGTTAAGGTATTCTGGGATGTTAGAGTGGGGGCGATAAGGGCTGAAATCACTTGGGGCAAAGGTCGCTCAGTTACTCTCTGTCCACCGACTGGTACGTTTTATTCTGCCCGTATCCACGTTTTATCGGCTTCGGTTATCAGAATTTCATGTTGTCCGCTTGTAAGATACACCTGGAGTATATAAGTGCTTGTGTGAAATGTTCACCGCTTGACTGGTTCTTTTATCGATCGATCGAAGATCTTTGGAAAATTGTTTAAAACGATCTTCAAATATCTAATTTCGTAACGTTGTATTTATTAAGTACTTGAAGTACTAGTGAAGTGCAAAACGTAATTAAACTTAAATGCGATGCGAAGAAAGTGGTCTACATAGTGATTTAAAAAACTTTTTGCTCTTTTATGTACCAGCCTTCAAATTAAAATATTTAAGTAATTTCGCAAGAAATTGATACGTGACGATCATGGACAATAACACGTATCAATTAAACAATGAGTTAAGATGATTGTTATCTTGTGTACATGTCGGATGAAGCATAATATCATAATGAGATTGATAGTAGGCCTGTCAACCACCGTCGCTTACACGGTGAAAGATTAGGCTTACGAAATCCTTCGACACGTAATGTGGAGGATTCAAACGCATCCATTGCATCTTCAGCAGGAGACCAGATTCCATCCTTCGGCAGCTGCCATTCTTTACAACGGTATTTCTTGTTATATTTCATCGATATTAGAGAAGAAATTCGTCAACTTTCAAAATATTATCACACGAAATTGATAACATCAGAGGACCTGGCCCATTCCAGACAAAAATCTTAGTTACTCTAATTACCCACATTCAATTATTATTCTTTATCTTATAACCAACACTTGTATAAGCGTCTATGACATATTTTTAAGTATTTAATTTGTTACCTTCAGCCTTGGTCAACGAAGAAGTTGCGACACCATCGGATCTCCCTCGTTTTCATTCAAAGTCCCCTTCCTTAGAACCAGGAGTTAGTCACTCGAAGGCGGGACATATTATATACAAAAAAAGAAATAAGGAAAGAAAAAAGATAATCAACGAATAGTCGCGACCATCGCTGTCCTCAAGGTTCCAACGAATCGACCTCGGAATCCAACACGGTCACCGGTGCATGCGCCCTTCCGTTTCTTGTTCGCAGAAAGGTTCAGCCTCCTACAACGGTCTTGCTCGTTGATTGGATCAACAGCTGGAGCCAGCGGTTCCGGGGCGGTCGGAGGCGGACAAGTTCAACTCTGGCAATTCCTGCTGGAGCTACTCTCGGATTCGTCGAATTCATCCTGCATCGCGTGGGAAGGTTCCAACGGGGAGTTTAAACTTACCGATCCGGATGAGGTTGCTCGGAGATGGGGCGAACGGAAGAGCAAACCGAACATGAACTACGACAAACTGTCGCGGGCACTCAGGTGAAGCCTCGATGAAAATTATAGCAAATTAAACATTAATACACAAGTTACTGATACTTTGGATGTTAAGTTGTTTATTGAAAAAAATATCCTGAATCATGAGGTACCACCTTCCAGAGCGTCACACCAAGCGTCCAATCCTGTTTCTGAAAATTCCACTAACATAAGAATATTTCTTTTTTTGCAGGTACTATTACGACAAGAATATAATGACGAAAGTGCACGGGAAACGCTATGCTTACAAATTCGATTTTCATGGACTGATGATGGCTTGCCAGGCACAAGCTGGCGTCACGCTGGAAACGTCCTCGTCATCCCGAAGTACAGGAACAAATTGTCACCCTCATCATTCGCATCATGCTCATCATTTATATCCAACAGGAGCATCAAATTCGCAACATTCTTCGGTATCAGCACATCCACCACCGCCTCCGCCACCTCCGCCTCATTACTGTTGGCCTTATCATAGATATTCTCCACCGACATAACATTGTTTTTTATTTGTGACAACCTGCCCAATTCCCTGACACATGAGATACTCCTATATTTAATGTAAGATACACTTAAGATTAAGAAGGACACGAGTACAATTAAGAAATGATTGTATACTTATTTGTAAGGAAGAAAGATTGTTGTAAATATAAATCTCTTATAATATTTAGGTAAATGTATTTAAAGCAATAGCGGTGATTCTGTGTGTTTTATTTAATATTATGATGTACAGTATGGAAATAATGTTTATTATTATAACAAATACTTTAGACAAAGTAAAATTCTTTAAAAAACGTATTATATATAGATGTTCAATCATTTCTACAGTATATTTTATTATCTCTGTAGTTCTACTATATGATAAAAATATTTGTTTATGTAAAAAGAAATATAATTGGAATTTTTATTATCAACTGTTCAACCTTTATTATCGACATTTCATGATGTTTTAGATCCTGAAGATGTCGCTTCCTGTCCCTTGGACAACCAATCAGAATCAGAGTGGCCATAACCATCGCGTGGTTAAATGACCGCCATTTCTCTTTCGTCATAAGAAAAGGTAAATGGAAGCACGTTGTAAAACAGTCTACTAGAAATCTGTTTATTATAACACCATCGTCGTTATTTTTATATGAAAAAGTTTCAAAATGTAAGGAAGGAGCCGAAATTATTAACAGCTTTTTATTATTTCAGGTTTCCTGTACCTCGAAAACATGTCAGACGTTGAAAAGTAAGTGTGTTTTGTGCATCATTGAATAACTCTTTATATTTGTACATATATTGTTGAATATGTCTTTTTAAATATATCGAGTAAAATTTGTATTTAAAGTCAAAGGATTGATATTAAAATTAATTATTACAGGTGTATGACAAGTTGAAATATAACTTTAAATTTGTTATGTCAAGTAGCCATTAACAAAAAGTTAAACAAAATAATTGCTTTTTAATTTATAGCGACGATGTCCCCTCTGCGATGGCAGCAGGAGGTTCAATGGACGTAATTACAGCCCTCCAAGAAGTTCTTAAAAATGCGGTTATTCACGATGGTGTTGTACATGGCCTTCATGAAGCTGCCAAAGCGTTAGATAAGTAAGTTTCCTAAACTAGTTTGCTATATTATTACAAAATAAACACGTTTTATGATGATATACTAGGTTCCCTCTTCTGAGAAATACCCGTTACATTAATAACTAATGCAGCCATTAACCTTTTCTGATATGTTATCAAAGAAATATGTTTTTGTATGTACAGTGATGTACTTCATTTTTATGTGTTTCTAAATTACTTATTCCAGGAGACAAGCTATGTTATGCATATTGGCTGACAATTGTGATGAACCCATGTATAAAAAACTGGTACAAGCACTGTGTAATGAACATCAAATACCATTAGTTAAAGTAGATAATAATAAGAAACTTGGTGAATGGGCTGGTCTTTGTAAAATTGACAGTGCTGGTAAAGCTAGAAAAGTTGTTGGCTGTTCCTGTGTTGTAATAAAGGTAATAAGTTATACATGGTAATATTTTAAGTTAATAGAATTGCAGTAATACTATATGATGATACTTTTGGCTCCCTCTGCTGAGAGAACCCAAATTAAAAGCAATGCTGTGATCAGTCCATTACTGATATTGACATAGCATGTTAACATATAATTTTTAAATAGTTTCATTTGGATTAAGTAATAATATTTTTTTAGGACTTTGGGGAAGATACTCCTGCAAAGGATGTGGTAATGGAGTATGTCAAACAGAGTTCTGTACATTAAGATCTTGTAATAAAAAATTGGATATAATTTCGTAGGTATAATTATTTAATCCTTAAATATTTTTATAATTTATACATTACTTAAACTAATTAAAACTTCATTCATATTTAGTTACAAATAAATATTTTGTTATCAAGAAGGTAACTCATATTAATCTTGTTGCTCATCCTTTACAGTTTTTGTTATTTTGTCACATATATTCTTATGACTTTCCCAATCTTTCACTTGGCATTGTCTAAAATTATGCATGAATAACTCTTTAGATGTACAGAATTCTATTTCATAACTATAAAAAATAATTGTTTACCTTCCACAGTACCAAGCTTCTTTACATTTAGAACAACGTTTTTTTGCATCCTCATGACATAAGAAACATTCTTTAGGATCAATCCAACCTAATTTATCTAAATCGTATGCATCACTTAAAATTTTTGCTGCATTTTTAATAAATTCTGCATCTTTTGTGTACAGGAGTTTCGACTGGTACTTAGCTAACTTTTTCCACTTCTTCTGATACTTTTCCATTATCGATGATTTTATCTAATAGCATTAATCGAAATCATTATTTAGCATATGAACATTCATAATTAACGATTTAATTTAGTGGTTTATAACCTGTGGTATTAGCTCTACATTTACTGTTAGAGGTCCTCTAGATTGACACTGTGACATGGTTAAATAACTTAACCATCTTTTTAAATCTATCAGTGGAGAGATTTGATCCAGTACAGTTTCGTGTAAATATTTCTGCAACTAACGCACATACGTTGTTTTTAACTTTCGTACAGGGCAATGAATAACATCAAAGTACCTTTATCAATTGAGTTAATCTATGTTCAGTGATTTCATAGTATGGTGCACTTTTTGGATTAAGTAGTAATTCCCGTAAACCAAACCATACTTGTCCTTCTATTTTAGAAATCTTTCCTTCTTCGCTCGACTTGACTTTCTTCCAACCACTGTTGTATATCATACTTTCTCCTAAAGAATTGCGATATTATCGTAATTTATTGTCCTCGCATTTTAATACAGGAGTGTAGGATATTATACCTTCTGCATTTTCCTTCTTCCACGGTTGATTTTCAATCAATTGGGCAAGTAAATAGGGTACATCATGCGTAGCAAGTAATCGCGATAATACACAAATTGGTAAATTATCCGCATATTCGGCCAAATAACGAAGGATAGAAATGCAACGCATACTGATATCAAATTCAAGTTCTTTCTTTTTTTCTAATATCTCTTCTAAACATGAACTAAAACGCAATTATTGTTCAGTGTATAAATCAAAGTAGAAGTCAGACTTTAATAATAGCTTACTTTGGATCTTTTAGATTTTCATAAATTTCAATATCTTGTATATCAAGAAGCGAAGAGACATATTTAACAGCATAATCAACAAGATCCAAACTAGAATCATCCATAGTTTCCGCACTTTCGCTGTGAAACAAAACGCTTTCTAACAAAGAGACCACAATATTTTCGTGATAGAATATAGTGAAATGCATAAATGTATTTGATGGCTCTGCATTCATTTCTACTAAAATTGGAAATACTTTGTGCTTCCATACATCAATTTGTATAGCTTCATATATAAGAATTGGAATCTATAAAATAAATATAAGATTGAAATAAGAAATTGTAATGTACTGTACATGTAATATGAATTTACCTTTTTGAAAGAGACAAACCATTCCTTTACATTTTCTTCTCGCAAAGCGTTAATTTCCAAAACATTTTGTTGATTCAATAATATTAATCTTTTATGAAATTCTAACCATCTGAAATAATATATTTAATATTTTAATTTGTATAGAGTATTATTCATGATTGTATTTCAGAAGCTTTTTTAGAAATTTAAATTATTAAGAATTGTAAGGAAATTGACCCCTCTGTTCCGATATCTTGAAGTTCGGAAATTTGTAAATTTTGTATATATGATTCGATTTCCCATGGTGAAATGATATATTCCATGCGAGTTGACATTTTTCAGAGAAAGAAATTAATGACTTAGAGTCAAAGAATTAGATTCTGAATGATGTAATGTCAACCATTTGTAAACAAAATTCAGAATCGGTATCCTGGGTAATGTGATACCACCATTTGGCTTTTTATTTTAATCTTATATGTATGGGATAGTAATACTATTACTTTCTATGAGCATACAGCTTTTATGTAATCTAATAGGACTAAATAGTACCGGATATAACCTACAACATATATATACTATTTGTTTAAAGCTAAAGCATTTTAATATTAAAAAAATGTTAAGCAAAATCATTGGAGTTTCGTTTTATATTTTAGTTATTTTAAATACAGTATTTTTATATATTTCTACATCTTTTCAAATAGGGGGTAATTATAAAAACATATGTAATATATACCCATACATATGGTAGACAAATTATAATACATTTAATTTATTTATTAATTTTATAGAAGCCAGTATTCTTCCAAATATGTCACTGATAAGTAATATAGAATTAATAAACTTATCAGAGCAGATATTCAATAAGTCTTCATATGAGTTATTCAGACATTTGATTATTAGATACCAAGGGCAGACGAATTTAAAGAATTTTACTGATGTTGCTCCTGAAAGGTATTACTTTCAAAATATCTTTCATTATACTTTTTTAATTAAATTTCGACTCTATAACTTTAGGTTGTTATATGTATCACCCAGAATTCCTTGGACAGAAACAACAAAATCTTTTATGAAGTTGCTGGATAATTATGAATTAGATACTTACCAGCCAGAAATTATAACAAAAGATGAAGATATAGAAGAAAATGAATTTATTAATAATTTAATGAAAGCAGATGTTATATTACATGTTATGAATTTTTTATCAGTCAAAGGTTTTTTTGAAAATAATTCACTAATTTATAAAAACATTTTGAAAGAAATTTGGTTTCATTTATATTCTCGAAGTAAGGGAATAAATGGTAGTTCTGGTTTTGAACATGTATTTGTAGGAGAAAGGAAACCGCGCAAAGGCATTACAGGACTTCATAACTGGATATCTTTTTCCTCTGGGGAGTTGTTAAACACAATAAATTACTTTGGGTTTTCCCATAATATGGAATTGAGTGATGTAAGTAGAAATGTAAAACTTAAGTAAGATTTGTTAAAAATAATTGCAAGTCGTTTTCAGAAGATGGGTATTTTAGAAACATATTTTACTTATGGCAATAAACGTAAAATGTCAACTATATTCATTGGTACAACACCAGAATTAGAAGTAGCACTGTATACACTTTGTTTCTTTGCAAGACCAAATAAAAGATGTAATGTCTCCTTTACTAAGTTTAAATTTAGTATTCAGACATATGTATTGCATAGTAATAACAAAAAATTCGTTGCAAGTGCTTTTCCTATTATAGGAAAAAGATGAATAAAATGAACTGTTACAAAATAAAATGCAGAACAATTCATTACAATGACAAAATACGACATGTATTTCTAAAAATAAGTAGCTGAGAATTTATAAGACAGAAAAATTGAGAATATATATAGAAACTTTTTAAGTTAGATCAATCACAGAACAGGCATCATCTTCAGTGTTAGATACTTTGATCTTGGTAGAATGTTTTTTTTTCTTTTTTGACACAGAACTGCTCGATACATTACTTGTATCTGAAGTATTTATATTATTATCCGACATTCTGTATTTTTTAGAAACCGTTGGAGAATCGTTGGAGGAATTCCATTTTGTATCTGTATCTGAATGAATTGAATCAGTTTCTGTTTTACCACCTTGTACCTTGTATTCATTTTTATCTTCATCATTATTTCTGCATATAGATGTCTAGGAATAAAATATAATTATTATTTGTCTTTTTTATTTTTGCTATGAATCTAAATTTAATTTCAAACCTTGTGCTTTTTTCGTTTGACAGGTATGACATTTTTCCCCAATGACTCTTTATTACTTTTGTCTTTCTTTGTCTTGACTTCAACTGGTTGTTGCTTAAAAATATCATTCTCCATTTCTTGTATCTCGGATACATTATTAGATTTGTCATGAATCTCGTGTATTTCTTCTAATTCATTATCTGTACTTTGTAAAGTTTTGTTTTGACTATGTGAAAATGTTGGCCCTTCTTCTAAATCTCTACAATAATAGCAATAATTATAACGACAATAATAGCAATAATTACAACTATTGAGTAATGATAATAACAACAATAATTACGTTTGTTTTGATTGTTTTTCTAACAAGCTATTTAATTTTGCATTAACTAGACTCAGCTCTTCTCTAAGCCTTTTAACAGTCATACGTAATTGTTTGCAGTTGTTAAAGCTTCCAATTAATTCCCTATAAACTTAATTAAGTTAGTAACATTTGATTATCTTTTATCACAACAACACTTACTTTTTCATAATAGAAATAAATTTAATCAGTGTGTCAGGATCTTTATCATTTCCAATCATTCTACTAACATCACTAAGAGGACCATGTAATAATGCTTGTAGTCTAAAATTAATCATTAATTTACATAAGTGAAACGTAGAATTTATAATAATGTAAATATTACATACGGTTTGAGATCTTCAAGTTTATCTTTTAATTGAGTAATTTCTTTTTTTAAATTATCAGATTTTGAACTTCGTTTTTTAAAGTATTCTATTTGCTCTTTTAAGGCATGTATTGCTGAATTCTTCTGATTGATTTCAGCTTCCAATTTATAAACTTCTTGCCTTAAGCCAGCATTTTGTTTTTCCAAAGTAACATTTTTTGAAGTATAATATTGGATATCTTTTTCTTTTAACAAAATTTGAAATTTCAAACCATCTATTTTATCCTGTAACGTGGAAGCCTGAGACTCAACAATTTCATTATTTGCAAATGTGAAATAGAGCCTATGTATTTTGCTTTGTGTCACTTTTTCTCTACATTGTGGACAACTCTTTGATCTGAAAACAAAGAATTATTAATACTATTATGAATTGAGTAAACATCCATTGAATAAGTCATTTATGTTGTATCTTACAATAATTATTGCTTGATAAATATGTGAAATCATCATTGTTAAACAGGTATTTACCTCTCAAGCCAGGCATTCAAACATTGCAAATGAAATACATGTCCACATCGGGTATAAAAAATATCATCTGTTTGCACTAATGGATCACTGCAGATAGAGCATATAACATTCATTTTACCAGAGAACTTGGTAAACAGTGCGTTTAAAAATGATATTACAAATAAATTTAAGATAAATTCATTAGTATTTCTCAATAAAAATTTTACATCATCATTCGGTTTTCTTTTTTTTCATAAAATATCTGAAATAAACTCTAATTTTCTTAATTTATGTTTCTATTAAAAGCAGCTCAAGTTTCGGAAAGGTTATGCATGTGTCGTCAAAGACGATAAACCAAATGTCAGTGGAAGGTTTTAAGTTTACCCCACTGACATTTCTATAGAGTTTGAATTTGTATAGTGTTATGAAAAACATTTACTTTACATTTACAAGACAGCTGTTTAAAAATAAAAACTATTTTCCTTTGCGCGTCATTGCAAATGAAAGTAATAAATGTTTCTTTTTCAGGAGAAATTTTTGAATGTGAAGAAGGAAGGAAAAGAAGCACGCGTTATAGATTTTGTGAACATTTATTGGAGAATTAAATCATACAAGTAAAGAACAATGACATGTAAGTTTTATTTTACGATACTCATAGTATTTACAGGCAAAATATCGAGATCTAATATATCCAGGTACTAATTGCGTAATTGAATTTAACTAGAGGTGCAAAAATTTGCGGTGTTATCTAGGGAATTTTCTACAGTTTCCTATTTAGTTGTCGGTTAGCATCGTAGACCATAACAATCGATTTGGCCCGCAATTTTAGCTGCCCGAAACTTCGCGAAGAAGGAACCAGTTACCAGTGGTACCTTCTCGAAAGAACGTCTCTGGTAAAAACACTAGCAAGTGCCGGAAGATTTGCCGGTATACATGTGAGTGCGCGAATTAGGATTAAGCTTTCTCCCAGCTTATCGCTAATAATTATCACATCGTAGTATTTAATAGCGGCGTTCGCACAAAGTAAACAAGGAAGCTCGTCTTTTGAGGTGGGTGTCCATGTCACCGTAAGTCAGATAAAGGTGTGCTAAATTCACGAAGCTCCAAAACAATTTGAATTAGATATATTCACGTTTCTCAATTGAAGCTGTCATTCTATACTTTCTATTGTTTGTTGTAATTATTGTGCATCCATCAGTAGTGCAGTTGCATCCCGTATTTGCGTAGAAACATTGAACGTATACGGGACGTCAGCCATTTGTTGGTTAAAAGATTCTTACCTTACAGTAATTCTATGGTGTCTGAGGTGATGGGAAAAATTCGGATTGTTTTATTCTAAAAATCAAGTGCTTCCTTTGTATGCATTGTCGCAAATGCAGTAAATGATTTAAATAGAATACGTACAGTTTCTATTCTTATCATTTTTTTCGTCATAATGTACAAGGAATCCTTTATCTTCACGTTCGTTTTTTGAGGAAAAAAACTTCGAAAAATGAATGTTTACAAAAGAATTAAATGTTAAGGTGTAGGATATTCGAATTTGTATTGTTTATTGTTATTAAGAATTTTGTATGTCAAAATGTAAAAATGTTGTAATTACAGTCGATATTGATCTTGAATGATGTATCAAGCATTCAGCACGTAAGTATTGTCCATATTAAGTGCTGCTATAGTTAATATTAAATATTTTATGTAAAATTGAATATTTGTTAAAAGTTTCGGTCAACAGAAATTTGAATTTCTTATAGTTCAACGTATTCAAAACTTGTTCGAAAAAAAAAAAAAAAAAAGATACACCGGTTTCGCGCTTATTTTCGACGCACATGTCATGTTGACCGAATTACGCCGAAGTATGTCGAATTTTAACGAAGTTCTACGATAAAACCCGAAACTTTCGATAGTTCCGGATTTTAGTAGAATGAACTTTAAAAATTGTATCTTTACGAAACTTGTAAAAGAATCTGATTTTTAAACGTGTGTACAATATTTTTATTAACATCATTTATTTCACGTCATGACCACGTGTCTATATTGCGTCCAAAACCATAACCAACATCGCTCAGTGTTCTCTTATCTCATAGTGACACGTATCAACAGTGAAAAACTATAAGGTATTGCCAACTATAATGAACTTTAAAAATTAAAATAAGCTGTATTGTAAACCTTTGTTATTTAAATGTATCGCTAAAAATGCCAAAATTTGTTACGTAACGGCGTTCGTATGTGCAAAAGTATACGAAGAATAGATTTATCTTGGTATACTTTAATTAGAGTAATTTTAGACGATGATGTAGCTCCTAATTTCCGGCGATGCGTCGTTGATTTTTACTACTTCTTTGCAGAAGACAGGCGTATGTTATGTAGTCACAACTCGAACAATGTTTTGTTCGCAACGTTGACGCGTCTCCGGCATTTTAAACTCCGGTAGATGAATTTTTTTTATCCATGGTGTGTAAGACACGAGCCGCGTGCGCGACGCGTGCCAATTTTCTACGTTATCTTCTAGTTCGTTATTAGCTAACATTAACACGTGACGATAACGTGACGATAACGTTTTTTCTCCTTCTCTCTCCGGGCACGTCAAGGCAATATTTCAGTAGCAGAATCTTCGGGATTGTTCGTACAGTCAACCAGACTGTTTTGATTTACATTAACAAGCAAAACATGATTCTTAATCAAGCGATCCGAGCGTGCGATGGTGACGGTAATTACCTTATCGGAGCAAAAAGAAGAGAAAGAGAAATAGAAACTGTACGCGTAGACAGAGAAGGGCGTTTAGATAGCAGTTACACGGTCACGTGGCCCTTTTGTGTAATGAAGGAGATACATGTAGTTTAAGGTTTCCAAGCATGTTCGAATCGATACTGCCTTGTTTTACTCTCTTAATATTGCAAAACATACGTTCATGTTTGAGCATTAAATTATCACTAGGCTTCCTTTGGTTAAGAGTAAGTATAGGGGACGGAACCTACCACCCTAGGGGAACTTACAGTCTAACTCCGAACTTTTTATTCTTATGCTGGGGCCACGTCTAATGCGATATTCAATGTAATAATTAACGCGCTAATAGTATAACGGCATTGTTAATAACGTTAGGTGTTAAATGGGTGGCGATATTTTTTCACACATCAAAATTAATACATAAACATAGCCACTTAAAACTGTAACACCTAACGTGTAATATTTTTTTTTCTCATTAATCTGGCCCCAGCATTAGGGATAAATAACGTAAGTGACAAATCCTACACTCCCTCTTAACTAACTTATACATAGCCATGTACGTAATAAGTCGCGATAACAAAAATTCTGTTTAATTTAAAAAAAATGATAAGTCACCATCGGGATGCATTGTTTTGCTTACACCGGTTGATAAGTGTCAGAACGAGAAAGATAGATATCCGTTTTCTCGTTCGGTCACATTGGCGAAAACGAAAAGAGGGGAAAGTTCGTACGGTTCCACAGCCAGACAGCTGGTCGTCGGGTTCGATTCGCGCCTGAATGAGTTCGCGTTTAGCCAGTCGCACGATATACCGTTGAATTTCGCAGCAATAATTATTCTAATTAAAAAAAAAAAAAAGAAAAAAATTGACAAGTTGTAACAATCGTGTATTTACGAATCACGGTTATCTGTCACGTACACGTTGACAGTCGGGGCACCGGTATGACGTGTAAGGCTGTCCGCGACGGCGACGACAGCGTACGTGCTGTCCCATTAACATTTTATCCGGGAATTAAAAGATAACGAGAGATAACCCTGATCGTCCGTCACGACACGCGACGACACGCTGCGTGCTGCGTGAGACAGAGCGAGAGCGAGAGTGAGGGAACGATGGAGGGGGGGGTAGAGGATGGAAAGAGAGAAAAAGAGAAGGAGGCGGTGTGATGTTTACGTATGCGGCGACGGGGTGGCGGTAGCGGTGGTTGACGGTGGTGGCATTGACGGAGGACGTGCGTCGGTGGTGGTGTGCACGAGGGGCAACCGCTGGATGGCCAAAAGGTCGCGGCCCCGCCATTGATACGGTCGCGGAGAGAGCGCACTTTGGACCAATTCCTCGCGACGTCTAACTCGAATAAACCGAGGGGTACGCGGCGTTATTACTTCAGTGCTCCTTCGGCCATACACCGCGGCACACTCTCTCGTCGATCAAACGAATCTCTTTCTTTTCTTCTTTCTCTCCTTTAAACTTTCACTCTATTTTACCGTGTCACGAACCTTGCGTTTCATTATCCTTCTAATTTTACTTTCTTCCCTTCTCTGTACCACGTATATGTACCTCTAACCTTGCTCGTACCGTGTTCGATCCGCCCTCCCGTCGAGATAAACAGAACGTGTCGAGTAAGCCTGAACGACACGGATAATCAGGGTTCACGTCAGAACGAAGGACGAGTTCTCTCGATCAGCATCTCGAAACATCACGAGAGACCGTGTCGCGTGTAACCAGTTGAAAAAAATAAAAAGAGAAATAGAACACTTGAGAGCAGCCAGAGAGGTGTCTTTGCGTGGCGCTCGACGAGAGAGAGACTACTAGCCAACGGAACCGATCGAGGTTTTCCTTCGACTTCGGTTTCGCGTACACGTGATCGCACGTGTGGTTACGTACACGAGAAGTTGATCGGAAAGGCGCTGCCGAGCCGGTGGTAGCCGTGTTTCGACGTAGACGCGCGAGCCCGAAGGAAAAGAGAAGGAGAGGAGACACACTCGTGTAGAGTCGCGCGACGTTAACGTTCGCGGTGTGTCTCTTTTTTCTGCACCGAACAGCTGATCTGAAAACGTCAAAATGTCTACAGAACCGGGTAGCTTCACCTCCAACGGGAGCATGATCGTCGTCAGCAACAGGTTGCCGTTCGTCTTGAAGAGGAACGAGGTGACCGGAAAATTGGAACGCAAGGCCAGGTTAGTGTATTAAAGCAGACAGTTCTATTTTCCATTTTCTCACCATCTTTACCTCTTATTTCTTTGTTTATACCGATCCTCATGTTTGCCTTTGTTTACAAACGAACCGCGTTCCATGACTAAGGTAGATTTAAGTTATTCCTTATTGCTTAGGCAAACATTGTTATGGGTCATAATAATTTTCATTTTCAAATACGTTTACAATTCAAATAAATATTGTACTTGGGTTCGATGCAAAAATTGTCGGTTATACGCACGTGGGCGCGCGATGTTCGCGAATTGGCATTGAATTTTTCGCTGCACGTTTTGCAGCGATTGAACTCGGATCACGCGTTAACAAGAGATTTGCAGGATCAACGAGGTTGACGGTACTCCTCCGAATGAATATTTGATCGAACGGTAATTTATTCCGTTGCGTAAACAAGTCGATAGAAATATCGACGGAGGACGTATTGACGTAAGGCTAGGAGGGAAATGTGTGCGGGGTCATGCGGATACATTCGTTAAATACCGACTTCTCTCTCTGATTAAATTCGAATTTCGCATTCCGTGTTTGCGCAAGAATCATCCGGAAATATGGTTCGATTAACCGGTATCGATTTTCTTTTAACGATTCTCACACCAAACAGCACTTTCTTAATTCCTCGTCAACAGTGTAATAAATTATCTAATACTTCCTTATTTGTACCGTCGATGCTACATAATTCCTATTTTTCTGAGTAATTTGTCAGAGTAGAAATGTGCGTGTTGATAGAAATCGCATTGAAACTGCTGGTTATTTATTTTCCTCGTTAAAATTGCCAGGGTTTCTTGTTTCTTTCGAGTGTTACATTTTTTCTTCCTTCAGTTGCAAGCGATGTTGCAAGTAATTAAGATTATTGTTAATTGTGACTTAGTCGTTGGGCGCTGCAGGCGTTGCGCTTGCAACGTTTATTTATGGTACACGAAAAAATAGTACGTGATTACACATCCCGCGTGGTGTTCTACGTTGAGAAGCTTCGATATAGGGCACCAGGGTGACGAAATTTTTCGTAAGAACACGGTCCTCGATGGTCATCCCCGATTCATTTTGTTGATCTATAAATTCGTTTTTATTTCTATGAATCATGTTTTGGAGCACGTTGACCAAATATGAAAGCGTGCCAAATAGACGTTGCCTTTCAATGTACGATGGAAAATTAATAATTTTAATATAATAATGGTAGCGAACACTAGGCATTGCTATTTAATTGTTCATTCGAGGTGTGTTTAAACATTCGTCTGAAATTTCTCATGCCACGAAACGTGTTAAAACGAATAATAAGCCTAATGAGCTGCATTGAATACCGTATTTCGCTACTGCGTTACAAGAACCTTTTCATGTGTTTTTTTCCTCTTCTCTGTTTTCCTTTCTGTCTTCAGTTGTATCTCATTGTGAGTTTTTAAACGAGCCACCAGGCGAGTGACAGGGTTAAAAAGATAAGAAAATCGTATACTATGTTGACAAGCAGAATCCTCGATACAGAAAATTCTAACATTGAAAATTGTGTTACATATGTGTTTACTTATGGATAGAATTGTTTGCAACGAACTAGTATCTTTCTTAATTTATTGTCTCGGCTATTGTAAATTATCTGTTCTTCATTCTCATTAATTCTCTGACTATCACGTTAAGCCTTGTCATTTACAATTAGTAATTTTGTTCCTGATAAATTGCCTTTAATTTCTTCTGTCTTTAATGAGATAAAGTAATAAATATTCTTTCCAAGACTTGTACACTCGCGATCAAATTAGGCTGAAAATTTTAATTTTTATTAATATTAAAAGTAATTTAGAAAAGAAAGTAACATAATTTTTATAATTAAATATCAATTCAAACTTTCTCGCGTATACATTTGTATGAAAGTTGAGGGGGATGCACAGACCTATGCATCTATGAGGCCCTTTTCGTTCCATCGTCATTCTTCCCGCAGATTCCTACGGGAAAGTGTCAGAATCCGGGACATCACGATCGCGGTTGTACACGACAGACTTTTTACACAAATTTGTTACAATCGATCGTTTGTTATCCCAACTCTAAAGCATGTGTCAATCCGTAAAGACAGCCTTTATCTCGTTCGGTGATTACGAGTAGTAACTTTATCTGTTTATTTGCGTGAATCACCGTATCGTTCGTTGATACTTGCTTATTAATAAATAATGTCAGCTAGCGCTAAAAAAGGCTAGACGGTCTGTTCGCGAGCAGCAATTGAAATAATTAATCAAACCCCGCCGGAGATAAAGTAACTCCGAGAACTACCCAACTTTGTCTGTTTCGAGGGAAAATAATTCTAGACCGGCTTAATCTAATCGCAAACTTCGTCGCAGAAATAGGGATAAACGCGGAGGATTTCTTCTTTTGTCATTGCTCGCCTTCAGCGTATATAACATTAAAGATTAAAGGTCCATGGTTTGTAAACAAACGGTAAAGATTAAACGAAGCGAACGAACATGCAGCTTAAGCTGATTACATACTGCATTCGAATTGCATCGGTGAAACATGCAAACAAACAAGCCGCGTGCAACGATAACGTAATCGTAATCGATTTAAAAGCAAAAATTCCATGGAACATTTTCGAGTAACATAGATCATTGCGTTTCGTTAAGTATTCTTATCTACAGGTGTTGATTTTTCTTTTCCCGTCGAGATAACGAAGTAACTTCAAGTACCCTTGATCCTCGAAAATCCCGGCGTTTCCGATCGCGTTAATTCACTTTATCCTTTAATGAGAATCGACCACTTGATGACTAGAAAATTCCTGATAACGATCAAGGGATTCTTGGAGGATCATCGATAAAACGGTGCGATCTCATTCAGAAAGCGTGTCTCGCGATGACACGTGCTTCCCGCGTGCATTCGCGTTACGTGCACTGAGTAATATATTATCGCGATCGTCGCAGTGGTTACTTCCTCGATTTGCGCAGACGAGACACAATGAGAGCCGTGGAAAAACACGAACCTCGTCACCGTTGGCATTGATTCTTTTGAAAAAGTCGTACGTTCGTCGTGCGCTTTGATTTTTTTAAATTTCACATCATACTTTAACACTGATATTTTGTGAAATCAATAACTCTTTGATTTTTCGGACACAATCGATGTGACACAATTGCAAATACAAGATCGAAGCGTATCCACGAGTAACGTACACAGTGAAATCGTGGCATTCTCGAAATAGTATTCGGTGGTAATAATAGCGTGCATCAATCGCTTCCGTGTCGTTGCAATAATAGTAATGTCACCGACCGGGAATTCGCACGTGTTGCCGTGTGATTCAGTAATCCGTAAAATTAACGATCGTGGATCATCTTTGGATGAGATAAATAAAAATGCATTGCCGGAAGAGGAACTGTATTCTCCAGTAAGATTGCGATCTTTAAAACATGAACTTCAAGGTTTACTGCTAAAGTTTTTGTAATTATAACTTTGCTTTAATGTCAGGTTGAAAAATGTTTTTTCTTGCTTAATTGAAGGCTACCAGCGGACCATTTGACGTTAAGATGTATTCTTTGAAATTGCGATGGCAATGGTACACGAGGACGTGCGAGTTTCATTGATCAATGTTATTACGTCAATAGTCGCGAATATGTAGGAATAACTAGAAAAGGACGAGTACAAAGTTGCCAAGTTTGACCTAGTACAATAATTGGAATCCTTTTGTCGGGATGCGCTGAATGGTAGCCAAGTTTCATTAAAAATTCATAATTATGCCACTTCAGTTTCGCGATAAGTGAACGCAAACCCATTCATGGGTTCGAGGATCCATCTACTGGATCGAGTTGAATATGGAGCAAGGTCGGAGGGCGCACTCGTTTTCGTAATTAAAATTTTGCGATTAACACGTTGAACACCTTGGGAGGCCCCGCAACTTACTAAATAATTAAAAGAAAACAATAGAAAAACATTATTTCAAGTAATATTGCTATAGTACAAACAATGTAAAATGGCAAATAGAAAGTTTGAAATTTGAAATTTGCAAATTAATTAATACTATTCTTAGTAATTAGAGCTTTAATACGTCCTATAAAAAAATGCCCAATTTCACAGTGGCGTTCAACGTGTTAAAAATCTCACACGTTTCTACGGTTGACACGATCGATCCTTGTATTTGTCGTTATGTAAATATGATCGTTGGTACCCTGACGAATCGTTACATAGAGTCGATCGAAGAGGTCTTTCAATATTATCCTGCTCTTCTTATCGCTCGATACGTCGATGACGGGAACTCGGTGAACTTTTATATTTACGTAGGGGATGTTTTTTTTTTTTCATGTGCCGCGTTCGGTATCTTTATTATTATTGCGTAGATGACAGGCGGTCGTTTGTACGATAAAACTCTTTTATTCTATTATTGATTCCGGAATAATTGGCGTGCAACGTATTCGCAATTCTACCGATCGCTGCTCTGATCCCTCTACAAGATACCTTTTCGAAAATTTTTATTTGCTTCCGCTATTTTCTCTACGTACATTCTCTTAATAACATTTATCATTTCCTTTTTTCAGCGCCGGAGGTCTTGTAACCGCGGTTGCACCGGTTGTTATAAGCGGAAATGGAGTGTGGGTCGGATGGCCGGGAATGCACATGGAAAATCGAAACGAACCGATTCCCGAATCCGATCCTAACGATCGTACGCCAACGGCTGGCCTTCTATCTCGTAAGGTAAGTTTCTTTTAAACTAATGAAAGTTATTCCAAAACGCGCGATTACGTCGTAAAAAAAGATGCAATTGCAGAAAGATAAACTTGGTTAAAACATGTAACCCTTCTCCCTCGCTGTTGCTTTATCTTCAACCAAACAGAAGATACGTCTTATTCCAATCGCATGACTTATTGTACACAAAAGAATATCTGTTTTAACGATATCATTAATTTTACATTATTTTACATCTTTATATCGACAGCAGTTTATTGAACAAAGCAGCCGATTGATTTGATCGATATCACGTTTGAATATATAAGATACTCTGGTAATTTTTATTGTGCTCCATTTAATATATTACGAACATTGAAATTCGGTAAAATTCTGTGTCGGATTACTAGTTGGCCAGAGGAATGGTTTATTTTCGTAGCAGTTACTAGAATACCTAGGAAATCCTCTAAATATAATTCCACCGGCCAGCCACTCGTCCGGTGATCAATTGACAATTGCGATGGTATTTTATAATTACACCAGTTCAGTAGGCCGTAACATTATTTATCGGTAAATTCCGAACTACCTCGTTCCCAATATCAAATTCCAGCTTCCATGAAATTATTTCCCCACGATCTTCCTCCGATAACCTACTTTATCAGAAGCTCGATCGATCTCGTGAATTTTCCTGGAAAATCGTAATATCCTTTGCGACTTTAACGATCAACATTGTTTTCTTCGAAAATATGATTAATTGATCCGGAAAGTTCAATTTTTCCAAGGATGTTTGACGAGATAACGAGCAAAGTTAATTTGTCGAATGACTAGAACTTCGTTAATCCTAAGTCAATAGAGAGTACAATTGATAACTTTGTATTTAGCTGTTATTTTCCAGAGTATCATCTACGTTTCAAAGTATAAATTTACATGATGTTTGACCTATGTTCACCGAAAGGTCGTTTCTTTGACAAATATTTAAAAAGTGCAGTCACTTATCCGCGTTTTAATCATTTTTTAAAGAATCTTTTATTGAAAGTCCTTGTTATGAATGTTTGATTAGCATCTACCGATTGGAAGGCAGTGTAATGAGTGGTTTGGCAGTCTAAGCGATAAGGCAAAACGTTGTTGAAACGTTTTCATGAAAATCGTTTTACACCCACCGTTTACCATCGAAAAACAACTAATTAGTGTACTTAATAAATTGTGAATCATTGTCACTGTCGTGTCACATGAACGGGCAAGTTTCTGAATCGCGTAACACCCACGCCGTGCATACATACGTTGAACATGTTACTCTGATATTGCGGGTACAGGTTAACCTTCGCATTGATAGTTTATTCGTAACTTCTTGCCATGTTCTGAGTCACTCATTCCCACCTTTCATGGCTCGTAATGTTCCATTAAGCTCGAATTACCGAAAAATATTCCATCGACTCGCTCGAGTTTACGGTATCGATCGAACGTTCAGTAATTCTAATATCTAGCCGAGAAACTTCTTCTTAACCCTTTAGATTCTTTCGCTTTTGTAATTAAAATTTTTTGTCTTCATCTCCTTGCAAGAGATTACTAATTAGAAAAGTCAAAAACTTTCCAACGAAGGGTTGAGGGATTCCTGTGAAAATTAAAATATCCGTTTCTACTTTGGTGATCCGGTACTCAACGTACTAAAGATATTATATTTAAAACTTCTTAGCTTATCGTCTTTAATTGGCAAGTGTCGCGACATGAAAACATTGAAACATCCGACACCTGTGTATAGCTGTATTTATTATTTATATTAACCGTCATAATTGTCGTCACGAGTACATCCTGTGTTTATCAGGCTATTATAATCCACGAGTTCGTTTAATTGTTATGAAGCAACTATCAGCCAATTTCGTTGAAATTCAACGTATATACTAAAAGTATATACTCTGGTATATACGGACGTGAGAAGTTTCAATTTGTTCCCTGAACGGTTATGCATAGAATCAGCGTCGATTTAAAATGAGGAAGTATCAATAAAGAGGAGATATCAGATACCGTGATCGCAGTTGTCAGCTGCAATATTTCTTTACGCCATTCACCTTTGAACTTCAACCTGAACAAATCGTTTTCGCGTCTTGATTTGACCGAGCTAATCGACGTGATGACCACGAGTTAATCGAGAATCAGTTGATTCTCTTGAATTCGTTAGTTAACGAATTAGATCTATGAAACGATTCAATTGTTCTTATTGCTCGATTTAAATCAGCCAGAGGTTCTCTTATCGTACCTAAATGAATTTTTTAAAATTTAATAAATTATTCTTGTGATTTTAATGACGTTCAGAATTGATTCACCGAAATTTTGAAATTTGATTTTAAATACCTTCTCATTATTTCTCCATACGAAACACTCGATTATGCGTTTAGAACGAAGATGCTATTATTACTGGAAATGTTCTAGGAAAATGATATTGGAAGAAAAAGGAACTAATAAAGAAGGAGATCATATAGTGGGGGCGGTGTTTACGTATCGATGATAACGATGCTGTGGTGGTTTCTCTGAAACATAGATAGAATATCTTGTTTTCGTCCCAAATAACGTTTAGAAAGAATTTTTTCGTTTTAAGTAGGATACTTTTTGCCCAATTCTTAATACAAAATAGAAGAGTTCAGATAAAATGAGAAGGATTCTTGGAATTTACAATAACATTTAAACACTATCAATGAGGTAAAATCTTTGTTACATAAGTATTTATATTCCCATTAAAAATGATTTATGATGTTTTTTATCCAGCTTCGTGATTGTCTATTATATAACAATAAATCGTCGAATCAATTAGAAAATTTCCGGTGAATAATAATGTTCTCCAGTTCCCAAAGAACATACCAACACACTTATTGTCACAAGAGAAATGGCACCTTACATTATTAGCATAATACTAATGCTATTCAAAGTCTGCCTTCACTTTTCGTTTACTAATTACTCGAGTATACAAAATCCTAGGCGTTGGTCATTAGTGACTGTCAATCCCCCTCGATAATTTAGACAAATATTGTTTTCTAATCCAAGTAGCTTTCACTTATCCTATCAGCTTTCATTGGAAATGTTTTCTCGTGATAGCTGAAAAGAAAGAAAAAAAATGTTTTCCAATCTCGACCAATGGACCTTGAGTCGCGTTTAATCGAATATCCGTGTGACCTTATTCGGGAATCACGAGGAGGAAAATGTCCGGTAGCTCCTTAAATGGCTTTAGTTTAGCGTCGATCAGCTCTCGTACGAATGGATCTGAGGCAAGGATCTCTGGTGTCGCGATAATCGTGTCGAAAGGTCGAAACGGTGGGTTATCAGTGGCGTGATGACGCTGATGGATTCGCCGGCTTTATCATTCGAGCATAGAACTTGGCTAGACTCGATGATAATGGTCCTTTGATTCATACGTTCTTACGTCGAATTTCGCGGCATGCACGCCCACGCGTTACACCGGATGCCAATCACGTGCACGATTTCGAGAAATGGAACGATGATAAATACTGTCGATCCGATCTATGTCAGTCTGCTTGGCGGGATGGTAGACGATCAGCCAGCATCATCAACCTGACACAACCCCGATGCTTCCTGTTCAACCCTATTGCGATCCTCGATTCACCCACAGATACAAAGTCTTCGTATTACTTAAAAATTTTTCAATTAAAATTTCATTGCATTGAAATATTGACTGTCTAATTGGCGTAGAAATGGCAAATAGTAATGACCTAGTTAGATACTCCGATTACAACTACCGTTTTAATAGATACTTGCAACGATTACAGATGCTAATGTGAAAGGCTTCGAGTAAGTGTACATTATCTCGGTGATCGTTTTTTCTTTAATACATTCCGTTGACCATTAATGTACATTAAATAAAAACAAAGGAGTGGCGTGATACGAGGGCGTTATAATCTCATTCCTGATCGTTCATGGGTACTTTTGAACTCGATCGAGCAGGGACGAACCTATCGTGTAAACTTATGTAAATTTTTTTCTCTATCATTATACGTAGAACTATCGTACATACGTCAAAGCTGACGTGATATCTCGTGTTTAATCTGGGGAATAATTTGTAAGTGGACACTCCAAATTTTCCTGTGTTTCTTTAGGCCATAGGCTTTTCCTTACTTTGTCATTTCCCCTGGGGATACCTGAGGAGAAAGGCTCTTAAAATGAATAATTTACCAATTTATTATCTTATACTAGCATCGTTTAAGCTCCTAGAAAATGGTAATTCTCGTTTCCCGCGAATAACGCCCTGAAAGGCGAGCCGAGCTTGCCATTAACGATGATTTCGCAACGCGACAGGGGTCAGACGATTTGAAAAGAGACGATTCCGTTTCGCCTACGCTCGGTGATCGTAAACAATTCAGAGACGATGCGGCGTTAAAAAACGAACGGAACGTACGAAAACATTTTAATTATCCGTTATCAACGCCGCAAGACGGGGAGAGGAGCGTGAACACACCCGCGCTCGTTACAATTGGAAGATACTGAAAGAGGCAAGGAAAAGAGACAACGAATGCGTACACCCCCTTACCCCGCTTCTTTTATTCAAAACATGTTATTAAACGAAATGATTACCGCGTGATCTAGCTTCTATCTAGAGACCAGTATGATCTTATTTACAAGATTCCTTCGTCGCGTTACCACGTCAGTTCAATCACTCGAAACGAAATCATTTTTGCGAATATTTGATTGGAACAGGTCGTTACGAGTAACACCAGTACTTTATAATGAAAGAAATTTGTTAATAAACGATGATATCTTAACCCATTAGCTGCCACGATCCCTATTTGGGGATTTGGGGATATGCAAAAATATGCATATATATAACTTATCCGGCCAAAAATTTAAAAAAAAAAATTTGGCAGTTAATGGGTTAAGTATTAATACTCGATTATAATTAGGTATACCCTCCATCGAGGAAGAAACTTAATGCGATGATTGTCACAGTGAAAACCCCCATGTCTAGTAAGACACAGAGTCGACATGTCTTACTATCCATGTCCATTTCCACTGCGACAGTGAACGTGGTAATCGTCACGGTAGAAACAACCATATCTGGTATTCCCGTTTCAAGTTCGTAATAAAATTTCACTGCTATTTAAAATTATCTTACTAAATTAAGATAGTATTATCACAGGTGACCTTCTTTGCGTAGTGTTAAACCCGTTATTAGGATACTTCATCTATTTAGATTATCATATAATAGAATAATATAATGGAGGTGTTCAACCTATTTCTTGTCTAACGCTTAAGTGCCAAAGAGATTAAAATTCTAATTTTCAAAAAGTGGAGCCGTTAATTTTCAAAATTCACATTTTATGTTTTTTATCTGGCAAATTGATATTATTAGTATAGTGCGATTTCCACGGTATTCGACTTTGTAAGGTTGCACACGATGCGTTAAATGCAAACGAATCAGCAGTCAACCCAGATTTGATACGTCTGATCGATCGGTCAAACTCAGGGCTGAGGTAACAATGCTGTAACGAATACAGAACTCGTACAGTTAACTAAAACATTGATGTACGCTTTCGTGTCAACAGTTTGACTAGCATTTTGAAAGGGAAAAAAATAATTACACGTACGAACTGGTTTGTGACAAAGCATTGTTCTTATACGTTGCTTTTGCCTCGCTGTTTTTTGTTACGCTTCAAAACCGTTTTAAACCAGCTCGTATCGATCGTTGTTCATTTCGAAAGAAAGTACTTAAACGTGGTTATTCGTTGAATAATCGTACAACGAATCTACGCTCTCCTATTAAGCTCGATAATTAAGAAATACCTCGGAATTCATCGTCAGACATATTAACGTTCCAAATGGTTCGTTAATCGCGTTTGCAAATGCTCGTAAAAAGATTGTGACCTTACGTCTAATTGTAAGTAAAGCAAGACGATGTAATTGCAGAAACATTGCAAAATCGCTTGTTTCTATTGGCGTCTCTTAATTAAGATACATCTGATCCTCCCTCTGATGGTTGTGTCTGCCCGAGGAGACATTAATAATTATCTCATTAGCGATTGTTGGCCGCTTGCGTCAATCAACGATCCCGGGGGGAGGACGTGTTTTCACTCGTTCGGTGGTGTAAAGGAAGCAAATAAAAACGACTCGTAGGATAACGAGAAAGTTAACGAGAAGAGACGATGGAAGCGTCACGTATTCATCCAGCAATACTTTATCAACTTCTTCTAGGTCGGATTTCTTTTTTTATTCACTTCCGATTGCCGTCAACAGGAACATTCATCATTTTTATCCCCAGTTTTTTAATCGTGATCGATATAGAATGCTCGTTTCTGATCTAAATTTGGAACAGAGCACGGTCTTTTATTGGAATCGATCCACGAATCGGTTACATTTGTTCGTGCCGCCATAAAAGTTGTTACTATTTATTCGTTACACTCGACGTACGGCTATTTATAACGATTGAACGTCTATCTGTGACAACACTTCGATTGCAGCCACGCGTAATCTTGCAATTTTAAATCTCTTTTTATATCGCGGAGGAGGCAATAAAAATAGGAAGTGCACTCTGAGCCGTGAAACGCAATGATAAGGGAACTATAAATACATCTGGTTGCATTCAATGTTACACCGAACAAAATTAAACGGGGATAGCTGTTTCTTAATTAAGAATGCATCTCGAGGGAGAAATAGGTAGCGTGATGTTCCGTGATTACATTAAAACATCGAGATCCTTAATTTATCCCTTGTGAGGATTTCTACAGAGAAACTAGGGTACAGTAACGCGATTTAAGAAGTCGGAGGAAAATGAAAAATCTGCTGCACTTTTCGTATCTCGTCGATGTTTCGTAAACATTAGAGTTTATTTTTTAAAGGGATCGCAATGTTTGTTATTCAGGTTGTAGCGGTGCACGTCGACCCTACTATCTTCGATTCGTACTACAATGGATGTTGCAACGGAACGTTTTGGCCATTGTTCCATTCTATGCCCGATCGAGCGACTTTCATCGCGGATCATTGGCGCGCGTATTCCACTGTTAACGAGGAATTTGCTGCCAAAACGGTGAGTATAATGAGAAGACGGTATCAGTTCAATGATTCTCTTTATTACTTCGATGAAAGATGGCCAAATTCCAACGAGCCAGAGCATTGCCTTCTCTGCTGAAAAGCGAAAACGTTATTCCGAATGTATATTTTTAATTAGGTCGGAGCTCTGGAACAGATTCATAAGGAACAAGAAAATCAATCGAACGGCACACCTTTGGTCTGGGTACACGACTATCATTTAATGTTAACCGCGAACTGGATTCGGCAAGCTGCGGAGGAGAAACGTCTTAAGTTAAAATTGGGCTTCTTCCTTCATATCCCCTTCCCACCATGGGATATATTCAGACTCTTCCCATGGGCTGATGAGATTCTTCAGGGTATGCTCGGTAAGTAGTTTCCTTGAAAAAAAAAAAATTTCTTTATTTTGAAAATCAAATTGGGATCAAAGTTTGTCTGACGAAAATATACGATTAGGTTGCGACATGGTCGGTTTCCACATTCAGGACTATTGTCTGAACTTTGTTGACTGTTGTCAAAGAAGTCTTGGCTGCAGAGTGGATCGCAAGAATCTGTTAGTGGAACACGGTGGAAGAACCGTACGCGTTAGACCGCTTCCCATTGGCATTCCGTTCGACAGATTCGTCTCGCTGGCCGAGACTGCCAACAAGGTCATGTCGACTAATCAGAAAATAGTACTGGGCGTTGATCGTCTCGATTATACGAAGGGCCTGGTTCACAGATTGAAAGCTTTCGAGATGTTGCTGGAGAAACACCCAGAGCATCGTGAACAGGTAATTAAAATCTTCCATCCAGAAGATTTTCCAATCTTCCAATCCAGAAGGATTCATCGCCGGGGACACCTTGCATAGATTAATCGCGTCGAATTTCTTCTCAGGTCACCATGCTTCAAATTGCTGTACCGTCGCGAACCGATGTGCGCGAGTATCAGGATCTGAAGCTTGAAATGGATCAATTGATCGGTCGCATAAACGGTCGATTCACGACGCCCAATTGGTCACCAATTCGTTACATTTACGGTTGCGTGAGCCAAGACGAGCTGGCAGCGTTCTACAGGGATGCTGCGGTTGCTCTCGTTACACCCCTCAGGGATGGAATGAACTTAGTCGCTAAGGAGTTCGTCGCGTGTCAGATTAACACGCCCCCAGGTGTTCTGATAGTTTCTCCGTTCGCTGGAGCCGGAGAAATGATGCACGAAGCGTTGATCTGTAATCCGTATGAAATCGACGAAGCTGCTGAGGTCATTCACAGGTGATTCACTCGTCCGTTCGAACCTGAGCTCTTACGCTTTATCCTTTCTCACTGTATTTCATAGCTTATAACTTCGACGTTATACCGTTTCAGAGCACTTACCATGCCGGAAGACGAACGCACGTTGAGAATGAATCATCTGAGACGTCGTGAAAGGCTCTACGATGTCAATTACTGGATGAAATCCTTCCTGCAAGTAATGGGATCGCTCGAAGAACACGATTCCGTGGGTGCTACCACGATGCAACCTGTTACCATGGACGATTTTGACGATTACCTGAGCAAGTATGTATCACTAAAGTTTGTGAATGTGCATGACTGGGCCCGACCAGAGCATGTGCTTACAAACGGAAAAACAATGTGCGATGAAAGTATGTTAATGATTTAACATTAAACTTAAAATTTTCCATCGTTGATTTACAAATTAATCGCACTTTCAGTGTATATGTTATGAGCAAACGATTTTACGAATAAGAACATTTTATACCATATGTAAAAGTTTCATGGATGCAGCAGGTTTGCTTATGGCATATATGAATACAAATTGCTAACGATGCTTGTTGAGAATACAAGTTTCATACCCTAATTAAATAATTGATATGGAATGTTCCTTGCACAGACAGATTTCTTTCTGTGATTGAACAATTTTTTTTTTTTTTTTTTTCAAACTGAGCATGAGTTTGGGTACGTCGCAGCGTTGGGAATACCAATTACTTCCTGGGTCTTCTCTGAAAGATACGTCACGTTACAGTTCTAAAGGACAAACAGCTTGAAGAACTGCGCGAATTAACATTTCTTCTGTCCTCGAAGATCCATCCTCTGTCGTATTGAAAACAGTTCCAATATGTATCTAATACGTAACGCGAGACCTTGAAAGTTTGACGATGTGTCCTGTTGTGAGAAGTTTTTCTCCAGCTAAAGAATGCATTTTGGAAGACGGCGGGCCCGCGCGTGCGAATGCGACCTGACTCATGATGAAAGCCGGGTAACGTTCCAGTGATAACACATGTCCCCTAGGTACATCGGCGATAACCATAAGCTGGCCCTGCTGCTGGATTACGATGGTACCCTGGCACCCATCGCAACGCATCCGGACCTTGCTATCTTACCACTGGAGACAAAGAACGTTCTCCAGAGGTTGTCCAACATGTCGGACGTGTACATAGCAATTATATCTGGTAGAAACGTGAACAACGTTAAGTCAATGGTTGGTATAGAAGGGATCACGTACGCTGGTAACCATGGACTGGAAATTCTTCATCCGGACGGTAGCAAATTCGTTCATCCGATGCCAGCTGAACTGGAGGGCAAGGTGGCGAATTTGATGCAAGCGCTGCAAGATCAGGTGCGTGTTTTGAAAATTTCACAGATGATACCCTTGTTGTCTGCTATTCTTCAATTCAATTATATTTATTGATCGAATACAGCTTTGCAGGGATGGCGCCTGGGTGGAGAACAAGGGCGCGTTGTTGACGTTCCACTATCGTGAAACACCAATGGAAGGTCGTACCGAGATGATCGAGCAAGCGAAGAAAATCATCGAAAACGCGGGTTTCAAACCCTGTCCAGCACATTGCGCCATTGAAGCGAAACCACCGGTTGAGTGGAACAAAGGTCGTGCTTCCATTTACATTCTCCGCACAGCGTTCGGTTTGGACTGGAGCGAACGTATCAGGATCATCTATGCTGGTGATGATGTCACGGATGAAGACGCGATGAAGGTACGAATAATTTCGTCGACCAGCTTAACGAAATTAATTAATTTTATTTCATATTCTGTACTCGATGATGTGTTCTCTTCAGGCGCTGAAAGGTATGGCTGCTACCTTCCGCGTGGCGTCATCGCACATAATCCGTACATCGGCGGAACGACGTTTGCCAAGCACCGATTCCGTGTTGACGATGTTGAAATGGGTGGAGAGGCATTTGAGCAAACGCAAACCCCGTAACAACGCCGACATCCCATCGAGATTCCGTCGCGGTAGCGCCGGAATAACCATGGAAATGTCGTATATGCCATCAAACGCAACGCTAGAATCCTAGGTAATGTCCGGACATTTTTCGTTATTACAACGATCCTGTCTCTCACGAATAAGAAATATTATTTATATGTCACAGACTTAACGATGTACTCGTGGAGTAAAAGCATGTAAGCGAGAGGGAAGAATAAGAAGAAACAAAAGGGAATCTCGTGGTGAATAGGTAAACAAAATTGTCGTGTAAAATTGTATACCCAACACACACAGATACGGCGGAAACAGTTAAAGATAAAGAAAACCAAAAAAAAAAAAAAATAGTTCTTCGATGAACTATGCGTATTCGAAAGCACCATTTAACTTTCGAAAATATATCTTCGATCTTCGAGTATAAATAAGGATAAACCGGATTAATTCGAGTTGACTTTGATAGAAAGATATAAGCCAAACGGAAGAACTGATCTTTTTTCATGTGAAACTAAAATCATTCTTCATCAGCTGTTCAACGTTTAATAGATGTAATCTCCGGTAACCAGTTCAGTGGCTTTAGCCAACGCAGAAACACATTTAAAAAAGAAAAAAAAACCAAGAAAAAGAATAAAAAAGATGAATATTACATGTGTGATCGCTAAATCTCCGTTATGAGCATATAGTGTATAAGCATGTTTTTCTTTCTTTTTTTTTATTTCATGTACAACATAATGATGCGCTTTCGATGTGTTTTATCGAAAGTCGTATTAGGTACTTAGCTGTGTATAGTTTTTAGGTTCGTATGGCTCAAAACGGCAGCAGTTATTCGATGTATACATGTTACAGTGACTTATCCAAACTGTTTTTTTTTGTTTTTTTTTTTTTTATTTATTAAAATAATACATATTTGGTATTGAATTTCGAAAGCGATTGTATTCGATGATAGCCCGTTGAAGGTGTTAAAAATTTTCAATTCCTCAAATAGAACCGTAAAATCCTATTATTTTTAGTTTACAAAAATCCTGTATCTGATCCTATTTGATTTCGCTACAAACGCGTTGATACCAAAAGCGTATCGAGCGTCGATTAAAGCGAAACTTTGAGTTCGATGAGTGGATTTAAATAGAGTTTTTCTTTCTTATGTCTTTAATTATTAACCGATGGAACTGTCGTGTAAAGAACAGTGCCAATTAGAAATCTTCAGTACTCGGTAACAATAATAAATTATTACTAAACGACGATGATTTAGCGATAAGATACTTGAGAAATATACACAGAAACGGACACACACACACACACACATACGCATTAAAATGAAACGATACACGCATCTCGAACAGAAGAATGAATTCATACAAACACGGACAAATTTTACACGTTTTCTAAATAGAGTAAGTTACTTAAGAATTTATTATTCCATACGTTTATTACGTGCGAAGTAAACAAGACACGAATAAGATAATGGAACAGTTATTCACTCGTTGTAATACCTTCAAGTAGAGTCTCGATTGATCTTTTCTTGATGCCCACCGAACGTTGCAACGGCGATTAAACTCTTCAGCATTTAATTAGTTTGATGTATCCTTTCACGTGAAACACTGAAGAATTTTCGAAAGGAATCTTTTTTTTTTTCTAAGGGAGATCACAACGAGTGCTATTCATTGGCGTAACTAGATAAAAGCAAGGGTGGATAAAAGTTCTAGTTACGTTAATGGTGTCATTAAGAAAAAATTTTGTTTTTAACAATCTTTTTTTTTTTCATATGCACGGAGAACGGGCGATGAATTTTTCTACGGATTATCTACAGAAATTAACGATAAGTTTATGTTTCATTGATGGATGAACGACAGTCTTTTTGTGTATAAGTAAAATGAAGAAAACGAAAGGATAAAAAAAGAACTTTGTTACGCGTTTTACAGTGCCTCCATGTAGATATAGCGATCAATAATGCAAATGATCGCTATGACTAGAAAAACAGAGGTCGATTCACCACTGAAGTACATTTTGGTCATTAGATTTCTTCCGGATTTCATTAACGATGCCTCAAGTTCATATCCATTTTATCCCATCTATACATAACTGAATCGTCAAATGTATACCTACATATATGAAAATTCTCATTTGAAAAGTTACATGGAACAAGAGTTTGCTCCAATATACATGTATTTTTATATGTAGATAACGTATGAATTTTGCTGAAGAAAGTTATTAAAGGAAAAATGAAATTATAAAGAGAAAGAGACAAACAGATAATGAAGATGTTATAATGATTCTAATTACATAGTGACCTGTTTGTGTCCCGAACATCTGTTTCTACGACTGTACTTACAATTATAGAAATATACATGTATACACGTATATGTATAAATAATTTAATTACTACACAACAAAAGGTAACAGGTCAAGATAGGTAATTGGACATGTTTATAGATCCTTTGTCTTCTGTGTTTTCTTTTTGATATTGTGACGAGAATTTAATCACATTTTTAACTTTTCTTTGGAAGATGTCTCTGCGAATAATAGCCCTTGAAAATTATCTATGGAACTAAATTTGGAAACTCAAATAAGGGTTAAATTTTCTAATTACTTTTCTTCTCTTAATTCGGCATTGTCTTCTAGATATCAGGGAGGTCGCCGAAAAGAAATTTAAGTTGTACAACATAGAATTTCAATAATTTTGGCAAAACTACCCCTATTCGAAACAATCCGATCTTCTATTTGCATCTTGGTACTTATTAGTCAATTATCATTATTACTAGTCAGTAATAGTAAACAGATTGTAAAACGCTTAAAAACCAGAGAAGGAAATAAAGGAGAATGATCGAAGAAGTCGAGTTTAAAAACAGCAAACGGTATATCTAGATGTCATATCTCTTCTGAAAGTATGTAAAACGTATGTGTATACATGATATATATATGTATAGAAATGAATAACCGTGCATATGTATATGTAAGTACACATAGAGTCCTATAATGTGCCCTTAAACGAGATCCCATAAAAGAAAAGAAAAAAAAAAACAAAAAAAAAGAAGTAATCTACGTTTTGTACGAGTACTTAGTTTTTACCTTGATATATATATATACATTATATAAATAAAATACGTATGTGTATATGCATATGTGTTGTATACACGTCCACACACTTAACACACATTCGAAATTGATTTTTCAATCAAGTTCAACGCACGGTGACTCCTATTGGTTGTAAACGAAAAAAAAAATTAATAACAAAACATTGAAAATGAAATTGCAAAAATAAACAACGTTTATAAACCGTGCACAATTATTATTGTTTCTTCGTTTCAGTTGATTTTTCATGGTTTCGTCCGACATCCTTTGCAACTCCCATCAGAAAATATTGTACAAATGATCGTGATGAGAAATAAAAAATACAGGAAGTGATTTGTTGATTGAATAAAGCACGAGTATGTACGAGTTCGATGAGTAATTATATACTTCAACATTCTACACTTTGTTGCGGCTGTTTTTCCCATGTTAACCTTTGATTTCCAGTTTTATCTGTTTTGAAGAACGTATTGTTAATTGGGAGCAAGACCGATACGACCAATCGAATGATAATTAAACCAATTATTCTCAAAAATTAGATACAATAATGAATACGATTATTTATTAGATGGATGGTTGAATCCCCTTAAATAGAGGGACCGGAAGTGGAGGTGGTCGCTCAAATTTTTGAAACCATTTATTATCAAAGTTTTCGAATATTACAAAATATGAAGGAAATCGTAAGTGAAAAATCAAATTACCCTGAAATCCCATGCAATTCAATTCACGAATAATTATTATTATAGGATCAACTCGAGAGTTAGTAGGTAAAACTGCACGCCACGATAAACCCATCCGTGGAAATGCTTTCTCCAAACAAAGTCATATTACCAGAAGCTGGAAGATTGTTCGCAAAGCGTAGAAGTTTACTGCGATGGTAGGCCAACAATGGCACGCTTTTAAACGTGGGCCAACATCGATATTCGCTCGAAATATCCAAATATTTTCATTTGAATTCTGCACGCCGGTAGGGAAAGAAGGGTGGGTTTGGTTCGTGCGATTTTCACGGTCGTTCAAGAATCTTTCCATCTCCGGAGGGGTGTATTCTTTTTTTCTTCTTCTTCTTTTTCTATTTTCCCTCAACAAGGATGGAGGAAGAGGCGGCATTTATTAGCCGGGAGTGGTCGATGTGCATGCCTGGAGGAGCCGGTCAATGCGGCAGCGCTGTATAAAGAGGCGGATTACACGGTGTCCATTTCAGGGTGTACAAGGAGCTGGTGTTTGCGGTAAGTCTTCCACATAGACCCGGCCGTACGGGGTCGTGTACAGCCACGGTCCTGGCATTATCTTCGCTGTTTTGCCGATTCAATTGTGTGTGCGAAGAAAGGCGGCGTTTAACAAGAGTTTAATAAAAGGCAAACAGCGGGGTCGTTGCTTCTCTTCGTCCTACTTCATCCGTATTCCCTTTCACGCTCTCTTCCTTCCTCATCCTTTCTCCTGCTTTTCTTCCTTGATCTATATCGATTTCTTTCCTTCTCTGTTTAAGGTTTCGATGCCTCTCCATTCCTCCGCTTCGAAGGGATTACACAGCCGGGGCAAAATACCAGGTTTCAGATGTTGAAACTGGGAGAGAAATAGGGAAGAAAGGAAGAGAGACGAAAGGGAAGATTCGGGAAAAAAAAAAAAGGATCGCAGCTGCCACGCACGGGTGGTTCTATCGAAAACCGATTCGTTCTTTGCTCGTTGCTCTATCTTTCCCTTGGAAATCCGTCCGGATAGAGGAATTTTCTTTTTTTAAACGCGTGCCCTTCTCTGTGTAACGAGAATTAGGATTAGAATAGGGTAAACTAGGTTGAGATATTATATATAGTTTTTAAATTAATTTGATTTATTTTATCAGAAGAAAGAACGAATGCTTGTGTGGCTAATCGAATTAATTTTTATTAACAATCACGTTATTAAGTTCGCCGCGTAAACATCTGCGTGGCGCAACGGAACGGAAAGGGTAGCTAAAGTAAGTCAGTAACTCGGTGGAAATCCGCCGGGGGCTGACCGGATCGATCAGCTCTGATGTAATTATCCAAACGCTGAATTTTTTATCGCGGTGAAACAATAACGTATTTTCAGAGCAAACAACATCCCGATACCGAGATACAGAAAGCAGAGAGAAAGAGAGCGAGTAACAGCCTCGTCCGCTTGTACGCCCTGTTTACGTAACGTGTAATAGAATAATCTGCGTTACGGAAGGGCCACCGCGGGCCAATCTACGGTCACATCCTTTGTTTTTCAATGGGATTCGCGTTCGCCAAGAGATTCCAATTCGATAACTCGTTATCCATACGATTTTATTTTTTCAAATATTTTTGAATAAAAGTTCACACTATTTTAGATTTTCTAATTAATGTTTTTCTTTCTTTTTTTAGATTCAACGCAAGAACGTGACAAAGAATTAGGAAGCCGAAGAAAAGAAACCTCTTTGCTGACTAAAATAGACACGGCGAGAGTGTGTTGGTTCACTGGCACCAAGTTTTCGGCTGGGTCTTTAGGGCTGCAAAAAATAAGGGTAATCCAACACTACATGGAAACCACATTGCGTTTTGCCAAGCGCAAGTCGTAGAATCAACAAATCCGCCGGGATTAGATAACATCCCCCGGGATTGCTGGCCCTTCGCTTATCCTCCACCGAATCCTGAAGGGCCCCGTCTTGTTGTCCCATCGGGTTATTGGTATCACTTAACGAAATCCGCGCCGAAATAGCTTTAAAAGCCCTGCCACCACCCCGTCACCGAATTCAAATCGATTTTTTCCGACCATTACCCTGAATCTCAGGAACGAAGAAGTTTTCTGAGAAATATAACCAGTCCCTCTTCAATTTTCAAATTCTTTATTTTACTAATCTAATATTTTCAAACGATTTCACGAAGTCCCATGGAAAATAGAAACAGAGTCAATTTGAAATAATCGAAATTCATCAAATAAGAGCAAATAAGTCATTTAAACGAATTCTTTTATTTTCCAGGTTAAAAAAAAAAAAGGCATGTCATCAATATCGAAGCCAGCTGTATATTCGACAAGATCGAAGTTGATTTTTCCGCCGGTATAAGGCCATCAACGACGCTTTTTTTTTTTTTTTCATTCATTTTCTTTCCCACCCCCCGTGGACCCCCTTTGACCCGCTCGTTATTCTATCTTTTTCTCCGACGCGGTCATACACTGCTTCTCGTTTTTACTTTTTTATTTTTTTATTTTTTCGTTATTTTTCATCTCGTTCGGTCGAAGCTACTAAAAAGGAATAGGTGAAAACTGTTAATTGGTTCGGTGGTGAAAATACGGCGGCCTGGCCGGCGGCCGGCATCGACACATTCTAAAACGGACACCGTGTACGTGTGGGAACCGTGATAGGTGGTGCGGAGAACACAGGTGTGCGTACGCCACGAGCGTCAAGGCGTGTATCGTGGCAGCATGTCCGTCCAATTATGGAAAATTAATTGGCGATCAGTGACTCGGGGCGATGGAAACATAGTTCCGCGTCGAATAAACTTCCTTTGTATTCCGATCAGCCTTTGACAGCATTGTAATAATTAAAGTAATTAACATACGAGCCAATAAATTCACCGATCGTCCTGTTTCGCCTCGAGCGAACCAGGGACCAACAATTATAACTCGGGGCAATTCAACGAAGAAGAAAGAAATTATTCTTCTTCAATTCGAAATTCGACGTAGAAAATTAGCATATTTTTATTATTATCTTTAATTCCTTGCAATAAAAAAGAACCACCCTCGGTGTTTGCAAAGCGTTCGATTTCTGTAAAGTATCTGAAACGAAAGCCGCGTGGTGCCGGTATGCCTTTCAATCTCCAATTTCTTTAAGGAACCACGGCTCTCGTTTCCTGTTTACAGCCAGCCAGGAGCAGAGAATCGTTTGGCTGGGTTTTAAAAAGTTTCCGCCACGGGAGATGGTTGCACGTGAAAAGATTACAATTTCCACGGTAATCATCGAGGACGAATCCTCCGGCGCTAATGCGGCGACAATACAGATGTTTTCACGTCTAAGCGGCGTGCTAAGTGGATGTCCTGCTCGTTTCCCTTAGCCCGTTCCCTTCGGCCCTACCGAGGGGTGCTAAGTTCTACCTGACCCCAAGTATCCAAGTGAACGTTTCGCGTAAGTACTCGTTACTTTACCTTACACTTGACTGGACGCCTTCTTGCCTCTTTGGTTGGGAAATAATCGACCAGAGAGAAAAAGCAACGAGCAAAAGCCAACAGAAATTGAGCCTGCGAATTATCCTTCAACCTATTCCTTCTCTTTACCATGGACCTTTCTGTCTCTTTTTTCTTTTTCTTTCTTTTTCTTAAGATGTAACGAACGTTTCGTGCAACTGGTCGAAATCCATAAGCCTAAGAAGCCACGATTATCCATCGAATGCAGATGAATTGACTAACAATAGTCTTGGTTATTTCACGGTTCTGTTAAGAGAGGATTTTTTGGGCAATTTAACTAAAATTCAATAACATTTCCAATGAACATTTTTGCTATAGTGTAAATACTAGGGGTTGATAAATAATCCTACTAAAAAAGATTTTAAAAACAACGAACGAAGCCGCAATGAAGCGGGTCAAAGAAGTCCTAGAAGTGTGAGTATTAGCGAGCCACTGCAAATATTTTTCGGATGCTGTAATCGCGCTACGTTTCTCCACCGCTCTATGGACCCTTTCCTTCCCTTAACGCAGCGTAAATATTGTTTTTCCCTTTAAAAATCGTATACGACCCGTGTCATTTTCGGCGTCGCAATCAAAGACGCCGAATTCAACAAAGAATAATAAAAAAAAAGAATCATAATCGAGGAAGTCCGTGGTATCGTGTCGAGTATCGCGCGGATTAGCTGTTGGTTCGTTACAGGATGTAAATGTTTGTCTTCCTCCTATCTTTTTTTTTTTTTACTGACGTCAAAGAAATACTCGTGAAATCAAAATGACCCTAAGCCGGGGAACTAATCGGGTATCCATTAACGCGTCAACAAATTCTTTCCTTTACCTTTTATTTAACCTTCGAATAGCGAAGATATCGATATTAATTTTTATTTTAACCGATTTCCTCGATAATTATTTCACCTCTAACGAAATACATTCGGAAAGGGTTAAATTCACTTGAACCAGTTTACACGGTAGTCCGAAAGGATTCATCCTAGTCACTTCATGAATTGTCGTAACTGGTATCAAAATCGCATTCTAAACGGTTTACAGACGCTACGAGATTAGCATACGAATACCGATGCAGAAGTATAGTTAAACGGTATCTATTCGGCCACGGTGTTAATGAAATTCACAAGCACGTCGAACAAAGAGGATCCTCTTCGTTGGGATCATCATGGACGATTCCGTTCACAGAGATGGTTGCACCATGCTTTCCTCGTGATTCGACGACACCCTAAACCGGTGGGTACATACGTGGCCATGGGATTCGGTTCTCCGGGATCGGGCCACGATTAACGTACGGATTAGGATTAAGGTTGGCAGAGATTTCGTTGCGGACTACGGGATTGAAGCGTGCACGGATGGATGTTTAGCTAGAGGCAAGGGGGCAGCAGGCGATCACAATGTCCAGGGTACGTGCGCGCCCTACGAATAAACCTTTTCACGCTCCGTTCTCCGCGTATCGCATCACGATCCTCCCCACCCAGCTCCATCGACAACAATGATGATGACAGTCAATGCACATTACAACGGTTTTATGTTATTAATACGGACGCATTGGGCGGGATTTGAATAATTGAACAGATCTGCCGGATCAACGATTTGGAAAAGAAGGGAACTCGAAGAGTTTGCTCGATACCCTTGGCCCTTCTTTGATCAGCCATATTGCGTCTTGTTATTTTTCCAGAAAATAGATTTTTCAGGGAAATGTTTTATTTGTAATTGAGATTACAATTTTTTGGGTTTTGAATTTATTCGATGAACCGGTATTTCGATGATCGAGAAATTAAATATTTCAAAATGGTATCCAATAGTCTGGAATATCCGGCCGGTAATCCTGCACCGTTCAAATTCCAAATATCCCAAAATCGATATTTTAATACGCAGCGATGATCAGTGAAGTGTTTAGTACATTCGCGATTAGTCGAGTTACATTCGATTCGTTTCTATATTCGGCTACAACGTATACGCACGATATTGTATGTACAGAATTTCAAAGTTGATGCGGGGTTTAACGTTGCTGAACGCTCGCATCAAATCGCCTTCATTGTTTATGCAAATAACGATGGAAGTAATTGGATGTAGCATTGAATTCCTGTTTGATAATTCGAGAGCTTCCTATAATCCCTGCGTCGAAATCATAATATCCTTAAATTTAAATGATAGACACTATGAAAAAAGAAATTGTTTCAATTCTAAACTGAGCTACTCGTTTCCAACTCATCTCATTTCGTCTCAACACCAGAAACCCGCCAAATCATAGACCGCTGTCGAATCCGCGAAATCCGCTGATGAAAAATATGAAAAAAAGGAAAAGAAATGCCCGATTAAAACCCGTGACGGAAGGGAAACACGTACTTATTTTCAGAAACAATATCGAGCATTCGATCATGCCCGTTCGTAGGTAAACGCTTCCGGAAGCATGATTAATTCGTGAATACGATTCTCAAAGCAAACTCGAAAAGCTCTGTAATACGCAAGACACGTCGTGATTATCCGTTGTAAATACGGTGTGTCTCCCACCGGTGTATCCCGTTTCCTCCCCCTTCCCTCGCGAACCACCCTATGGGTCGAAGTGGCATAAACGGCGTGGGGGGTTGAAAGGGCATTCTGTCGAACCGTTCGACGTTCCACTCCCACTTTTTCCACCCCAAACCATCGTCGTCGTCAGGAGATTGCACCTCCGCCTACATCCTACCGGAAACCATCGACGAAGCTCTCGCTTCTCTCTCCGTCCATCCCCCTCTTTTCCTCTGTCGACTTGCCACATAGGGGATGCCGAGCGACCAAGGGTGGTGGAAAAGTGGACGGAGCCAGAGTGAGCCACGCCTCGTTCCACTCGAGGCAAAACTTTGCTGGATATATTCGAGGGTGTCTCTGTCACTAACACGGGGGTGGGCTACCCGTAGCTAGATGCCGGCGAATCTAAGCGCACCCCCCAGAGGTCAACGCGTACACCGAGTTGCACCAGTCGTCGGATATCCTTTATCAACGGTGTCACTGCACATCTGGACTTCGCCACGCGCGTCGCATCCTTTCCATCCTCGTGATACTCTCGCCGGTGAAACCACCTCCGATCGGCTACGTTTTGATAATCATTTTTTATGCCCCGAAAAATGCGAGTGATCGAATAGATTCTTCGAGCGTTCCCTGTGAGATAGGTACGAAGAACCTGGTGATTCGAATCGAACGGAAATCAGTGCTCGTGTTCGTCTGTGATGGGACAGAAGGAAGTCTTCGAGGGTTGCTCGACATTATGGACTTGAATATTTTGTGAGCACGGTTTTTCCTCGGTGTCGATGGCATGTGATAGTTGTGAACGCGTTATCGTATTTAAGGACGAGAAGAGAATTTTACGCCACTCTTAGAAACAGCGATGTCTGTTCAATTAATTCGAAGAATGTCTCTTCGTTGATTTTAATTCCATCGATCGACGCTCGTAAATAATCGTAAAGGGAACTCGAAGAAGACCGGTGACGAGTTTACTTTAAGAAGATATTACTCCTGTAACATGGTAGAAAGTATCTACGCGAGTGATTCGCCAAGATCGCGTTCTCCGATGACCGAGCCATCGAGTCCTCTTCAAGATGGTCCCGGGATATCCGGTTACAGTCACCGTTACCTCTACAACTATTCACCGGAGAGTCTGCAACTGAAGCAGAAGAGCAGCGACGAGCAGAACAACGTGGCTGGACGACGGCACAATACCGAGAAAACGTTCTCCAGGAGTCCTGTAAGCTCCGAAGAAACGAGATTCAGAGCTCGCGATGTATCGAGACCAAGTTCCTCGGCTACTATGTCGTCACCCACGTCTGCCTTTACTATAGAGAATATTCTGGCACCTAGACCCATTGGAAACGTGACACCGACCAGTACCAGCGGGCTTGGTTCTATCATTCAGAACCCGGAAACCGTTGGCTCGCCGTCGAGGACCGCGGCGATGCATCCTCTTCAACAACAAATTCATCATCTGGCGTTCACTTCTGCCGATTTGTTTGGTAAGCTGGTACCGATCCATTTTTCTTGAAATGAAAATTAATATATTTATTACACTTGGGTGCCATGGGAGAACCAAGAAGTCTCCTATCTTCGGACATGAAATTCCTTCCCTTACGCTTCTTCTTAACTAAAAGGAGCCTAAATTGCAGCCGTAGATCATGCTAATTCATAAATGCTTCGGGGAGTATTCGAGGCGTTTCGGCGCGTATTAAGCGCCGGGCAAAGTCTCGTAGCGGAAAAATGAAAGAAGGCGTAAATCCTTGGAGGGCCGACGCGTTCTGGAACGAAATTTCCTTTATGCCCTCGAGGGCTTTAAGTATTTCACCGGCGAGAACCTCGCGCAGATTGGGGATGCGCGAGCTGAAATCCGCAATCCGTTTCGATCACGCACGAACGATTTAGCGCCTCGCAATCCCGGCCCCGAAAGATGAAAAACGAGAAGGAAAAATATGCAACCCGATAGAAAGAGAAACTCTTGCTTGAAAGCATAAATTCGCCCTTCGCACATTTTTATACGGCGACGTCGCCTCTAAGCAGCTTTCTTCGAGATTTTAAACCAAAACATCCCTTGGGGAATGGGGTGTTCGAGTAAATTTTTTTTCCTACCCTCGTGCTAGAACGGACTTAGCAGACCCGTTGAAACCCATTACGATTTATACGTTCTGTTAACTTTAACGCGTTTGATTAGGGTGGTTTAAATTAATTGCATATTAATCGATGACCAACATTTCTACCGATGCAAATCCATCCCACAGGTATTAGTTATGTTTTAGAAAATAGTAACCATTATTTATCTTTTGTTTCAGCCGCAGCATACCCCAGTTTGTATTCCGGAGGATACGTAGCAGCGATGGCAGCCGCCGGCGTTTCTCTTCATGGTCAACCAGCGTTCTATCACGCTGCTCATCCCTATCAAATAAATCCAAATGTCACGGCCGTTGGTCCTATGACAAAACGGAAGCGTCGTCACAGGACGATATTCACTGAAGAACAATTAGAACGATTGGAAGCCACCTTCGACAAGACCCACTATCCGGATGTGATCCTGAGGGAACAGCTCGCCCTTCAGGTCGATCTCAAGGAAGAACGAATCGAGGTGAGTTACAATTAATTATTTAATGCGTGATGGGACATTTTAAGTGGATAACAGCAAACGAGTTAATTACTTGTACGAACTTTTGTTAATAATAGCATTATCCTGAAAATAACATATTTTCTTTGTCGACGGTAAACTTCACATAGGGTCGTGAGAATGTTACGAAGTTCCTCAAAGGTTCCACCGTCGGTAGCTGCCTAAACTGACAAATTACTCTCTCGAACCTAGGAGAATATTAGGTTTTCGGTTGACAAACATTGACCATTCGGATTGTCCAAACTCTCGTCCCTGAACGCATAATTTCAAACGATGACAAAATGCCTTCGCTTTCAATCTTGAAATTTTCGACGTTTGCCTTCGTAATTCATCGACAATAACGTTCTGTAACGCGATCATTAATATTATTTAACGAATCGAGTCAACAAATTTCATGGTGGATTAAAAGCTTTGCCGAGAATGTGTTCAATTACACCGTTCAATAAATTTGAATTTCTTTGTTTGGGCGATCTTGCAACATTTATCGATGTTACAAAGACACACACATACCGGTGGATAGAATTTATGAATTGTAAAGATTCGCATCGCGTTGGAGCATTAATTTTTAACCGGTTCTCCTTATAATTAATTCCTTTCGAGTGCCGCTTAACGATCATTAATCGAACAAACATTTTTATGTTAATAAATGATCATCGTTTCCAAAGTGAAAACAGTTTTGACGTTCGATTGTTGGCCGGGTGTTGCTGGAAGGAGCATTTTAAAAAGGATTTACTAGCGTGTCATTGAAACTGGATTGTCGAAGGAACCCTTTTTCTCGCAGGGCATTGTTGCCCTTATTTGAAAGGTAGGAGGGAAGATCGATGCTCAGTTTCAGTTTTCGAAGGAAATAAGCATCCAAGATGATTTCTTATTAATTTTTAAGGATACTTAAAGGTTGCGATATTAATTCTAAAAAGTAGGTACGATAGTTTTATCGTTAATTTGTAAATATGCCTGGGAACAACAGAATGTTTGAAAGAAACAAACGGTGATAAGAACAGGCTGTTACGATAATCGCGTTCCAGCGATAAGTAAGATGAATAGAATCAAAGAAATTCTTTATTCGCGTCGGGCAATTTGTTGGAACAATCGTACAATCCCAAAGTCATTCACACTTATCGTGGAACGAACAGAGACCACCCGTATCGTCGGCTTTGCCCAAAGAAAATCCCTCGTCTCGAGAGTCTTTAAAGACTTTGAAACAACATATACCTGCAGCGCACCTGCCGCATCGAGTAAGAGTTTTCGGTGTTTGTAGAGAATTAGTAGAAAGGCGACTTTTGAAACGAAAAAGAGGAAAATGCCGGGATAAAGAAGAGAGGAGGAACTGGCTGGAGAGGGCCTAAAGCACTCCATCCTATGTTTGGAAAGAAGCACGACTGTTTACCCGTGCGACGGTCTTTCCTATCTTCCCGATTGCATTAACAAAATGCAGAAACACGAACTGTAAACATTCGGCTATAAAAAGCAAGGTATATGTTTCAATAAAAAACGAAAGAAAATTAGAATTTCTTTAAATAACAAAATCCTTTGAACAACAAAGGATAAGAGCGAATTAGACGATATAATCGAAGAGCTAAGAATCAGATCAGTGCAATATCCGACACGATGAAGCATCAATCGGCAATAAGAGAGGTATCGATTTGTCGGCCGTCGTTTAAATCGAGTCAGACAACCGTGAGGAACAAATGCTGATTTCAAATGTGGGATGAAGCCTTTTGATCTTCGCTAGCTCCCCAGCCTCGTTAAAAGTCTGCCCGACGAGCAGGTAAACGGGGTTATCAATTAAGCGTCCGTCCTCGTAGAAATTAAGGTCTGATTAATTATTATACGAACGAAGCGTTTAAATTGGAATAATCATCGAATTGTCACCCTACCAATTAGAAATACAATATATTCCTTCTTATTCGTTTCGATCCCTTTTTTTTCCTAGAATAAGGGAACATCATTCTTCCAGCTACTGAAAGTTGTATGAAATAAACGCAAACGGGGCTTCGACGGGCTTCCTTCATCAAACAATTTCCTATTCCAGGTGTGGTTCAAGAACCGACGTGCCAAGTGGCGTAAACAGAAACGAGAAGAACAGGAACGTATGCGGAAGCTTCAGTTGGAGCAACGTCAGCGTAGCGACGACAACGTATCCACCGCTACGGTCAAAGTGGCCGATCATTTGACTCTTGCCAGACAGCAGCAGCAGCAACAACAACACGAACAAGACACCGACAGTTCTGATCTCGAAGTGGCGTAGTTAAAATATTGGTTTTAGGCTCCTTCATTTTTATCTTTTTTCATTGAACCTGGACGAGCAGGTTCGTTCTCCACCCCTTCGCGCAGGGGACGTGTAAATAATGGAATTAGGGTGTAAATATGTTTGTACATACAGCTTACGCGCGATGTGTATAATAGGTAGTGAAATAAATTATTGAATTCAAGATACGAAGGAGAATATACTTTTCCAATTTTCGTGATTATATTTTTCTTTCAATAGACAAATTTTGAATGAATTTATATTTCCCTAATTTTATACTGAAAAGTATTTCTTTCTTCTTTTTAGTCTGATAATTTGAATAATTTTGTATTTCTTAATTTACGTTCGGTATTTAGTTTCAAGGAAATGACCGGCTGCGTGGCAGAATGGATCAGTGATTAAAATCCGTCGGCAGTTCTCGTGGCTTCATAGTTGGAACTTAGTTCTACGTGCCTCGGCGATTATATTATTAGTATTGTGCGATAGGGGTGAAAGACCAGCAGCTGGTTAAGGGAAACAGCGACTCCATGGACAACGTAAGTTAACCGGGAGTAAAGTTGGGGCCAAGTTCCGGGTAAGTACATAAATCCCGAGGGCGACCAAGAACTAAGACGTTCTCTGCGGTACAACTTTAATAGGTTCCGCGCCGTAGCTGCACTGAGACCTAAAGACGATCGACTTAAACGTGGCTTCTTTTATTTTCATCGACAGAGAGTACTTTTTCTTTTCCATTACTCAAACTTATCACCATTACTGGTAAGTTTTCTCTTCGAATTCTGATATTGTTTAAAAAATTAACAATTATTACGTCGATTTATTCAGAAATTATTATGTACTCGCAATTAGATCAGGCTTCCCTAGGGAAAACGGTGATATGGGAGAAGCAAGAATTCTCAAAATCTTCATTTTGATTGATTTAGAAACAAAATAATATCATTTCGAATTATTAAATATTATAAAATTTAATACATAACTGAAAAGTACGAATAACTAAGCGAATATGAATTCAAATTTTCGCGCGGCAACGTTCATACGCGAGGAGTGGGAGGCCAGAGACCTATATATATGAGGCCCGCTTCGCTGCACTGCACTGGCATTTTCCCCTGAGACGCCTACGGGGAAGGATCGGAATCATGTCCACGAAACCAAAAAAAACTTAATCATGAGTTTTTTTATTATAATACACTGACATTTAAAAATACAAAATTGAAGATCATTGGGTGCTTTTACAACACAACCTATCAATCGTCCGTACGGTTTCCGCTGTCTTATGTCTCCACTTCTTCATCTGCCTCTTCTTCTCTTCGTCATACGGACACTCCACTTTGGTAACTCTCCTACCTCTGTCCTTCTCCGCTCTTCCGACAGGAAGAGTATTCGGGCCCACATCGACGACCTTCAATATTTCAATAGGATTCAAAGCGAACTGACTGCATTCGGGTGAACCAATGGTGAGCACCAATACGGTTATAAATTTATAAAAATAAGTGCTTCTTAGCAAATATGAAGCACCTTCGCCGTACTGATACAACGGTGGTCCAAACGAATTCACGTCGTACATGTAATAAGCACCGCAGAATTTGAAGACACCGAGACAGGTGCTCTCGCAGGTGAGAATGCCGAAGTGGTACTTGAGGAACATTTGTTCCAACGAGTGCCAAAGATACTTGCACGATTTGGCATACAATCTACCGCATATCGCGGGTAGAACTTTCGCCTCGAACATGGTCTCCCCTACCTTGAAGTGGCTCATCAGGTACCTGTTCCAACAATTCACGTGACTGTACTCGTACTTGGTCGATTTGAACTCTGCCTCGAGCTTGCTGTGGGTATAATATCTGTCGCCGCACATCACGATTACGTCGAGGGTCTTCGCGGTCCAATACTCAGGCGCCATGATCCTGGTCATACCGGCGGAAACAACGTAACAGGCATACGTCTGCATCCCACGATTTTCTTTCTCAAACATACTGTCCGTTATGTGAATCTCGCCCCAAAGAGAGAACAACTTGTTGGATTCTTCGACAACGTACTGATGCCAGCGCATCTTCACCACGAAATCTTTGTTACCCTTCTTCTTGGGAACAGCCAGGCATTTGGCCCAGCTGATCTTATAGAGTTTCAACCATGTCGGTTTCTCGATCGCCTCTTTAAGTTCACCCTCTTCCTGTTCTATAGTGCACGGATCTCTCATATCGAAAGGATCAAACGGACAGTCGTCGATCGTCTTCTTCTTCACCAGATGCTTCGGTGGCTTCGGTGCACCCCGTTGCAGTAATTTCAAATTGTGGATTTGACAACAGCGATGGATCACGTGGTAAATTTGAACTGTGAAGAATTTCTCTTCCGTCGATTCTTCTTCGGCTGCTTCTTCCTTCTCGGAAGCAGCCTCTTCTGTAGTCGTTTGAGGTTGCTCTTCTGTAGTCGTTCGGGATTGCTCTTTTCCAGTTATTCGGGATTGATTATCTCCAGTTATTCGGGATTGATTATCTCCAGTTATTCGGGATTGATTATCTCCAGTCATTCGAGATTGTTCATCTCCAGCCGTTCGGGATTGTTTATCTCCAGTCGTTCGGGATTGCGCATCTCCTTGCGAAGCACTTTCCGTGGTTGCTTCCGGCTGTTCCTCTGCCGTCGCGGCCTCTTCCGTTTCCACCGTCTCAGATTCTGGAGCCTGTTTCTCAGGCTTTGGAACAGAATAAACGTAAGCTCTTAATAACAGAATCATCAGATGTCTTCGAAGAGATTGTCGACTACAAAATTTCATTATACACGCGTATCCATCGTCGTCCCAATACCCAAACTTGTCGCATCGGTACGGATTGTACAAGTACCAGAAGAGATTATCGTTCCAAAATGCTAAAGAGAATCGTGTGGTACGAAATATGCAATTACGAAAACGTATCTTAAGTTTATCGAACCAATCTTCTATCTTTTTGATCCCTTTATGAACAGCTGCCTTTTGTTCATCGGTGATCTTCTCGGAACCGATTTCTAACTGAACGTTCATCAATTCTTTTCGTTCCAATAACATCTTCCGCTTCATGTTCCTCTCTTCGTAATCCCACGGGATGTCCGTCACTATAGGCACGTCGTTTATTTCTTGGATCAGCTCCACTTCGATACTGTATTTGTAATTATACACCACGATGTCGTCTAATCTTTGCTTCTCCTTTATGTTGATCATGCCAATGTGGGTGTACAACATCCACGCGTGATCGTAGATGTAATCGATGTTCACGCTCCAAGCGTACTTGTACCTTGCGATAAGTCGGAGTGATTTTATAAATTACATCCGAAACCTTATTAAACGTAGAAAAATGAAAATAATTGCAAAGAATCCAAAGTACCTGATTTGTGTCTTAGCCAGAAGAGCAATGATTGCCTGATAGAAACAGAATTTCCAAGTCTTTTGACGCGCCCTTAACACACCGAGTTCCGGCAAATGCATTCCTTTCAGACCGTGAAGACATACATCGGCATAGATCCTTGCGCCCTTTGCTTTCGACGGTAACTCGAAAATGATGTAATCACCGTCGACTAAACCGGGATGTTCACCGGCAGCTCGATCCACCAACAACTCCTTGCCAGGCAAGGGACAAGGTTGCGGGATCCTGGCGTGACCTAATTCCTTGCGATCGGAGAAGTCCTTCGCAGGGTCTTCGAACTCGTCCTCTATCTGATCTGTATCACATGGAAACAAGTCTGTCCTGGTTCTTCTCTTTTGTCTTCGTCGTTCTAATATCTCGTTCGCCAGGTCGCGGGTCGTACACGGCCACACGCCTGGCCATTTGTCGCTCGTTGTTTTCGACACTCCGTCTCGTTGGGTATCTATCTGGGTATCCGACTTTGATTCGTGTACCTGTGTTTAATTATCAATTTTTTAGATATATATTTTTAACGCGAATCACAAGCGGATGATGGATCGCTAACCGGTAGGTTGGCACGCATGTTTCGCCAAATTCGAATCATCTTCTTGCGATCCAATTTATTAGGTAACGCCAGCTGATCTCGAAGCTGAAACGCGTTCAGCGGCAAGCATTTATGATGCGCGTTTAAATCCTCTTCCGATTGGACGCGGGGAAATTTTCGATAAGGCGCTGGCTTTCTACGCTTGAAAATGTCATCCTTTTCCAGTTTCTCGCGATCCTCCATGTATCTGAGGAAATCGTGAAACGCGTCTTATGAAACAGACGCCGTGGTCGACTCGTTTTCGCATCTTTCTTACGTGTTCATGTAAAGACGCCAGAGATCCTTATCGTCGCATTTCCATTTTTCCCGCATCACGCATCGCTCGATCCAAGATTTCTTCCTCTTTTCACCCGGTTCCTCCGTCACTTCCTTTTCGCCTTCATTCCCCCCTTCATCCGCGGTTGCTTCGCTCTCACCCCCTGTCGTGGTATAATCGGTCGTAGCCTCATCATCGGTTGCCTTGAACGATATTTTACTCAGTTTCGTCGATATTTTACTCAGCGACATCGATGATTTACTCATCTTGATTGATATTTTATTTATTCCCGCATTTATTATTCAAGCACACTTTCATTTAATTTAACGTAATTTTATCAGAACAGTAAATGTTTCATTTGAAAATGCAACGGAATCAGCTCATCTTTGATTGATAACGGTAGCCAGTGTATTATAATAATTTTCTTAATAAAACAAATAATTATTCGATCATTTTTCGTCGAATAATAAATGTTTCGTTAAAGTCGATTTAATACACAATTTTCAATTTTCCGTTGCAATATAACCAAACAAGTAATTAGCTGACATTTGATCTTCGGGTGGAATTTGAATTTGTCGCCGAAAGATATTTCCGTGATGAAAAATTGAAAAATAATTTCGCTCGATGAATCGATCGTTGAATGGCCATTGAAAAAAAAGGGGTTGTAATGAACAATTTATTTTTCTTTTCTCTTCTGGTTGACTCTTTTGCATCCCCCCCTCGGGCCCGTTTAATAACGAAGAAATTGTATTCGAATTTTCACGGTTAAATATATATCCGGTGGAATATGAATAGGTATTTTCGGCGGGCGAGTCGGGAAGCTGGACAAATGCAACTTCTCAAAAGGGCTGACGAAAGATTTAAAGCGTTCTGTTCTGTGATTTTGTAATTATTTTCCTCCGAAGTAGACGAAACCATAAAACGTCAAGCAATCTCAGCGCGCGAAGCCACACTGCGACACAAAATTTTCAAAGTGTTTATAAAATTACGCCGATACACGATGGAAATAACGTGAAACCTTACCTTTTCGGGTAATATTCTGATCATTATTGGATTTAGGAGCCCCACTGGTGCGTTTACGATAAATAATTTTTGTTACGAATTTTGGTTGAATTTATTTTCTTAAAAAATATGCAAATTTATAAATCAAAAAATTTTTATCTGGATAATACCGCAGAGATAAAACTTGCGGAAACGAAGATACCTTTCCTTTATTTTTTTTTAAGTTTGAGTGCAGCTATTCTTTAACGGGTATCCATTGAGATAACGAAAATGGAGCGAGCGTCTTTGCTCGTTTTTTTTTTTTTCTTTTTTCTAGTAAAACGAGAAGAGAAGAAGCTTCCGAAGGTCTGTCAATGTATCTCGTGGGAATCTGAACAGCAGTCGAAGTCAAAGTGAATTTGAAGCTGAAATCGGCCTGATCCTCGCAAGGTTCCGCTGTGGAGCAAAGTTTCTCGGGCAAATCAAAGATCAAGACACAACTCTGTCGGGTAAAATTTTAATGAACTGTTAGCGTAGTACCATCGAGAAAAGACGGATCGATTGGTCGCAACGAACGGCTAAATCTCGAAAGCTCGTTGAAATGAATTATTACGCGAGAGGTGGTCGGCTAGTATGAATTACCAACGAGATAACCGGTAAGATAAAAAGGAAGACATCGAATATCAGGGAAAATTTCAATAATTTCGTTGTACAAATTACTTTAGAAATTTGATATTAACGAGCAGGTAATATTATTTCTCAAACACATCTGATTCTCTGTTCCCTCTATAAAATAAATTAGAATGAAAATTAAATTTAACAATGTTTATCAGAATATTAAAATGAAAAATATTAAATTCATTTCCGGGTCATTCTTTTATAATGAATATATTATTTATAAAATAATTTATTGCACAGTGTAGGTGTAGTTTTAAGTAGGTATCCATAGAATTGAACGGACAATCCACGTGCATCCGGCTCGGAAACATTCATGAAGAGTAAAGAAGAGAGAAGAAGCGGATTGCCGCGTATACAGGTACGTGTATACGAAAGGGGTCGTGGAGGGAGAATGCAGAATAAACAGTGCATTATATGCAATAACGCACAAAACGCCCCTACGGCTGTACAGCCATCTTCTTCGAAAGTTCCCGTACGGGAACGCACACACGACCAATCCAATTAATTTTATTTTAATTACCGCATCGTCGAGCACACGCCGATTGTTATTGTTTCGGCGGCGACGAATCGACCGTCGCGTCGCGACGCCTCGCTTCGTTATTTCCCGATGACAATTTCCGTCTGTCCGCATCGCCGCGAGAACCATTCGGACGGGAAGCGAATTCTTTTTCAAAGTACCAGGTTGTTTCATTCATGAACGAGATCGTCAGACTTTTCGATTCTTCGTAATCGTTCAAAGTCGATCCTCGATAACTTTAACTATTTTCTAATTAGTGGATTTGACGAACACTTCCACCACCCCAGGGAGTAAATGGTTAACGCGAAATCTGTGTTACGATAATTAAACTTTTTGTATCATTAACGAGGTAACGATTTTCAATCACTTCACTTGATTTATGCATGTATTGGTGATGCAAATATTGACAGGTAATTATTAGTGGGTAATTACGTATGATTCCGTAACGTCACAATGAAGCATTGTAACCATTTGGTAAGAGTCAAAAGAATTATTTATTTCAATTCAACAAATTGACAATCAAAGTAAGCAGCAATAATTCGAATCAATAATTTTTACTCATTTTTATGGTAATTACCTTGTATCTTTTGTTATATAATTCAGGTGATTTTGAAACAAAATGTGTGGGAAAATCGTGAATCGAAGGGGTTCAATGTTGGATACAATCATTGTACTAGCTACGTGTCGCTATTACGCTATTATTATTTTATTGAATTGATACAGTAGTAACACAAGTTATACCGTGTTAAGAATAATAAACGAGGTAAGCATAAAATATTGGTAGCAAATATTCATAGAATTTCAATCCTCAATAATTAAGCCGACCATATAATTATATACATCGATATGATCCTCCTCTAATGTAATTTTGAACTAACAAAATTTTTCATTCTACATATATTTTTCACCAATATTAATCCTAGAACAATGACACAATTTCCTTAATAATCAGAGTTTCGATACGTCTGACTATATCCGTATATTTCTACTGCGGAGATGAACTGCGTTAAATTGGCCAGCAAGCATTCACCGATTTCGAGTTTTCTTTCCATTTCACTGTCAACCTTTCGTTCCTGAAGAATCGCGAAACTAAACGGAGGCTGAAAATGTCCCCAGGAGGGATTTACAGGCGCGAGGAACTGTCCGAAACGTAGCAGTAGTCTTTAAAAGTAAGAGATTGTCCTTGGTCCGCGACCCCTTGACGGACCTGTCCCCGAGGCCGGTCCTTTTAATTACCCGACGTTAAATTCTTTATCTGGCTGAAACAATGTGGCGGGCTCGTGTTTTCAGACCAAACAAACCCCATGTTGATACGCGGTAATAGAATAATCTGGCAGCTGATTCCGGGGATATAGCCCGCGGGGATAGAAACCCACACGATTTCTGCACCCGGTCTCTGCGACTACATCCCAGAACGAATATCAACCACCCCATCCCCGTGCCTCCCTTCGCCTAACCATCGTGCACCCTCGTAACCTCGTACGAGAGGCCAGACCCCCTTCTCCACGTGTTTACACACTCTCTGGCTATGCCCTGGACAAATGGTTTCCGGTGTGACGGGGATACGGACCACGGGGGTACGTTACCATGTTTCGCGTGACAATAAATCATATCTGCATTACGAAACCACCAGCCTTCCGTCGTCCATCTTCCAACGCGTACCAGATCATCCGTGAACCATGCTTCAATGCAATGGAACGATTAACAAAATTTGAACGAGTGTTATTATTACAGAAAAATTGAACGCTTGAATTTAGAAACGAAAATCCTCGGTACAGATCGAGGGCAATATTACGATATTTCATTTTCCTAAATTAGCAAGATTTCTCTCAGCGAAGAAAACATAATTATTATGTTCCTTTTTACAAAATGTTTTGCAGCATTGCAACGAGCCCGGTGATAAATGAGAAAAGCATCGCCGAGATAATTTAAAGAGCGAAGAAGAAAATGCTCGAGGGACGACGATCAGGATAACGATGGTTTACATAAAGCTGCGCGACGAGAGTTTATGACTCTCAATACGAAGCCGGTTGTTTGCCCGTTTTCACGCTCTTCTATCCTCGGCTGCCACCGGTGAAAAAAAAAAGAAGGAAAAGAAAAAGAAGAAAAGGACGAATAAAAAGTGAAAAGGATCCCGACAAAGAAGAAAGGAAGACTGCTCGTTAAGGTGGCGAGTAACAAGCAAATAAAAGAATGAGAACCGTGGCGACAGAAATAGGAAACAACGTTCATCGCTCTTCTTCACGCGCCACTTACTTCAACGTCATCTCGTTACGTATGAGGAAGCAGGTAACGCTTCCGCAAAGTGAACGTTGAAGAAAAAGACACCCTTTCTGCAAATACGGATCTCGCCCAGAACGCCGTCCCTTTGCGACGAGACGTTCTTTTCTATCTGATTCGTCGGCACCAGACAAAGGGCCGAAAAAGAAAGGCGCGACTAAAAAAGGAGACACATCTGATCTTTGAAGTATCTCGTTATTATCAAAAAACGTCGGGTCCTTGTAAGGGACAAACGTTCGCGTGAACGTTTCCACGTGAAAACAGAAGAGACGCGACGAAAATAATGCGAGAAACGAAATCAATCTTTCTCCATCTCCCTCCCACATTTTGTAAAACGACGAACGAAGGTGCCTAGGGGGTTGTTCGACAGTCGCGCTCTGCTTATATCGAGTCTGTCGATGGCAATAAAATACTCGTTCGCTGGAATGTCGCGTTTCAATCGTTTCGATATTGTGGGGTCAGAAATGTGGTGGTGCGTTCAGGGAATATACGCATTTTCAACTCGTACACCAATTGATACCTGTAACAGTACACTGATCAAGTGGCGCGATTATTTTATTTAAAAAACAAACTTACCCTTTTTCGACCATTTCCGGTCAAACCGAGAAAAAAAAATTTTTTTTTTCGGCCATTCGTTCAGATTTTCATCCACTAAACACCTTGGCGCAAGAATTTTTTCGATAACTCTTATCGTTTGGCCTGTACAAAAGTGACAGAAAGTCTAAATGCTACAGTCCCCTTATCAAGATTTTCAAGGGTTGGCTAAAAAGATTTATGATGGACGAATTTTCAATTGAGCCCTAGTAATTAACGCGTTAAAGTCGTGTCGATAACCACCTTGATCTTCAAATGAAATTCTCACCTTTTATCGAAGAATCTAATCCAATCTGAATCAACGATAGAGTTCAATTAAACTCTTTTCTTTGAACTGAATTTTTTCTCCGTTTCGATCGTTCCTCGCTACTTCGACGTTGATCTGCTCCTGTTATAGCAGACGAACCGGATGATATTAATTAATAGGTTGATTAACTGGTCGTAACGAGGGACCAGCGCGGTCTGTCGTTTTCAAAGTTTTCGTGTAATCAAATGAAACGATGAACGAGAGGTGGAACAGGTAACGCCGGGGGTGAGATTCAGTTTTAGGGTGAACTGAACTCACCTTTGTCGGTGCTGTTGTCTGTGTCTTTAT